AATCTACTGGCTGCTATGAAATTTATACAAGTCTACTAAGACGCGTCAATTATGACGAGGATTGTTATTTCTTTGGTATAGGAATAACATTACTTCCAGGATGAATAGATTTGAATTCTTTATGTTGAAAGTAGCACCGATTTTGCTGTTATAATATTTACTAAATATAAATATATTAATAACATATTAAAATACAAGGACAAAGCCATGGGTTATGTTCAACCTAGAATATAATATTAGAAATGATACCAATTGAAATACATATGTCCTGATTTATTTATATATAAATAGTAGAAAAATAAAGTATATAAAATATATAACTCTACCCTATAGATAAGAATATAAAATACTCTAAGAATTAATATAATAAAACACTTAACTCCTATAGACTATTAATATAACTACAATTGCTATATACTTAGGTACTTTATAATCTTATATACCTAATCTTGTTCTATCCGCGGAGAACCTATCATGAAGTTTATACCATCACGTGCGCAGGTAATCAAGGGACAAGATACAAGCTTCATGACAAAGTAGTGCCGAGGCACGGCGATATGACTAGAGGGTAAATAAAAAGCCAAGTGTATTCTTTCAGCATATCAAGAAAGATCTGCTAGCAAACAGCAAACCTGAACCGAGCAGAGCAAACACCGAAAACAAGGTACTACTCAAGGAAACAAAAAGACGCCTGGTAGCTATGCACAAGTACTTATATTACCTACCTTATACATAACCCAAATGTTGAATCCTCCAAAGACATAAGTGATGATAACCAAGGAAAGAGCACATGTGAGTGAAAGAAAAGTATATAATGACGTAAAGTATCACGTTTAACTATGAGAGAAACAAAACAGACATATCCGCAGATCCTTCAGATACAGAGGGTCTTCTCCTCCAATCAATTCCCGCCCTAATCCTTTGCCGAGCCCTGAGAAAGCTTCCTCTTCTTGTACCCTTGTGGCTTGAGAGATGGTCCAGCCTTCTCACGACCAGAATCAGGTCGGGAGTGACCAGCGCGCTTGTTCAAGTGTTGAGTACTGGAGGTAGGTGTAGTCGTGAGAAGAGCGTTGGAAGGGGTACCGACAGGAGCTCTGGAGGCAGAGTTGGTCCTAAGGGCAGCGGAAGGAGTGTTGTCAACAGAAGAAGTGTGGGTAGAGGCCTTGAACTTGGGAGTACTCTTGGTGCCATTGCCATGACGAGGGGTTCCGGCTTGCTGAGACTTCTGAGTCTTGTCGTCGGTGGCCTTTTCCCACCCTTCGCTCTTAGCATGGCCGTTATCGGTGGTCTTGCTGTCGTTGTCGTTGTCGCTGTCGCCGTCGTTGTTGGCGCTGGTCCTCCGGCTGCTGGCTTTGCTGCTGGTTCTGCTGGTGCTCCTGTTGGCATTGGTGTTGGTGTTGCTCTTGGTGCTGCTCCTACCTCTATCTCTGCTGCCGTTGCTATCAACCTTGTCCCTTTTCCCTCTGATATCCTTGTTTCTGCTCTGACTTCGAGGCAGATCTTCAGATACCCATATTGTACGGCTCTCGTCCTTCTCCACCGCCGCTGCTTTCCCTTTACCTGTAAGGGTCCTGGCGGCGGTGCTGGGCAATTTCTGAGAGCGAGGAGGAGTGGTGTTGTCCTTCTTCTGTCGCTGAGAAGAAGCCTTGGGCTCGGTGGTAGCGTTCCCCCTCCCCTTAACATTGCCGCGATTGTTCTTGTTCTGGCCATTTTTACCCTTCTTATTCTTTTTCTCGTTGTCATCTGCCTCCTCCGTGCTGTGGTCGCTAACGCTATGTTTGCTGCTAGACTCACTCAATCTTGACCCAGGTCTTGACTGCCCAGTCTCCTCATCACCACCAGTGGTCGACATGTCCGAGCCGAAGAGCGTGCCGTAATAGTAGATATCGTCGTGGGAAGAGCTGGGCCTCTTGATGTTGGAAGAGCCATCATCACTTCTAGAACCGGGTTGAGAAGAAAGAACTTCCATGCCATTCATCTCCAAGTCGTTGGGTGGCGTTGTTAACTCCATTGCATCTGGTTCAGCTTCCTTGTCCTGAGATTCCTGGCCATTCTTCCGTCCCATGAATGAGGTGATCATGGATTGGCCCGCCGGATTGGGCTCTGACTGCCTTCGTGGTCTGCCGACTGGCCTCTTCGTGGATTCCTGTGACGAAGGGACACTCGAAGAGTCCTGGGTCGAGGGTTTCGTCTTCCCATTCCCTCTGTCAGCCCTGTTGGAGGACCTTGTCGATTCAAGGTTTAAGGCCCAGTGAGGAGTCTTGTTGCGGTAAAACAGGGATTTCTGATGCTCTGCTTTTGAGGGTTTATCTGTGCAAGATGGATCCCACGCCTTGTGGCCTCCACCACAGTTACAGCACTTGAAGTCCTTTAGGACCTTGCAAGTGAATGACTCATGTGCTTCTGCACAAAGGCCGCACCGCGGTTTCTCGGCGTTGCAATCGTTGGCAAAGTGGCCGGGGTTGCAACAGTTGTTGCAAAACAGCGGGGTCCCCTGAGCACAGTAGGGCCTTCGTCATTTTTCTGTCAGCCTGTGTTTAAAATGCTTGACTCTTGAGGTGGATGATTACTTACTTGACCTGATAGTGATGGTTGAACACCGTGACGCCTGTCAGTGCAAGTCGCCTCGCTGTCTTCAAACTCTCGGTTTGTAGGATGAGTCGCTGATACGCAACCTTTACCTTGACACCAGGTTCACAGAGCTCTTCTTCGAGAAACTTCTTTATGTCATAGTCATATCCCATCTTTTGATGAACGGCGAGGTCGACTATGTGCAGATGGTGGATGAAAGGAAGGCTGGAGCAGCCATGCTCAAGCTCAAACAGGCTTTCCAGGTTCGCAGAGTGGTTCCGAATGTGCTCTCCAGTGTCCCAGTCGGAGAAAGATATGATCATGTAATTGAACTTTCCTTTTCCTCGAGCTTCTTGCAGCTTGACTGTATCGACTTTGGCCCAGGGTCCGCATTGGGCTTGGACCATCTGCGTGAGCTCGATCAAGGTATACGGCTTCAGCTTTTGACGGAAATCCATTTCATTGTGAATTTTGACCATCACGTAACCAGCTTCGGTATTAATGTTTTCATCAAATCGGCCAAATAATCGGTCTTCGAGTTTCAACAAGGTCTCCTCGACATTGCCCATTCGATCAGTGACGCCACCCATCTGTGTGCCAAGGTCTCCGAGGCAAGAACGAAGTGTACCGTTGAATCCTGGATTCTGTCCCGGTTGAGATTTAGAGCCCATAACCTCCTGTTGGATGCTGGCTAGCTGTTGACGGAAGTGATCAAAATTGTTGACCATTTCCTGGTGGGGCAGGTCGAATCTGTTGACATCGGACTCGAGTTTGGACAAATGCTTCAAGATCGTTTTCAATGATTTACACATCGATGCACGATTGATAGCTCGTACTTCATTCTGGATCTCAGAAACGATAAGAGACGTTTGCTTGACACTTTCCCACATCCAGTACACAATATCCTGCATAGGCGGGCGTACAGGAGTGTCACTTTCACCTTTTCGACGCTTGTTCTGGCGACTGTGGGAAGGCATGATGGCGATAGACGAGGCGTTTTGAGGATATGAAGATGAAAGGTTGGAATGGTATTGAAAATGATCATGAAGATGCAGTAACAAACCAAGGCTATGTTGATGCAATTTGTACCTGTAACGACAGCAGAAGTGCTGGACCTTGCATTGACTGTTACGAGTCTTTTGAGAGTCCAGAGACACGGGAATGCCCGACGCTATTTCCAAGGTCCCCCTACAAGGTTTCGATCACTCCAAGATCACTCGATGTTCCCAATGCTCCGTCAGATCTGTGTAAGAGTGTCTTCACATGCCGTCTTTGCCAGCCTTGCTGCATCGGGCTGGGCTGCTAGCACCATACCCCTAACATAGCGAGGCGTCACCGCTCGTGCAAGTCTCGATACACACTCGCACCAATCACAACATCTCATTAAAGACACGAGGCGAAGGATTCCAAAGTTGTCGAGGAAACAAAATTGACGGGTCATGCGGAACAGCGCGGAATACTACATCTAGACAATAGTTTACGGTGAATATCGCAACACAGCCTATCTCATTTCCGTATGCTGACCAGGATGGGTGTGTATTCAACGGTCAAAGGGAGCACATGGCGAAGTTGCACCGGGTTGGTAAGCGATAAGCAGGACTCCGCGTAATCTGGATGCGCGGGTCCAAGACTAAACGTTGTGCCTGGGGTTGACGATAGTATCGAGGGATCGGAACGAGTCGGCGCAAAGTCAGCCTTCATTGTTGCCGAGCCTTGTGCGCGGGATTAAAGTTCCTTACGCACGGTTACGACCTAGGCTTTGCCTGGGATGCTGGCGCTCGGGTCGTAAGCGAGCCCGTGAAGATAATTGCGGGGTTACAAAGACAAGGTTACCCCAACCGTGCACCGCGGATCCCGCCCGCTGATGCGCTAGTCTATTCGCATTGCGCACAGACAGGTGGAGATGATATCAAGCTATGCGACATGGATTCCTTCATTGCCGAGCCTTGATAAATGGGTCATGGTCTGATAGATAAACAGACATGCTCGGTCCACCAATGGGATGACAGCTGTTTACCACATCAGGAAATGATCGGATGAGGTTAGCCAGTGTTAACTAGACGGTTCGGCTGCAGGGACCGCATAGCCAGGCAATGTAACCTTCACGGCATTAGCATTGTTATCGCGTATACCGCGATCCCACAAAAGATGCTTTGTCACCGACGCGGGTCGTATTCAGCCAGCAACATCGGCTCATCTTGCATCGTTGATGCCGAGTCGGAGATTACGACGGAAGAACAAGGGATGGATCACATCACAAGGTAAGCAACGCGTGACGCGTCAGCTCCCAGCCGGCATATACGGCAGTACGGTCGAGAGTCACAAGACGGCTTCTGTTGTAGTCCCATTACTGGTTAGAACCTCCATACTTCGCCTTGTTCCATCTTGCTTCCGTTCATCAGCTGCAAGGCCGTGCGGTGAGGAGAATCATGGCCAAGTTCTATGCAATTGCCAGAGGTTTCAAGGCTGGTATTGCGCATGATGAAGACACTCGCAAAATATTGACAAACAACTACAAGGACAACAGCAGTAAGTCATAATGACAATACCCAAGCCTCTCTAACGTGCACAAATAGACCAATCTTTTAAGACAAGGGTGGAGGCTGAAGAGTGGCTTGATAAAAAGCTTGGTGTCCAACACGGTGATTGGCCTGATATCTACGAAGAGGATGCCATTGCTGCCAGGCATGCTGCCGATACAAAAAAGGCTGCCCGGAACGCCGAAAGCACTGCTGCTAGCCAAGCTGCTGCTGTTTATAGAGCAGAAGAAAGAAGAAGAGCTATCGCAGAAGCTACTTTGAGGGGTAAAGAGGCTGTTTTGGCACCGGCTCTCAATCGATTTTCCCAGCCTACGTCCACATCTTATTCCTCGTTGCCGTTTCTGCGCCGGCCAGTATCTTTGGCTGCATTCAGGGATGAGCTCTTGGAGGCCCTTAGCAACGTATGCGACAGGTATGGGCTCAGGGCGCCGGCGACCACCAAGTTACGGCTTCCGGCCCCAGAGCCCTCGGCAGCTTCGAGGAGAGCAGGAACTGTCAACACTTTGCCTTCGAGCCCACAGGATAAGCGACCTCGCGTGAATGAGTCCGTCGTCGAGCGTAAGTATCAGGCTCCTAGATCTCCTAAACCATCCTTCTTGAAGCCCGAAGATACTCACAAGGGTCGCTCTGCCCAAAGACGCTCACCCTTCCAGCCTGTGGATTCACCACATGGCAAATGGGGCTCGAAGAAGACGTCTTTCCGAGGTAGTATTCAACCTGCCCGGGCGGCTTCGTCTCATAAGTCTGCCATTTCCGACGATGAGGATGAGGCAAGCTCTAACCCGTTCTCTTCCGATTCCGAAGCCTCTGAAGACTCTCCCCCGAGGAGTCAACGCTCCCGAAAGGCATCGCATGTGTCTTCTAAGCCTACCGCCGATACCTCAAGCTCGAAGTCTTCGAACCGGAGGTTCCAGGAACCGAATTCCGCGTTTTCTGATTCTATTACTCAGAAGAAACCTGGTCGAGCTGAGCCGCGGTCCCGTACTGCGCCTTCTCGCTCTCAGCCGACGCCCAGTCCTCATCTGAAGGGTGATGATTCACGTGCGAAACGTGACAAGCCTGCCAGGAGTCCACCCGCTACATTTGACATGGCTAGCGTGAAAAGGCGCCGTCTTGAGACCATTGATGACCTCTTCTCTACCGCAAATGGCATCAGTACACCGCGCAAGTCTTCTGTACGTAAGGCCAGCCGCACCGAATCAGTCAGAGATATGCCACCTTCCAACAAGGCGAAGCAAAGGCCAAGGAACATCAAGAAAGGTGTTTCGTCTAAGCGAAAGCCCCACAGCGATTCTGAGTATTATGAAGGGCCCATATCGATTCCTAGTGACACCGACAGTGACAGTGATTCTGGGCGGTCTCCAAGCCCTATGCATAGCAAGCGGAAGACGTATGATAACCCCGACTCGTCTACTCCCAGCAGCGAGCCAGAGAAATCTGATAGCGATGCATCAGATAGTTCTGACGCCAGTATATCCTTGACATCACGTCGTTCGAAACGAAGTAAGTGATGGTAGCGGTAGAATAACAATGGTGGGAGTTGATCTTGGGATTGAAGATGGTGATGTTGTCGAGGTGGTCTCAGTTGTTGATACTTTCCTTTTCTGTCAAGTCCTGTTATGTATGCCAATTGAGAGGATATGAGCGGATTTCGGCGACTCCTAATTAATAGTCTCTTTACTAGTTTTCGCAGAATCTCTTGTTACATCTTGCATTTCTTTCTTCCGAATTGATCATCTCTTACAATAGCTCAACTTTTTCTTAGATGTATTTGCTTCGCAACTTTCAATGGACAATTTCATCACTGGCTGAGTTGCAGATCTGGCCTTGCGATTTGACTTGAACTTAGTCCAGTGACTATGACACGTGCACAAACGAATCATATGCAAATCTCTGTTATCGTTATACATTGAATACTGACTTGTGAAGATAAGACTAAGCAGTTTCAAGACAGCCGGCAAAGATATTGTCTACCGTCTCGGTAACTGCGATGTGACCAGACGCGCGATGCCAACTGAGACACGGAGGTTCGGCTCAGAACTTTCCATGAGGTATTCCCGTGAGATAGTAAGATTGCCAGAACACCTCATGCGAAAGACGCGTGCCGCACGATCATGCGATTTGACAGCTATTCCGCCTACTGTCACATCGCTACTGCGGATAACAAGGTTGTGTTCCCAATAGTCACAAGAGTAATTTCCTGTTCGGGCTTCGCTGACCGTGGCTTTGTCTTGGAGATTGAAAATGTTGAGATGTTAGAGGGATACGCATCAACCATGTCACGAGCGCGGCAAGTCGGGAGAGTTGTATACGACAAGTCTATAAAGACCTCGACATTTCGCTACAGGGCACCATCTTCACCTCTCTCACCAGTTCATTCAGTGTGTTTAGAACAGTACCTTTCTACTACAGGGAGTACGGAGCTATTACGAAATAGGAATGCATGAATAATAAGATAGTGATTTCAAACTAACTAACTTCATGGACACTTCATCTAAGATAAGGCCATGAAGAAACTATCTAAAACAACTTCTCGAGGACGCTAAATAGCTCAGAAACACCATCGTCCCCAATATTTTCCTCCAGCCATCCCTCTGCCTTCTCAACCAACATTTCCCAAGTATCGATTTCCTCCTGCAGCTTGTTCTTGAAGAACAACACGGCACAGGCTGTAGCGAGAACATCGTCCTTCTCCGAATGGCCCTTGACTGAAGACGGGAGTGCCAACTTGGAAACACGGTCAGAGGTCACGCCGAGAACACGCTCGAGATCGGAACTCCATGACCAGCTACCTGCGAAGGTTTGGAGGGTAGTCAAAGCTTGGAGTGGCTCCATGTCGCTGATGGCCTTTTTCTTGGGAGCAGCGGTAATAGAGGATGCAGGCATGGCAAAGAAAGCAGAGGAAGCAGCTGGCGCAGGAGCAGGAGGTCCGTCGTCGAACAATGCAAATCCCACGTCTTCACCAGACTCTTCCGCTTCTAGTTCATCCTCGAGCGGCATAGCCGCAGCCTCAGCCATCTCTTGTTGATACTCAGAGAGAAGATCTTCATCAACAGCAGCCGCGGGGGGCGCAAGCGCTGGGGCTTGAACAGTTGGTGGAGCGGGTGCAGAAGGAGGAGGCGGAGGCACACTGCCGAACAGACCTCCACTTGTACCAAATGATCCTCCCGGCGCGGCTCCGAAAAGACCACCGGATGATCCACTATAGGATGGGGCGAAACTGTGGGCTTGGGCGTTTGAGTTGCCGAACAGTCCTCCACCAGTGTTGGAAGACCCAGAACTTCCGAAGAGGCCACCACCTAGAGCCGCTGAAGAAAGGTCTCGGTTACGAGTTCCAGCTGTATTTCCGAATGCTGCATTGCTAGAGCTTCCAAAGAGTGCGCTACTCCTGGCAGCTGGCTGGTTTGATGAGCGAGCACGGGAGCAAAGTACGGAAGAAGGTCCGCTGCTGCTCGTTGCACCGAAGCGAGCAGCCATCATTTGTGGCATATTACGTTGTTGAGGCTGATCAGGTTCAGCCCCTTGGACCTCTCCCCGCTCTACTTCGCTTCCGTTATCCTCAACAGCGACGAACGAGCACCACTTGCCTCCAACTTGATACTTGAGACCAAGACGCACAGCCTCACGCTCGGCCATGTCTGAGAAGTGGCCATCGTACTTCTCCCTGAGGAGTTTGCCGTCGGAGTCCTTGGCATGGTTGAGCCATCCACGACCTTCCTCAAGTTCCTTGACTTCCTTCCGTGCTGCGAGACGATGAATGACAGAGTCTTTCTCGGTAGCTACCGTGATGGGGATCTCGAGTTCGAGAGGGCCATGGCTTGAGGTGCCTCTAAGGATGACAGATTTGGGTTGCTGTGAGGGAGTGTCCTGGGAGAGAAGGACGTACACAGTGGTGCGGTTGAAAGGGAAGAGAGGAGGAATGGTGCCAGGTGTCTGGAGATAGCGAGGAAGAGAGACATCAGGAAGATGGTCGAACTTGTTCTCAACTTCCGGCGCTTCAGTCATCTCAGTATCGTCATCATCGTTCGAAGTTGTGTCGAACAAAGAGATAGGCTTCTTTGGTGCCTCAACTTCCTTGGTCTTTTTTTCCTCCTCGGCAGTATCAATCTTCAACGCGTCAACGACCTTCTCAATCAACTCAAAGTCATCTTCGATCGAAGAATCTGCTTTATCATACTTGATCTCTAGAGAATAGTCGGAAATATGGGGAAACAAAGCTCCTCGAAGCATGCGAACTACCTTCTTGTCCATCTTCTCGTCATCGGCAACCGTTTGAGCAAAGCCGTTGCCAGCTCGGGCAATACCCTCAATCAGAGAGGTACTGGCGCCTGCTCCGATACCAAGGGAAAAGACTCGCGCGGTACCCTTACTATCAGCCACTTCCTTGTTGATAAGCTGGAAAAGACGATCTTGGTTCCAGATCTCACCGTCTGTGAGCAGGAAGACTTCGAGGTTCATGTCCTTGTAGCGCTTCTGGAAAGTAGCCTCGAAAGGTTGGTACATCTCAGTGCCGCCATAGTCGCTGTCGAAAGTCTCGACGTGCTGAACAGCCTTGTCGAGTGTCTCTTGGCTGTAGGACTGTGACCGGTCCCAGAGGAAGCTGAAATGAGAGCCGAAACTGCAAATGTTAAACTTGACGCCAACAGGAAGAGACTTAAGAAAGATCTGGAGAGCGGTTTTGAGGCCAGGTATCTGACCACCCATACTTCCGCTTCTGTCGCAGATGAAAACAATCTCTGGCTTCTCGGCAGGTAGTTTGAACTTGGGGACAAGCGTAGTCATGATGGCGCGCTGGTTAGGAATGGTTGGGTGAGTCTCGAGAATAGCGGATGGTTCTCCGAGTTTTGTGGCGACTACTTGGACAACAAAGTCTTGTTCCAAATGAGTAGTGCCCTGCTGGAGGGTAGCAGAGGCTCTCTGGAGGGAGGGGTCCTGGGACTTCGTGGTAGAAGTGGTGCCAATCTCAACTGAAAGAGGATGAGACGGAGACTGAATAGATTTGATGGCTGAACCGTCTGGCATCTCGGCATCGATAGTGAAAGAGATCCCTTCTTTCTGTATGACATTAGACGAGGGGAGGGATTGTGAGTCCCCATATCGTGGAACAATCTGTGTTGGAATAGTGAAACGAAGACCATCGACTTGAGCATCATGCTTGAGCTCTCCAAGGTACGTGATGTCGACCTGTACTTTCTCACCAGCTGGGACATTTCCAATAGTGGTAGTGAAAGTATCAGCTGCTTCAAGGGACTGCTTGAATAGACCAGCGGTTTGTCCTCTGGCCTTGGCTTCGTTGTAGACTTGCTGAGCCTTCTGTCGCTCCTTGACTACGCCTTTGATGACGCGAGAGCCGACGGTGCAGGTGAAAGCGACGACAGAAACACCGTCGTAGAGAGGGAATACATAGCGCAGTTCATCAATGGCTTCGCCGCTGGGGTTGACAAAGGTCTGGGTGAGGTTGGTGCGAGATGTTGTGGCAAGGATAGTGGTATGAGCCTTGACCTGGACCTGAGGGAGGTATCTGGGCGTGTCATGGATGAATATGTAGCAGCCGCATGGGTGGGTGATGCTATGTCTGCCGATTCGTGAACCGCCAAAGAGTGACATTTTGTTTCTTGTCCTCGATGATGATGATGACGCGGGGTAGAGGCGCTGTTGACTGGTGCTGTCAAAGACTCAAAGCAAAGTCGACAGCGATATCAGGTGGGAAAGTGGAGTGGTGTAAATAAAGCAGGCGAGAGAGATGGGGAAATGTAAGCCGTAGCAGTAGCACAACGAGGATGAAGCAAGCTTGAGGCGCAGCACTAGAGCCTGATCCTGATCCTACAGCGGTAGTGGATGATACGTGATGATGACGATGATGGAAGAGGTGTTTTGAGGAGAAAAAAATGACAAGTGCTTGATATTACAGTACATCTTATATGCAATAGACTTGGGCCAATTGTGAGTCAGCCCGGGTGTTTGTCCCTCAATTGACATCGATGGATGCCTTGCCTGCCTATTAATTCTGCCTAACTGTATGATTGGCTAACACACAGACTAATCAACTCACACTACAATCTGATTGGGCGATCAAGCCACAATTCTGTTGCCTGCTACGCCGAGCTTCATAAGTACCTTAACTTTGCTGTTTTTCCATGCCCAGAAGATATGGTCTTAGTAATTTAATAAAATTCCAATCATGCTTTGTTTGTCAGATGGTATCTGCCTTGCTTCTCAATTGGCAGCTCACGGTTAATTTGCTGGCGGGAGGGATCCTGTGTGAGGGCACAGCCACCGCTTTGTGTCGGGTGGATGACAAAGCTGAAATTCTGCCTTGGCGTAACACTGACCTCGATTCAGTTACCTCCCCTGTCATGACCTCGTGCTGAAATAATAGGTTCTGTTGAGAATTCACTGTACCCAGCAGCTTTCCCTGGTCGACACATTCCCAAGACTGGTCTGTCTATGGTTTGGCAAACGCAATTCAATGCCCTGCCAAAGATATCAAAGGCGCTCAGCATTCCCCTTTAGCAAACCAGGCGCGTATAGCTTGCGGCTGTGACAGGATATTGGGTACCAGTCCTACCGGTCGTGATTTACTCAAGTTCGACATCCTGACTATTATTGAGGCCTGCGCTGTTAAGGTGGTTGATCCAACGGTACTGTAATGCTGTAATCCCAGATCTTGCGATGGGTCGTGGCGCGTATGTGAGCATTTGCAGGATATCTGATCTCGAGCGGTTTCCCAGTCAGCGTACTCTGATAAAGAAGATTTTGTTACACGAGGACTTCAAATCTATGAACAACCCTGAGACTCATGCTCAAGGTCTAGTCCCTCTCCTCCAAGAGAACTCTTCACTGCAGATTGTGCGTCGTGTCAGTATGCTAGATTGCATTTTTGGAGTTGAAGAAGGCCCTCGCGGCGTAATAGCCTATCTGCACCGCGGTCGGGAAAGACAACAGAAGCTACACAAAAGGTGCTTTTCTTTGCGGTTACTCCCATGGCGCAAAGAGGCGATCGCTATGGAAAAAAGACAAATCTCGGCCGGATCATTTACGGTAGTCCTAGAGGCAGGAGCAAACCAGGACTACTGTCCGGATCTATTCCAGCGCCTCCTTCATCGAGATGTTGCCTAATGCCGGGCACAGGAGGTGTTGATTGCGCGCGGCACACACCGCTACCACGATAGGAAAGGTGTTCAAGACTTGCAAGCCATTGATCAACTGCTGAACCATACTTCGAAGACTTTGCCTGCCGACTTCAACACTGGCGTTGCGTGGGATTTCCAGGCTCTAGTTCAGCAAGCCCAACATTTTGACGGGGGAAATTGGCTCATCGGATGGACCGTTCATGAAGGAGGCATGTACGAAAGACTGGTCCTTGATCAGACTTACAGGGACAGAGTGGCTGAGGTTTTCGAGATTCAGACCGACAATGGCCATCTCGTAGCCAATTAGGAGGCGACTGAGCGGTTCAGTCAAGACGCTCGAAGGAGGAAAATAGGTGGGCTTCTCATAGTAACCAATACATGTTGCCGCACCAGGCTTTCTGAGATGACAGGTAGGTTTTTGACAATTCAATGCGACATTTATGCACCCCAGCCCATCCCAGTTAGCACATTGATCCATCCCCACCTACAGTAGGCTTTTGGCGCTTTTCAAAGGATCCTGCCCCAGGGCTGAATAGTCAGAAGATAGCCTAACTTTGCGCATAGTGCTCAGGAGAGGAAGCCGGTCATTAGATAGGTGATTCACAAACTGAGGATTTAGCTCTCGTGTTGGACAGCTGCACTTTAAACGGAGAAAGAAATACAGGCCTGTGTTGAACTTATTGCGGAAGTAATAGATACGATTTGACTTTAAATATAGAAGAGTGTAACACCAGCCTCAAGTGTGCAATATCAATTTCGGTTTCCGATACCAATCTTCTATTGAATCTGACTATGCCAATTGTACATTATTTTCAAGGCCCCATATACCTAGATTCGTTTATCTCTAACCCCTTTTATATCCTGTCCTATCTTTGCAGGCCCTCTAAAAATCTTCCGTCTTGAAATCCCTTCCCCCGTAACTCAATGTACTCCTGCCGGGTCTGAAACTCATAATTGGGAGCCACCATCATATCATGATATAGATCATATGGTAAAGGAATGATATCAAAAAGCCACTTGCTCACCCACTTGTCGAAGATGCTTTCCCCATGGCGTACTCTGGCATCCTCAACCAACGCGGCTACATCTAATAAGACACCGGGATTGAAGTCGCAGCGGAAAATGGATGCTTGATTTACCAAGTGCTCAACAAGTTTCTCAAACCTCGGATCCTTTTCATATCTGATCGTGTTGCTGTGACGTGTAGTTGGTCTCAGAGATGCCAAAAGTCCGGTTTCCAAGCAGATCTTCCAAGCCTTTGACTTGGAAATCTCTGTCTGGATGACTCTCTGGAAAAGTTCAGCGCAGTAATCGCTGTGTGGACCAGCTTCTAAAACAAAAGTGAAGCACTTGGTATCAAGACCCGAATCCACTACCGCGAAAGCATCGAGGAGCCAGTAGTATATACTGGCCTCAAACTCCCGGTCCACAATCTCTGGGCGTGGGAGCATGTCATCCCCCTCCTCAGTGTTAATGAGAGCCCTAATGGAGTTGGGACGCTGGCTGGTCATGCAGCCAAAAACACTGGCACGACGCTCGACTCGAAGAAACGGGTTCTCTTTCAACAAAGGAACTAACCCCTGGGTATGACGAGACGGCAGATTTACCGATGGTAAGTCCTCATGCAATATAACCCTTCTGACCTGCTTCCTCTGGCTAATCGCAAGTCCTTGAAGAAATCGAATTGCAGCAGCGGTGGCAGAAAACCTTAGCTTTTCACGACATCGACGGGTAAAGTGCTCCAATAAACTATCCGGTTTCTCAAACTCCGGAGAACGTCGATCCTGCGGGACGCTTTTACCGACATGATCGTAGAAGCTAAGAGGTGCGTAGTGCCAAGTAGCAGGAAGTTCCCAAACAAAGGGCCCGATATCAAGCAATTCTAGCATATTAGCCACATGCTCCCGAGAAGGGATGTCCCACAGGTTGAATTTGAAGTTGACAAAGTCTTCTGCGGGGTGATTTCCTATCCAATGGGGGAGCGATTTGTATACGTATCTCGCAAACTCATCAGGTTGCGCTTCGGAGATAAGTTTCAGACAGTAAGATGTTGCCTCCCGCAGCTCGCCTTGGGTCCATTGCGGCTGTCGATCATCTAAACCACCGCCGGCATTGGCATCGGCTTCATTGTGGAAAAGGCGAAAGGGACAAATCAGAGACTTCCCGTTCATCTTGATTAAGTCGACCTTTTTCATAAATTGTCGTACCATGCTACACACGGCTGGTCGCAACTTGTCAGCTTCGAAATTGTATTCGCGGTTGTTGTTCTCATGTATCCAAGTCTCGTGCCTAACGAGCTCAATTTCAAGTAGTGCCTGATAACCCGGGCACATTAACTCAAGCTCGGCGAACATTTCAGGAGTGATGAGATGAGCTAAATGAAACACAAAGTCTTGCTCTAGAACGTAGTGAGTGGTAGCAGCAAGGGCGAAGCAGCCAGCCAAGCCGCACCAGTCTTGACGGAAGACAGTTGAAAACCGGATAGTATTGACGGCCAGTGGCATTGCCCTGGTGTCATTTGCGATAGAGCGACAAGTGAAAAGAAGGGAGAGATCAATTGCGGTACCATCGGCATTTGTCAGTTTGTCAGCCTGAACATCATAGACATAACCACCGTCTACCGCTAGACACTCTTTGAAGATTTGCTGCCGAATCTCAGAAGGCAGACTTGTGAGGGCTTTCGGAGTCATGACGGCGCAGACGACGATGATAATGGGTAAAGTCGAGGATGATGGTGATGAAAGCGTGAAGACTTTGGAGGGGCGGGCGGGGCTGTTATAGTAGATGGTGTGGAGATCATGAGTCATGCAAGGTGGCCAATCAAACGAAGGATCAAGATAGGCTTTCACGGAAGCCTTAGAGAGGACCAGAGTTTTGCGACCTATAGCACAATCTATTTTTTTTTCCCTTGCCGTCAGCCTTGTACAAGGCCATCGAGCTTTTTAACTTTTCTACAAAGGCTTAAACAGTGAGACCCCTATAGCAGGCCATCATCGCAGAATTCAAAATCATATAAGGTTCATCTGCCTCAATGGCGCAATTGCTGCCTTAACCAGACAGTATTAATGCCAGCTGCAGGCCCACTAATGTTCAGCTACGTGTCATGAGATACCAAGGTAGGGGTGGCACGTACTTACCTCTCAGCAGTTGGGTCACCCTTCTTCCTTCATCCCACCCAAAGGACTAAGACACTGCAGGTCAGCTTCCAGTGCAACAGGGAAAGAGAGGAGTCGCATGCCTGGTCTTCAAACGACCTTTGAAACCTTTATAAAGGTCAGTATCGATGAAGACTAGGCAGTAGATGGTACATAAAAGGCAATAAAAGAGTATACTCACATACCGCGCCTGGTCCATCCATCACACTTCCTCTCAAAGGTCAGTCAGACCTTAACCAAGTAAGAGATCGAGCACAAACTCACAAGTACGTTCTCCAAACTGACTTCCTCTCTACCATATTAGTTCAACATCAATAGCAGTTGCAAAGGCAACTTACATACCTTCTGGTCACACTTGCTGACATCAATCATAGCCACTGACGCGATGCCTGCTGCTTCAGAGGTTATGATTAGAGACCTATGGAATTCTAGTGAAATATAGATTGTTACTTACTACGCAACAGCCTGCAGCCCGATCAGGGCTATTGCACAACCAACCATAATCTTATCGATGTAATCGGACCGGTGCTAGAGCAAGCTAAGGGCAAAGATTACCGCATATTGCATAAGATGGCCGAAGCCATCAGGATGAACTTCTCTTCGAGGGGCAGATTAAGCCTAGTCAGGATGGCTATCTTTGAATGCAGCCTGATCAGCTTAATCGGTCATACGGATCCGGATCACCTAGGTGGTACGATATCTCCGACCTGGCTAGCCAGAGAGCTATCCGGATTAAAGAAGCTGGAAGAAGCCCTACGGCAAGGCTGGTCTCTTGAGGCAGAAGAGGCAGCTTTCCTTGCTGCATTCACAGGCCTGCTGAAGGTTATTAGTGAAAGACCGAGTATTATCTGGTAGGGAAGTTACAACTCAGCCCGGTACGAAGAGTGGCTCGAGAACGTGATCATCGAGGCCGAATGGGTACTCTGCATCCTCCCTCTCGTACGGAAGTAACTAGAGCAGAATACTAGGTTAGTATAAGTTCGATCAACAAGGGTAACACTCTTGTTAAGTACTGTACAGACCAGGCTGGTCATAGCCTGAGACCATGAGAGCAAAGCTGCTGAGCACAACTCAGGTCAGTTGGGGTTCGAGGAAAGGATGAGGAGTAGGGTCGGCATGGGCTTACGGACAGGGAGTCTGCGCACAGCGTTCTGCTGGCCAGTGAATGTCAATGGGTGAACGGGACAAGGTCAGGGGGGAAGGAGAAGTGACATACAGATGAACGCGGGGTAAAGGCGGGGTTCTGCTAAAACATGTTAGAGTCGGGATGAACAGAGGTCTCGGAGTGAGGCGAGGAGGAGGAGGAGGAGGAGGAGAAGGAGACTCCCTACGGACCAGAAATTCTGTCAAAGTCAGAATCTGGGGATGTCAGTCAAAATAGAATCAGCGAAGACTGGGGGTAGCGTGCGTACTGAAGGAATTGGGTTGACTCTGCTTGTTCAGAACAGTGGTTAGTAAGTCAATCGCAATGATGAGAGGTTTGAGGGAACTGCGACCTACTTTGTGTAAGTTAGTTGGCGAAAGTCAAATTGACCTGAAGTCACGACTAGCTTGAGTAAGTTGGACTAGAGTCAAATAGGACAGATGGGAGGATTTACCTCCATCAATTGAATGCACGTGGTGTGGCACGTGACCAATCGACCTTGCGTACGAGAACTGATGAATCGTGTTAGTGCTCGTAGATGCCGATGGGGAACGGTATGACGTACCAGATCTAGTGAAATCAGTGGAAAAGCAGTGGTTTAAACTGGGGAGATCCCTCTCCAGATGTTGAATCCAGAGAGGAAGCTCAAAGCCGGTGTATGGATAGGGAGAACGAGTAAGGCATCAAAGCGATGCACGGAGTGTGTAGTGGTGACTCTTGAAGGGAAGCCTCGGGACTTGAATCTCGCCAAAGGATGCGGAGTAGTCTTGTAACACAGTCTGACAAAGTCGGTCTCATCTATACCCCGTGCGTGGAGGGGATTAACCTCCACCGTGGATGTAGAACATCGAGTCCGCCTGAGCAATCGCGAACTGGCCGAGGTTGAAGTAAACCATGGCCCAGTCGACGGCGAACTTAAGGTGAGTGGTGAGCAGCGTCTTCCAGTTGAGTGCTCCGATGCGCTCAATCAATCTCAACCTGGCGGAATGAAGATCTGAACAATGCATGAACAGGTGATAGACGGTCTGGGTATGATAACCGCATGTGCATGCTGGCTTGATGGGATGCTTGATAAAGTCGTCAGATCCTTGAACCTTCACGTCTCGCGTCGCCCCGATCTTGCTCAGGTATCCGTTGAGCCCGATGCGCTCGGTGCGCAACTGTAGTGCAAGTGTGGACTGAGGACGAGTCAAACCCTTGTAGTAGCTCAAGCTCACACGACCTCGCTTCTCCTCGATGGCAGCAGGACGGTGTCTCGTACAAACTCTAGCAGTTCGCTTACGACGGTAGGTGATCCAGGATGTGGCGCACTTCGACTCTGCTTCCCACTTCGCTTGGTTCTTGATGGCGTCGTTTCGTCTGGCCGGGATCTTCCACGCTTTCAATGCCGCTTCATCGGTGCCTTTCTGGCGCTTGCGGAAATACTTGGCGGATCTACCCGCCAACTTGTGTGCTTCTTCGTCGAGCTTCTGATACGGTGTTATGTTGTAAAGGTTATCCTTGGGCGGTTCTATTGACTTCTCAAACCAAGCATCATTCTCGGGAACTTTCAGAGCCCTAGCTCGTGAAGACATGGACATGCGGCAAAGGAACTCCCGGATGCCCTCAATGTCGATGTCCTTGAGGACCGTAGCACCACAGCTACCACGAAGACCCCCGGAGATCAGCAGCAGACACTGGTACTGTAGTTTCTCAAGTCTCTGAATCTGCTTGGGCTTCAGGGACCATGGTATCCGCCGACCTGAAAAGTGGAGAAACCAGGCAGCGCACGCGTGCGATATGATGGGTCGAATCTTGGACATGTAGTACCTCCTCGCCTTGTTGAGCCGGATACCCCAAGTCGGTCCTGAAAGCATGCGGAAATGTCGTAATGAATTGTTAACCTTCTTCTCAAGGTTGGAGATGTGATGAGCAAAGGTTAGAGCCGGATCCAGAACCACTCCAAGGACCTTCAGTTTCCCTTTCTTGAGCGCTTCAGGGTTGTCCTTGAGTCCATCAATGTCTGGAAGAAGCTCGCAGGGAGGATCGCGGTCGCTGGGAGGCCCGAAATGCATGACAGTGTACTTGTGCGGTGAGAAGGTCAGACCGACGGATGAAGCCCATTTGATGATTTCATCATGGAATATCTTCAATCCAGCGCAGTTCTTCTCGTAAGAGTTTGGGACGGCGAGGAGATACGTGTCATCAACGTAGGAGAAGGAAAAGACCCTAATACCATCCTTACCAAACCTTTTTCTATCCTCGTTGATCTTCCGGAGAAGAGGTGCGGTGAAGATAAGGAATAGTAACGGAGAGAGGCGCGAGCCTTGCGGAATGCCAATAAGCACGTAAAAGGCCTCTGATAGGCTCTGGGGCAGCTTGAGCATGATGATCCGATAGGAGAGATATGAGTGCATTATCCAAAGGAAAGACTCAGGTACCCCAAGGTCTGCGAGCATCTGGAGGAGCAGTGCAGGGTCAACACGGTTATAGGCCCCAGATACATCGAGACCCATCATAGTCACCTTCTTCCTAGTTAATTTCGAGCGTTTCTTGAGATTCTTGCTTCGTTTCCGAGACCAGGCTTTGTGAATAACACCTATTATGCTTTGAATAGTATGCGTAGTGGACTTGCCAGGCGCGCCATACTGGGTTTCAGGAAGAAGATCATGGTCTATCACAAACTTCTTAAGACGATCAGCGAGGATCCTCTCAAAAAGCTTTCCTAAGCAGGAGAGAAGTGCAATAGGGCGCCAGCTGTTGACGGTTTCATAGCTATCCTTTCCTGACTTTGGAAGCATTACGGTAATGGCGGTTCTGAAAGCTCGAGGAAAGTACTTGAGTTCGAGACACGCATTGAAGAGAGCTGCGATCAAAGGAGCAAGCTCCTTTTTGCCCATCTTGAGTTGCTCGTTGCAAATCTGGTCGTGGCCCGAAGCTTTCCTGGGATGTAGCCTGCTGATGGAGATTTCGATCTCCTTCGGGGTGACATTTCGCTCAATGAAGCGCCGCAACGGTCGATTCAACTTCAACGTGGGGAACGGAATCTCCTCTGGGTGATCCAGATCACTGGTCCTTGTCCATGTCTTGCATCGCACCCTGTCCTGCTTTTCCTCCTCAGTGAAAAAGGCCGGAACACCTTCATCATTGTTCAGCGCCGGCATGTTCTTGACAATCCGGTCAAATGCCATTCTGCATGCCAACTTGACCTGAAACCAAAAGGCGTCCATTGACTCGCCTTTTTGTTGGAGGTATTGACGCCAAGGAGTTTGTTTCTTAGGCGGCGGCTTGAGGTCGAGTTCGGAAGCAGATGCATTGAGGCCAAGGCCGTCGCCATGCAGTATCTCCCTTAGGTGAGGGTCCATTGGTTTCCGAGCCGGAGGAGGGTTTACGAGGCAGGTTGGGGTGGTACGGATTGAGGCACCTAAGACGAGAGCGCCAATTGCTGCCACGAACTCCTCTACATTGTCCTTGGTATTGAGCGGCATTGCGAGATCGCGCCATAAATTTTCCTTGATGTCAGCAGCGAATGCGGCAGACTTGACCTTGTTGTGCTGAAACTTCTCTGTCTCGTCTCTATATGGCGTAACATCAAGGATTGTCCTTATAGGGCGATGGTCACTCTTATCCCAAGGATTATCTGCAAAGACACCCCAATGGCTAACTTGAGTACTCTTATGCTGAAAGCAAAGGTTTGTCGATGAGTTCCTCTTCTCTCTTCGGATGAGACAACAACGCTGATCTTTATCCCACGCAATGGAGTGGCGAACACCCAATCATCGTACGAGGCGAATGCAACAACAGGTAGTTGGTTTTTACCTGGAAAGTCCCTGTCTTGCGAGATTACGATTGTTCGTTCAGGCGTCTATCGGGTATAGAAAAAGAAACTGTGAGGGGATCGTGGTAGTGCATTGGTCAGCTACTCAAATGTGGATGAAGGATTTGATGAGACAGGAGGCTTAGAAATTGGAACTATTGAGCCGGTCATCCACTACAAGAATCAAAGATGTGACAACAGAGGAGATTAAGGGGTGACAAGACGTTGAGAGAGTGATAGGTCATATCGGAGACTAGGAGAGAAGAATTACGAAACTTCGCCACTTGGTGTCTGATGTATCAATTCGATTGCTTACGCGATAGGCCAAATCCAATGAAAAGAAAAAGGGGGGGAGAGAAAGAAGAGGAAAGACGAAGAGAGAAAAAGAAGGAAAAAATCTCAATAGCGTCGTTCTACCGTAGATATCGGCGTAAATGGCAAGTTCACCAATCACCCAGTAACCCCTATAATTACGGGATAAGACTACAGAGTACAGAGGTTAGGCTTAAAAGTCCTTTGTGACGAATGAGGTTTCAAACAGGGAAACTAGTCCATACTAGGTTTATATTTGCAGAATGCGTAAGGCGTTTTTTGGACTGAGCAGGTTGGTTATCACGTCTCTTAGTAGTAAATAAAGCGGGTTAGGCGTATTCAGGTAAAGAAGTCTTATTGATAGCTAGTAAGCTAAGTTCTAGGCCCTGCTAATAATCCTAATTAAAATGTAAGTAATAGAGATAACTCTTTTATAATATAGCTATTTATGATAATACTAACTATTTATACTTATATCATATGCCAATTTAGGTAGAGGTACCATCTGTCACGGTTGTTTTAATTGGCCCCCCGTCCCTGTGGCTACTTCGTAGATGCCTTATGCCGGTTAAAGAGATAGACCCACGCACTATTGACGGCCGCGACTGTTCCGGCTTAGCCGTGATTCACGACCCAACGCCCTGGATCATCAGCGCCGGTCATCGGGGTGTCTCTCTGAAAGATAGCCCTTTGTGCTATATGCGCTAAGCCAGGCTAATTAGTTCTATCGACTCATGGATAAGGCTTGCAACAGCAAGGCAGGAACAAGCAGGCCAAGGTAGGGATCACGAAATTGCTCTGCTCTGCTCTGCCGCCTCGGTTTGTGTACTTTGTGAAAATAAGGAACATGTTTTGGGGTTGTGTACTGTACGATGATTATGGTGGCTGACTAGGAGTAACTGAGGCAAAGCTGTGATCTCAGCCTCAGAAAAGCGAAATATCCGAAACTGGTTTTAATTCGCGTTTGGCTATAAGGTTGGTGTAACCACAACTTGGGACGTATGCCTTCTCTTGACCAAGCGCGTTCCAGGAACATCATGTATGTGACTTCCACTATGGATGGATGTATGGACATCACCAACCTTAAACATAGACAAGAGGTTCCCATCTCGGCAGGCTGCTGAGGAGTGGCTGAAACTTGTTCACGACATCGAGGACGCGGTCCTTCTTAACATGGCAGCGGCAAAGGCCGCAGTGGCTCAACGCGATGCAGCGACAGCACCTCCAGCTCTTCCCGCACTTCCTGCCGCAGTACCCAGTTCATCTTCTCCATTGTCTACATCTCCCGACGCTCTAGGTCAGCTACGTCAGCTTCTCCAACAGAAACTCGGAGATACTCGTACAATCGAAGGTTTGAAGGATCTCGCTTTCCTTCCTACAGCATCTAACGGTGCGCTCGCTAGCGGCTCTCAGGCCCTTCCGGCACCTTCGTCTAGCCCCGATGATCCCGTATTCAGTACCCACGCCCCTTATACTCGGCATAAATCTGGAAATTCATACCAAATTGCCATCGACAGGACTAGCGACTCAGACGATGCAAAGCCATTTGCTTCCAGGCCCAGGCCGACAGCTGTTCCGTCCTCCAGCTCAGCCGCTCCATCTTCGGCCAGTTCGACCGCTGCTGAAACTTCTATCCTAACTACCAGACTCGCCCAATCGCCTGGCCAAGCTCACTTATCAAAGAGGACTCGCTGCACGTCTGGTGACGACATAACACTGGGCTCCTCCACTGCCGACATCAGCGACCGCTTTGTGAACATCTTACCAGCTCTCCTCCGTCTCGTCGATATCTTCAGCAACGGCAATGCAGTCATCATTACTGAAGTTAGTAACCCCACTCCGGGAGACGATGAAAGGCGCTCAGATACCTTGATGGGGCTTGACGTTTCAGACGCATACAACATCCCCGATATTGAGGAGACAGGGTGTCGGCAGGAGATCGTCAAGGGTAAGTGTAAGGCTTAGGGTTGGTGACGGAAGAGGATTATGATGCTACTGTAAACCCAGCCAAAATGATAGGGCTAGTCTCGGAGGAAGAACCAAGACAAACGATGAATAAGTACATTGATAGGCTATAGTGCAGATGAGAGTGTAGAGCAATATATCTGGCAATAAGTGTTTTAACTATAACTTCTTATATCCATTTCCCTCTCTCCACTTGGCATAAGAGCATACTGCTTCTGACAATAGAAGCAGATATTCTAAGAATGTGTGCACACTTTTCTGACTGAAATCTTATCCGTAGAGACAAAAATTTCATTTCCCTTAGGTCTGGAGCTGGCTGGTACGAACGTGGAAGCTATCGCAACGGTCACCATTCAGGACTTATAAAATGTAGTCTATCGAACGATCCTGTTAGTATAGAAACATGAGAAGACAGCATTGTTCTAAACGACTGTGACTTGAGAGGCACACCCGGTTGTCATTACCAACGAGACCAAAATAAAATTACCTTAAAAGAATTTAAAAACCTAGCTTACAACCTTTATAAGGGGTATATTGATATAGGCAATATAAAAGGATTCTATGATATATTTAAATTATAGCCTATTAATTCTAAGAAAATAGTAATCAAGTTATGCATATTTTTATTTAAAATATTTACAGTAAGTACTTGAGCGTCTCTGGCAATTAGTCTACAGCGTGTAGTATAAGACTGACAGAGTTCTTTTAATCCACCTTTATTTCTAAATTTCATCTCTCACGATCTCTCTAAGACCTTAGGCGGCTTTTTTTTTACATCGCTTAGGTCTCACTAACTCTAACCTCTTATTCTTCCCTGGTGAAATGCAGCAAAGTATATAGGGTAAAATGTAAGAGATTCTAGATTATCACTCAGTGGTTCCAGCTCCCACATTCCGTGATTCCTCATCTCCTAGCATTTCTTCTCCCCAGCAACTAGCTAGCGCGCTACATTTAAAGTATTCCCTTATCAGACAGACACACCACTGCATCGAACCCGGCCCGACGGAACACCAGTCAGCATCGCTCCTGGTTCCCCCGCAAACTGCATCCTGACTTCTACGGCGTCACCAAACGTGGCGTTTGTTGTCTGTCCTGTTTATGGCTTACACTATTGGCTGCCTTATTTCGTCGGTCCGAGGAAAGCCGTCATGTGAATTAACTATGTTTCCTTTTTTGCGAAAGGCTTGCCGTTTTACCCGGGACGGCATGTCGGCACTAGTAAAGAACCAACGAAGTCTGGAATTAGCTGGTATGAGAGCTGCTAAGTTGTAGAGAGCTGAATGGAAAAGAAGTTAGAAGACATTTCCCCGCATTAATCTATTGGAATCTGCGGATACACTCCGACTATAGCTACGTCGTAGCTCAAGCCTCTCTATCGATTGATTAAGACCTGTTGAGATTAGTCGGACTTGGAAGGACCAAGCTTCGCAAGAGTGTAGAAATCTACCCCGTGAATAGATATTAAGGCCACAATGACTTGTCTTGGTCCCTTTCATTTTCGCCAATCATTTGGAGAATACCAAATAATGTTTTAACAGTTTAAGGATAATCGGATTGGATAATGAAATTCAAAGTTCAATGGCCTGCTTAAGAGGCGCCTTTGTTGCTGCAGGCAAATAGGATCAATTAAAAGACCAGCCGATATGTCGGACCGACGACTTCTTCCTCTACTCTTAGAGTTTGTGGCTAGTAGCCGCGTGGCCAAGCAATTTTACATTTGGGGTCCCCGCGACTCCACACAGAGAACTTGGGGTAGTCTAGAGACTCCAGACAGTCTACCGATTGGCTAATGCTACTAGTCGGCTTGGTCGTATCAAGTTAATCCTCTCTCTGAACTTCTCAACTCGGCGTCTGATGGAATCTTGTGTGCGCAATGGATCTGCATCTATAAAATGATGCCTCATCACCTCTCCCAAATCATGAACAGATCAACAAGATACTACGATTGTCTCTCATCCCTTCCCGCCCCTACCATCCTGATCACTTTGGTACTCTCACAACCACCCTTTGTCATACAACATGGCATACAACAATGGGCCAGATGAAAAGGGCGCCGCTCACACAGAGCACCACAATGACCCTCACGGGGGTCGCCGTGAAAGCACCGCGGAGCAGCTCGCAGCTAAGCACCTGCACGAGGTCAACGATAGTGAAGAGTTACGTGGGATTCTCACCGCGGCCGAAAATGCCGCCGCTGCAGAACATAACATGACTTTCATGGAGGGTCTCCGGGCCTATCCTAAAGCCATGGGATGGTCAATCGCTCTCTCCACCTGCATCATCATGGAGGGCTACGATACAATCTTGATTGGCAACCTCTACGCTATGAAGCCCTTCAATGAGTACTATGGCCACCCGGACTCGCAGGGAGGATACTCTATTTCTGCCGCATGGCAGTCCGGCCTCACCAACGGCGCCAGTGTCGGTGAGATTCTAGGGCTATACGCTAGCGGCTGGCTCGCGGACCGTTATGGGTACAAAAAGGTTCTGGCGGCGGCGCTCGTCATGATGACTGCCTTTATTTTTATTCAATTCTTCTCTGTTAGCCTGTCGATGCTGCTGGCAGGCGAGATCCTCTGCGGCCTTCCGTGGGGAGTCTTTCAGACACTGACTACGACCTACGCCGCTGAAGTTTGCCCAATTCACCTTCGTTGCTATCTCACAACTTATGTTAATCTTTGCTGGGTTATCGGTCAACTTATTGCTTCGGGCGTGCTGCGAGGAACCGTCAGTATGAATAGCAAATGGTCATACAAGATCCCTTTTGCTGTTCAATGGGTATGGCCAATCCCGATCCTCATCGCTGTGTTGCTTGCCCCAGAGTCTCCTTGGTGGTTCATCCGCAAGGGCCGAGTTGAGGAAGCTAAACGATCAGTGGAGCGTCTGCAACGAAAAGGCACAACTGTCAATGCTGACGATACCGTGGCCATGATGGTCCACACAGACCAGGTTGAGAGGAAGATCAGCGAAGGAACTGGGTACCTGGATTGCTTCCGGGGGCGAGTCAATCTCCGCAGGACTGAGATTGCGTGCCTAACCTGGATCTGCCAGACCATCTGCGGTTCCTCCTTCATGGGCAATTCGACATATTTCTACGAACAGGCCGGTCTTGCCGATTCTTCCGCTTTCGACATGACAATCGCCCAATTCGCCCTGGGCTTTATTGGTACGGTGCTGTCCTGGCCGTTGATGGCCCGTGTAGGTCGCCGCAAGATCTATGTCTGGGGACTCTTCCTCCTTACTGTGATCCTCTTCGTCACTGGATGCCTAGGCATTCCTCCAAAGGCAGCTAGTCGCTCCTGGGCAATCGGATCGCTGCTTCTTGTTTACACGTTCACCTATGACATCACAGTCGGCCCGGTCTGTTACTCCCTCGTCGCTGAGCTGCCGTCGTCGAGACTTCGCCAAAGGACGATCGTGCTAGCGCGAAACGCCTACAACATCGTTGGGGTTGCATATACTAATATCATCGGCTTGTATTCGCTGAACCCAACGGCATGGAACTGGGGAGCTAAATCGGCATTCTTCTGGGCCGGTAACTGCGCTTTGTGTTTTGTGTGGGCTTATTTCCGACTTCCGGAGCCCAAGGATCGCTCTTATGCAGAACTGGACATGCTATTCGATCAGGGCGTCTCCGCGAGGAAGTTTGCAACGACCTATGTCAATCCTTATGAAGTAACCGAACGACGATTCGACCAAGATTCCGATTCCAAGGAGAAGAATATGAGTCACGTTGAGTGATTAGTTGATGTGTATACATAACAGGCACATGGAAGGTCGCGGTCCCAAGACTTTTGTCAGGTCATCCATCAACCCTGTCTATGGAGATTCAGACTGGATGGAGAAGATTGCTTGGACGTTCTTGACAGTTTGGAGTTTGAAGCATCCATATGAGTAGAATAGTTTCATTTACGAGTTTCAAATCTAGTTACTACCTGAATTTTACAACATTTCCTTTGAGAAATAAAATGAAAAACGGCACATATATCGCACCGATGATCCAAATAGGGAGGAAGCCCATCAGACCGCTACGAACAAAGCTGATCAGAGCTGTAGCTATCTTCTTGAGCATCATTCTCACTCTCAAAAGTACTCCATGAGATGGCGACAGCTATACCAATTGCGACAGTGGTAACTACAATGTTTGCTGGGTCGCCCATATAATGCCTGCTATTGCCGCCCTCTTCGGAGAGTTAATTACTACTATTAAGTTGAGGACTCGTGCCTCGTTTGTTCCCTAGAATGTCCACTTCGGTCGGCAAGGTTCATCCGGAATCTGTACCATCACGACATGTTACCACTTGTCGCCAACTCGTCCATCCCCTACGATATTCAGAGGCGAAGCCAGCCTGGAGCTACTGCATATCTTGCGGCTTACGTCGTCAAATGGGTTAAGGACAATGGTCAGGACGAACCTTGGGCTCCCATGAGCATGTCGGAGTGTCTCAGACTTGATCGGGATGCTAGTCATCATGGCGATAACAGAGAAGATGGCTGCGATGCTCAAATTAGCTTTTTCGAACATGATCGTGGCTGAGTATTGCCGTTCATATGTATGATGTAGTTCCCTGCACCATATGGCGTTTTTCTTATCAATTTATTAGTCTTTTAATGTCTCTGAAATCTCCCTCATTCTTGTTCATTTATGCTGTTTGCTTGGACTTTCGCCTCACAACTTGCGATCCATTCGGATTCACCCCCTTCGGATTGTATCGTGAGCCCCATAGAGTCTCGGGCATTCGCATCATTGTAAACATATGTTTGTTAACAGGGTAAGAATAGAAAGATCCATAGAATCCGCGATGCCAAGGTACATTTGTTGATTGATAAAAAATGAAAGGAAGGTGGGGGGGGGGGGGAAATAAGATATCGCTCGGTACCTAAGAATAATGAAATGAATCTGGGAATAGCTTCAATCCGTCCACGCTGCAATTAGTCCTCATGAAATTGACGTATCCTAAACCCCGATTGGCCGTTCGCCGAGATCCCACTTAGCTCATAATTTCGTCTTGGCTCCAATCCAGCTGACAACCCCTGCTGATGAATTGCCGCGATGCCCAGAAATAAAACAAGAACCACTAACAATTAAGAGTGCGCATCGTGGGGATACAGCGGGGAGAATGGGCCAAGCTTAGCGTGGTGCGACAGCGAACTCCCCGCATCTGCTTGTGACACTTGCATCACGAGTTAACCCAGCCTCAATCATATCATAGCGCCCACCAACAAAGTCGGGGGAGGGGTTCTAGACGTGGAGCGGTGAGACACCAAAAAGGCGCGTGAGCAACAGGGGTCCAAATTGAGGTGAAAGGGTAGGGTATCACATGCAGTAGAGTCGAAGCAGGCTGCGATGACTGCGACAAAGGAATGGATGGAGTGGACTAAACATTTGAGATGAGACATTTTGCGAGATCTACAGTGTCAATTCGGCAAGCTTATCTCCACTGTCACATTGACCGTTAGCGACCACCATCTTTGATCTCGTGCACCAAGCCAAGATGCACCCAAAATCTCAGCTGCAACGCCCGTATCAATTGAAAGAGTGTTTGCGATACCTGAATGCGCCCGCAATTGACTTGACTACCGTGACACAGACGCAGACACAATCACAATCACAAGCCTTGTTGTTTCACCCGCCAAGACCATTCTGGACTGTTCCCCAACTTCCCCACCGAATAACCTCTAGCCAAGCACTGTACTTTATCGGGCCACGACACAAAGAACAGAACAGAACAGAATGTCTGATGCAACAAATCAGTTGTCATCCACCGAAATGCGACTAAATAACAGGAAATTAACCTTGTATGAAGTACCCACTGCGAAGGTTAGAGCGGTAACGCGAGAAAAACGGCTCTTGGACAAGGGCGATTTAGGTTTAGCGTCAGCACCCTCCATTACGACAGCCTAGACCCTTGGCTTTTTCCCCGCCCTGACCGCCCGCCCTTGGAAACAGTCACCAACCTCCACCTCCGTTTCATTTCATTTCATTTCATTCTTCTTGAACCCTCGTCCCCCAGACACAAAAAAGGGCTGACGGTCCCTTTCTTCTCCCCTCCTCTGTCAACCTTTCACCGTCTGCACCTCGACCCATCGACACCGAAAGCGACGCGAGTGTACCCCCGAGTCGCCATGTCCTCCACTGCGACGGCTGCAGCGGCTGCCGCCACGGGCGCAAAGCCCCAGGGCGGAATCATCGAGGGCCTCAATCCGATCCACTACAATCCGAAAGACCCCATCTCGCTCTTCATCGTGCAGGCCATCATCATCGTCGTTTTCTGCCGCCTGCTGCAATGGCCCCTCTCCAAGTTCGGCCAGCCGCGTGTCATCTCAGAAGTCATCGGCGGCATCGTCCTCGGTCCGTCTGTGATGATGCGCATCCCTGGCTTCAAGGAGAACATCTTCCCCACCGAGTCCATGCCCGTCCTCAGCAACGTTGCCACCATCGGTCTTTTGCTCTTCCTCTTCCTCGTCGGTCTCGAAGTCGATACGCGCATGTTCAAGTCCAATTGGCGCGTCGCTGTCAGCGTCGGCCTCGCCAGTATGATGCTGCCCTTTGGTCTTGGTGTTGCTGTTGCCTGGGGCTTGTATGAAGAATATGGCGACGAGGGAACCATGAAGGATATGGAGTTCGGCACCTTTGCTCTCTTCATCGGAACTGCACTCGCCATTACCGCGTTCCCTGTCCTCTGCCGTATTCTTTCCGAGCTTCAAATCCTCGGAACTTCGGTCGGCGTCACTGTACTTGCTGCGGGCATCGGCAATGATGTAGTTGGCTGGGTTCTTCTCGCTCTGAGTGTCGCCCTCGTCAACAACGCCAATGGCCTCACAGCGCTCTATGTCTTTTTGACTGCAGTGGCTTGGGTCCTCTTCCTCGTTTATGCTGTTCGCCCTGTCTTTCTTTGGGTCTTGCGCCGCACCGACAGTATCCAGAACGGTCCGTCCCAAGGCATCACGACATTGACTCTCCTTCTTGTTTTGGCCTCGTCTTGGTTCACTGGTAAGACCACTCATTCCACTCGCTATCATGTCTAACAGATTCTAGCCGCCATCGGCGTCCATGCCATTTTCGGTGCTTTCCTCGTCGGTCTCATTTGTCCTCACGACGGTGGTTTTGCCATCAAGTTGACCGAAAAGATTGAAGATCTTGTCGGTTCTATACTTCTACCGCTTTATTTTGCCCTCTCTGGTCTCAATACCGATCTTGGCTTGCTCAATGATGGTACTACCTGGGGCTATGTCGTTGCCATCATTGCATGTGCCTTCTTTGGCAAAATCATCGCCGGTACACTTGCCGCCCGTCTCACCAAATGTCTCTGGCGAGAAAGCTTCACTATCGGTGCCTTGATGAGTTGCAAAGGTCTTGTAGAGCTCATCGTGCTGGTAAGTTACTCGTCGCTGGCGCAACGCATGGAGCTAATAATTCTAGAACATTGGTCTTCAAGCCGGCATTCTCTCCCGTCGAACCTTTACCATGTTCGTCGTCATGGCAGTAGTAAGTATTCTCCTCTTTACTCATCCAATTCACCGCTGATTGAGTTAGGTTACCACCGTGACAACCTCCCCGCTCACCAGATGGCTCTACCCTGTCTGGTATCGCCAGAAGGTCGAGAAGTGGCGCCGAGGAGAAATTGACTGGGATGGAAACCCTCTCCAGACTGAAGCTCAAACTTCTGAGCACAAGATGGAAGAGGCTCTCGACAAGTCTCAAACTCATCGCCTCATTCTTCATCTCCGCCTCGACGCCCTTCCTGGACTCTTCAATCTAGTATCGCTTCTCGGAGGGTCTCGAAAGACTACCCATGCACTTGCAGACTCAAGCATCGAGGCCGTCGACTCCACTTCTGAGGAGAAGACCCAGCCAATTCCCAATCGCCCTCTCGAAGTTCGTGGCGTACGTCTCATGGAGTTGACAGATCGTACATCCTCAGTCATGCAGTCTGCCGAGCTTGATGAATTCGCTTCCCGTGATGCTGTCTTCTCCGCGTTCCAGACCTTCTCTCGCCTCAACGGTGTAGCTGTTGCTGGCCAGGTCTCCATCATTCCTACCAACGCTTACGCAGAGACCATTGTCAAGTATGCCGAGGAAGCCAGATCTGACTTTATGCTCATTCCCTGGAGTACCTACGGAGGTCTGGCCGAGGAGAGTTCTGCTGCTGCTGCTGCCTTGACCGAGACCGGTAACCCCAACGACCGCTTCTTTAGCAGAACGTACATCGACTACGTCGCCGCCGCTGTTCAACGTTCAACCTGCACGACCGGTATCTTTATCAATCGCAATCCTCACAGCGATGCTTTGTCCAAGAAGCCAACTCTGACCCGAACCCGCACTGGTCTGTCAGTTCACAGCGCCCACGATGGCGCTATCATCCAGAGGCCTGTCGACCAGCGCCAGAGCATTTTTGTGCCCTTCATCGGCGGCAAAGACGACCGCGCCGCTCTCCTCTTCGCCCTTCAACTTGCTCACAACCCTCATGTCTCAATCCACGTCATCCATCTTCACTTCAACGAAGACGAACATGATGCTCACATGACCCCCGATGGCAAGAATATCGACAGTGTCCCATCGGCCAGCGACTTGGATCTCCTCAATACCGCTAAGAACAACGCCTCCGGCAAGCTTGAGGGCCGTGTGACCTTTGTCGAGATCTCCGTTGACTCAGTACGCAACCTTCCTGACCTCGCCGTCGCTCACGCTCGCGAGACCGTTGGCAAGTCTCGTCTGAGCGTTGGCGATTTGATCGTCGTTGGTCGTGCGCACTCTGTCTTCGACAATCTCCTCGCTGAGGACTTTGGTGTTGAGAGAGACTTTCAACGAACAGTTGGTGTGCTGGGTGATAGGTTTGCTAGAGCTGGAATTGATGCTGGACTGTTGGTCATTGATGATAAGCAGGGCAACGTCTAGGCTTTGGATAGAAACTGAGATTTGGTTTGTTTTCAATTGGCATTTGAGATTGGATATTGGATGAGGATTATGAGTATTTGATTTGTTATTAAGATATACCATATTTGGCGGTGTTGGATACGATTTATGAATACATACTTTTTTCTTCTTGAGCTGCTTGTTTGAGTATAAAATGTTGTGGAGTTTTGTATGGTCTGTTGATCTTGGGTACCGATATGGACACGAATTTCTTGGATATTTTGATACATCTGAAACTTGATGAAGATGTCACCCAGTCGCTAGCAAGCAAGAAACCTCTTGAAGTTAAACTAAGGTTCCAAAGATGCGTGGTCTAAGGTCCTCTAAGCCTATATTAGGTTGTACTAAATTTACCTAAACTCAGAATAGAGGTCCCAAGTCATCTTGCCTCCCTTGCCAGTCTGCGAATCTCAACGTCGATGGATGGACTGGACTGTAGTGCTACTTGAAAGAGTCTTCCTCGCAATGAGACTTTTTATTTCAACCCGTGATCAGCCACTTCGATGCTATGAACTATGTGTCTGGATGCTAACTAGTCATGAAAGCCATTCCTCCAACACCCACTGTAGTCTTTCTTTATCAACAGACTGTCCTACCTGCCACCTAAAACGCATTTTAAGGCCAGATTGACCTCGAACTACCTCCATTCAAGACATGTCATCCAGCTTTCGCTTCGGAGCTCCGGTGGTCGACAGAATACTCAGAACCAGAGCCCCAGTTTCCACCGCCTTTTCCGCCTTCTTGTCTAAGTGAGCTACCTCGCTGCGCAGGACATTCATCTCTTTCTCGACCTTCTTGTGCCCGCTGAGTACCTTCGTCTCGATACCGGCCGCGCGCTGTTGACAGCTTGTTGAGTGCTGGGTAAGCATTGCTCGAAGTGCTTCAAGATCCTTCTTGACGTTGTCGATTTGTCCTTGTGCGGTTTTAAGCTGTTGAATCTCTTTTCGGAGGGTTTCCATGTCGCTTTTCGTCTTCTCTAGTGCGCGCGCTTGTGACGCTTTGGACTCGGCTAATTCTTTCTCAAGATTGCTGACGTGCTTTCTTGTATCTTCAAGTTCATGGTATGTCGAGGCTAGGCGCATCTCGAGTGAGTATATTCTCGGGTTAGTGCCGAATTCGTTCAGGTCATCTGGGAGATGTCCTTTGATAGCAGCGCTGAGGCCATTGACCGGTGAATTGTCTATTGCCTTCTTGATAGCCTTTGCTCGCTCCTCAATGCAATCTTCGCTGGGTGCCGTGGCAACCTTTCCGTAGAATATGCTCTTCTGGGCTTCGATGGGGATGAATTTGGGATACATGATGGCGTCGGTCGGGAATTGGAGGCCCCAGAGATCTGACATGTCTTCGCGAATAGATTGGAGAAGTGGATGACCGGGGCCGAGCCAGACAGCCAAAAAGAACCAGTAAGGGTAGTAAAGCTGCTTTTTGACGCCATTTGTTCCGGTAAGTTTCTGGTAGGGCATCTGGGCGGTCACCTCCGCTTTGTCGATAGACCCTTTGGTCGAGGTATCTTTCCACGTCTGCACAACAGCCTGCTTGAGCTTGACGGCAAGATCAAGTGCCATTGTCTGCTCAACTTCGTTGAAGGCAGCGATGATGTTGTCAAACAAGCGCTCGGCGTGTCGCGTTGCATAGACGGCCGGAACGTCAAGCCGATGCAGTTGAGTCTTGGACGGCGCATTCGAGAGTTTTACGAAGTCTCTTTCCTGGAATGCGTTAGAATCTCAGGCCAAGGTTAGATAGTGATAAGTACTTGGACTCTTTCAGAGCCATCGTGAGGACGAAACCTAAGCCCCTGTCGATCTCGAGGTGGGCATCGCCTAGTCGCAGGCGTTCCAGGCATCGGCGTAGGCTTTTTATGCCTGGAATAGATATTTGAAAGGTGCAGTTTGACTATTTTAGAGTAATGCGCGAGTAACGGTTGAGTTAGGCGATGCTAAATATACGTTTGATGTTTAATGTTTGATATTTGTAATGTTAAAGATGCAAGCACGCTGATGGAAATCAGTTTGCGCAAAGAAGGACTAACAGGCAGAAATAGATTTGGCGAAAGGCTCAAATATGAATCGTCTCCCTTCAGCGCGCCGAGATCGCATCCTTCTCTCCTATCTTTTAAAACACCAACCGCACTATCTGATTCAGACCGACATCAAGCTCAGACTCAACTCACACGGCATCCTACTACCTACCTCACACTTCCTTCTCTATTCCTCTTCTGAGAACCTTCCATTACGTTCAAAGCACTTCAGTTCTTCCCTTCCAATCATCCCCTCTACTTTCACATTTTCAACCAACGCCTTCGCTAGACACAATGTCGTCCCAGAGCTCCAGCAGTTCCTCAAAGGATACTTCCAAGAAAGAGTCCTCCGAACTGAAGAAGCTCCATTTCGTTGCCTCCTTCGAACACCAGAAACTTCTCGAAGACGTCAGCAACAAGGCCTACGACCTCGGCGTCAAAGCCGGCCGTGAACAAGCCAATCCACCCGACGACGAAACACAAGCCCTCATCCTCAGCCTCACAGACCGCAACGACGAGCTGGAGAAGCAGATCAAGGACCTTGCAACCGATGCGCTGCTGGACCTTGCCAAGGACGTTCGTAAGTACACTTGTCCTACTGTACATCGCAGAGGTCTAATCACAGACTCAGGCAACAATGTCACCTCAGCCCATCGCGCCGTGAGCTCTGCGACTCATGCTGACGGTCTCACACGCAACTACTATCGAATTCTTAGAGAGTCATGCAGTGAGCTTTCAGAGCTGGAGGATAAGTGCAAGGAGCGGGTTGACAAGATCTCGCGCGCAGCGAACAAGAGAGTCGGAGGCGCTTTGAAGCGTGAGGATCTCCCCAAGCGCCCGTTCCTGGGCTAATGATAAGTGAGCTATGGCGATGGGGTTCTAAAATGGGTTTTGGGCAGGCGAATACTTTTGTGCTGGTACAGGACATGGGGAGAACTAGATAACTAGATAACTACGTCCAAAAGACGTTCAACCTCGAAGACATTTGCGTTCTCTTTGAAGTTCTCGGCTTCATGCAATCTCACGGTGAAACGTTGTTTCGGCATCCAAAGACTCCTGCGGCACTTGACGGTTCTCTTCGTCTGATTCTCACGTTGCAACTGAGTCCACGGCGTCTCATTACCGTACCATCATGCTCTTGTTCGAGCCATCTCGACCCAGCACCGGTTAACAGTGGCAACGTTCACTTCTTCGTATGCCCCCACAATGCACCCAGAGCATCATCCCTTGTCAACCCTTTTCTCATTCTTCCTCCTCGCTTTTCCCCAAGCCCTTCATCTTCACCTTCACAAAAGCTCATCACCATGTATCGTAACATCAAACTCAAGCGCAAACCTCTTCCCTCCTCCCGTCTCAGGCCATCATCTTCAGTCTCCGATCCCCTCCCCTCTTCCTCACCTCCCAAAGTCCAACCTGTCGACTCAATCCGTCGCTCCTCCGAGGACTGCCCCATCTGCAAAGCCATGCTCGTCAACCGCAACGGCAGCCTAGCGCGTCACATTAAACGCCATGCAAAACTCGCCAAAATCGAGGTACGAACTCCATCCCTCTCTTTACCTCCCTTTTCTAACTTTTGATCAGGCTCTGAACATCGAGATTGATCTTCCACGGATGGACGCCCCTGACTTTGACGTCGAGCTCGCTCAGAAAATGTGGCAGTCGGTTCCTGCGAGACGTCGCGCAACTGGTGGTGTATTCCTCGATGGACCGCTCGCTGGAGAGGGTTTCTTTGAGGGGATGCCCAGTGTTTTTCTCCCAAATGGACGGGTCAAGCCGAAGTGGGCGTGGATTAAGAAGGATCTTGATTCGAGAGTTGGACGTGGTCCGTTGAGGGCTCTCAAGAACGCGAATGCTAACACCGGATCTGACCTTGATAATGAGGATTACATGGGGATCTAGTGGGATGTTGAATTGCCTCTCTTGTACGAAATAGTCAGTGAAGAAAAGTTGAAGGATTGTTGCCTACGGGTAGTCCTAGGGCAACAGGTACAATCGTGGTTTCCGCGTTATTTCCGGAATTCAAGCTGTATTCCATATTCGCACTTCAGCTGCCCCCATCTCGGACACACCTCATATCTTCAACCAGTCCGTCAACGTACAGCGATTCAACCGCTCAACAAGGTTCAAAATACGTAAAATATCTCATCAACTGTCATAACATTCCTTTTCATAGCATTATCAGATGTGAAGATAGGGAAAGATGAGAAGCAAGGCGACGAATAGCTGATTAACTTAGTACCTGTAAATTGTATCCTTGTCAAGTCCAATACAATACTTCATTATATCAGGATCCTAAAGTTCATCGTATTAACATGAATGTTGCGTTGGGCTTGAGCTCTGTCCCTGTTTCGAAGGGATGGTGTCGTTGGTGAATAGGAACCCCGTCATGTACATATCTGCGCTTATCTGTTATCGCAGACCCGCTGGCCTTATCGACTCTATCTGGTGTCTACGGCTTGTAAAGCACCAACTCTACTCAGAACATGACAAGATAAAGGGCATTTCAGCCTCTGTGTCAATGCTTATTGTCTCAGAGGGGTCGTCTAGCCATCAGCCTTGTGTCCATGAATTCTCAATTCGAGCCAAAGTCAACGAGCCTTTGATAGTGTAAACATCAACCCGTGAAGGTAGAACAAAGGCTCAATTGAATCATTCCTACTACCAGTAACAGTAATGTTAAATGCAAATATTACTTCTCCAAAGGCAGTTCAAAGACCAAACAGATTTCGTCACGTCAAGACACTCAAACGGTAAAGTCATGTAATATGTATTGACATTGCTCAAACAGGCAATCCTAATTATAGACTATGGTGGTATCTCAACTAAAGCGATAGCAATTCTTACAAGTGGGAGGTAGTCACATCTTCTCAATGTCCCTAGGAGCAGCAGGCTCCTCGTGCTCCTCCGCAATCTTGTTCTCCAGGGCGTTGGGCTGGTAGGTACCCTTGTACTCAGACGCCTTGAGCATGTTCCACTTGTCCTCCTCAGCGTCGAGATGCTTGAAGTTGAACCAGAAGGCAACACCGCCGACGAAAGCGATGACGGCAACGACGACGTAGTTCCAGACGAGGAGAGGGTCGCCGGAGAGAGGGGTGAAGGCCTGGCCGATGGCGGAGGCGAAGGCGGACATGAAGAGGTTGACGGACATGACGAGGGACTTCATGTTGTCGGGGGCCTTGGAGTAGGCGTACTCGTAGGATGTGACGTTGGTGAAGATCTCACCAAGACCGATGAGGATATAAGGTAGGCACTGAGCCCAGACGTTGATGTCTGCGGGAGCACAATCTTTTCCGTTGGCATACTTGCCGCAGGGGCTCTTCTCATAAATGAAGTGCTGCATAACAGCCGATGCAACCATGGCGAGGGCGGAGATGATGAAACCGACTGTCATACGCTTGATGGGGGTGAAGGCGATACCCAGCTTGCGGAGACCAGGGTAAAGAAGGTGATCAATGATGGGAACCATGATGACGATGGAAATGGGGTTCAAGTTCTGAATGACATCGTTGGGAACACCGTTGAGAACCATGGTGGAGGCCTGAGTGGTGAGGTTACCAGTCATCTGGTTGTAAGCCAGATGGAAGACAGGCAGGTAAAGGAAGACCTTGCAGGCCATCAAACCACGACGGACCTCATCGACCCAGGCATCATCGTAAGTCATCCAAGCAGGGCGCTGGTCAACGGGAATCTGAGAGGGCTTGGCGTGCTCCCAGTTGAAGCTGAAGAAAGAGCTGCGCTTGCGGACATAGAAGAACATGCGCAAGAACTTGGAGAGGACGGAACCAGTGGCGGGCTTGAGCTTGTACTTCTTCTTGTTGAGGGCGAGGACGATGGGGGCGACGAGGAAGAAGATGGTGGGGATGAAGAAGGCGAGCCAGAAGGAGTGATACTTCTCAACGTAGACCATGGCGATCTGGCCGCAGACAGAGCCAATGTTGATGGCGAGGTAGAAGTAGAGGAAGACACGAGTGTTGGTCACGGCGGGGTCGACAATAACACGCTCGCCGTTGCGGACCTCGACACGCATCTTTGTGTCCTCATTCTGGTCAGCGAGGAGAGGCGAGACGTTGGCCTTGAAGAAACCGGTTCCGACGCAGAGAACAATGAGACCGACGATGAAGGCACCAAAAGCAGGATCCTTGCGGACAATAACAGTGGGAGAAGAAGCAGCGACGAGGATGACGTGAGCGCATGTAGAGACGGCAATGGCGATGTGAAGAGTGAGGAAACGACCGAGCTTGGCATCTGCAATCCAGGCACTTTGAGAGCGTTAGCAAAAGCAGACAACAACGTAGAATGAGAGTAGGCGACTCACCCGACAAGAGGCATGAGATAGGCAAAGAACTGGTTGAACAGAGAAATACCCTGCGCAGCCTTGGGTCCCATACCAAGCGCACCAGCCTGAGCCTGAGGATCGTTAGGATCAACGGGCGCACCCGTGTTGGAACCATCAGGCAGCGGCTGCGCGACAAAGTTTGTGTACAGAACCGCAGAGCCATAGTACGAGAAGCGCTCGCAGGCCTCTACGAAGGCAATAGTGTACATGGCCCACTTGATCTTTCCCGAGACGCGACGCAGCGTCTGGAGCTCCTCCTCGGTAGGGAGCTCATCGTCAGAGTCTGAGACGGATCGCTGGCGTGTGACGTCGATGGAGCCCTTACCCGCGATCTGAGGGATGCCGTGCGTCTCTGGGTCGGCGAGACCAGAGCGGGCGATAGCGTCTGTGTCGAGGTGACCTGCGGTGGTCATTTTGACGATCTTTCTGTGAAAAAGAGACGGAAGAGGGTTGAGAGGGATGAGAAGCCTGGCTCTGGGAGTGAGGGGGGATGCGAAGGATAATTATACATGAGACGATATCTACGGAGTAACCCAACAAGCAATCACTCCATTATGGGTCCCCTTCTGCCCCCCATTGCCACCTTCTCAAAACCGAACAAGTTGACGATCCCGGCTTGATACAGACGTAGCGAAAAACCCCAGAGTCGCAGGTCAAAGTAACCTTACGCAACAGAGTTGTTTAGTGGGGACAGACCTTATCTGTGGGCGGGACCAATGAGGGAGGGACGTTTTGACAAAAGTTCCTTGGGGTTAGGCCACATGCGGGGATTGGCCCGAGCACTAGTTTGTACGGGATCGGTCCTTTTGCCATGAACCCCAACGGGGAAGGTCGACATTCTCGTAACGTCGGCCGAAGACGAAGTGGAGGTTTTTGTCTGTGATGCTTCTGTTTTACGTTCTCGAACATTTCAGACGGTAGTACGGTATCTCTCTGACCCAGAGAAGTGGTTTGCTATCAGGGAAGAACCTGGTAGACGGATGCCTAGAACTGCAACAGTAACATTAAGCAATGCAAATAGTTCATTCAAGATGCCGTGCGCGTTGAAGTGCCTCGGCTTGGACGTCGGATCTGGGCGTCTTCCGGCTCCGAATGTTATGTCTTGGCTGCGATTGGGCCAAGCCACCAGCTGCGGATAACGATCCCGACAGTGTGGCGTCTTCAGCTGCCAATACGCCAAGAGTGCTGAAGCCAATTCGCCTCGCTTGGCTTTACAATTGGATGCTTGAAATTGCCATTGACAAGATCAACGTCGCCTCTCCGTTCTGTAATGGAAGGCAGCGTTGAGTGGTGGCTTGAACCTGTCATCGGGGGGCTTGGCGGTGACATTTGGGGTGGCGAGTGTCGCGTGCTCGGTCATGACTTTCACTTCTCTCAGGTCAAATTGCATCGATACAATACGATATTTTGCATATCTCATAAGCCCATATATCAATCAATCATCTCATCTTATTGGAATCCTTCTCCAGCTCTTCAAAATTGCCTGATCTCAGCATGTCATTCCAACATGTCCTCCTTCGACCTCCTTTTTACCCTAAAGTTCATGTAACCGTAACCTTCCTAAAGCGGTTAAACTGGTTACAGGTCTGGGAATACGCTACCCATTATTCCCGGACCAGCTAAACGAATTTTCACTGCTGCCGGTCGAGATCAAGTGGAAGAAGATAGTGGCAATACATTAATTAGATATTGAATGATGCGATAACATGCAGTGCACGATGCTACCTGGCAAACACTCTGCATGCAAAGATGCCGCATTGCTCCTGTCAAATTGACGAGGTCCCCAGTCCCCACTGAATTAACATTGAAGATAAACATCAGACGCACGCATGTCCCCGTCCATGTCAACCTCGTAAAACGGATCTCGTTACCTCACAGATTCAACACTCAGCTTCCCCTTTTGGCACTTCTCCAGATAAGCTTGCAAACAAGGTTCTCTCCTTCTTTGGTACGCGTTTGCGGGGGAACTCTATTTATTATGTAAGAGTTGATCACCACCAAATCTTACATTACCCAACCGTTTCTTTACTAACGTTCTTCGCGCGTTTAATAAACCTGCCAAGAAACCTACACGCGCGTGGCGTCGGAACTTTTGACGCAGCTCAGCGGCCCCACGGACTTTTGGAACCCGCCAAGATTGTAGAAGTCCCCCCCTGCAGTGCAGACCCGGCCAGAAGTTCCCAGTGCAGAGGACCCTTTGCTTAGCGCCTCGGACTCTTTTTTCGTTTCTCCACTCGAGTTTCTCCAATTTATCGAGTAATGAAAACGTTTCCCCCAGATTTTTTTTTGGGGTTTGGAACATGGTGCAAGATACAGTTGAGATATCGTGCTTGACACCTTGTTATTATCTCGTAATTTAGATGTGAAATGCGGGTTGATTGATTGATTGATTGATCTCTTGAGGTCAGTGCAGAGCCGCAGCCAAGATTGCATGTCGTGTGTTTTGACAGGCCAGGCCAAGACGGGTACGATAGGCCATTTTCTCGGCGCCGAGTGATAATTCTCCGTTTGGGAATCGCACGCAATGTCCCTTGGCGTTCGGGTTTCGGATTTAAATTCATGATGCATTTCTTGGCTATCGTCTTGGCGCTATCAATCGCGAATGCTACTGAATAGGCAGGTCTGTAGCAACTCTCAGACCTGTCTCATGATCAAGTATGGAATCCTCATTACACATGTCAGCATCACTTAATCCCTACTGAATCACAAAGCGTGTCTCCATCCAGGAACTGTTTACCCCCGGCACCAACCTTATCCCAAAGGGTGGATTGACCCGCTGGAGGCCGTGTCAATCATGGTAAGGAGCTTGCAACGGTCGGCCGCGATTTGCCGCATCATGCTCGGACTCAGCGCGTGATAAGCGGGCTCTAGAATGGGAGATCGACGACGTATGCCTTATCGCGGATGTCAGGTTGCATTTCCTAGCCCTACCGCATGGTCTGATTCTGGCTACCACCGAGCTTTGCTTTTCTCGATCTGGTTCTGAAGATCTTGATTAGCCTATTGCAGCTTGCCACTTATCTGTCACATTGCCCTATCGCGATCGGTGCATGTTTGATGGATTGTATGGGTGCGTCTGGACTTGCATGGAGGAGGATCCTGCAAGCACGGAATTTCGATCCTTTATCACGGACTACGCGACGACTGACTTTGTGAGTTGAGTGCTGATGGTCGTGTCGTTATTGGTAAAGAAAGAACCAGAGTGCTTGTTATGTTTGTGTATTATACTCATAGATCGAAGCGTCTTCGATACTTTTTTTTTGTCTCTGCGGCATCAAGACAATAGACATGGTAGGTTACCATTGGTCAAATCTGAGCAAGCTCATCGACTTCAATGCCTTTAAACGTTATCAACACAAAGGCTGGGACAAGGTTGCTGACGGATAAAGGAGCTCTAAATGGTGCATGCAAGTCCAGCAACTTACAGATAGTCATCTTTATCCCCACGTGATAGCAGACAGATTACCAAATATATGGACGATTTCCCTAGAAAGACTAGCTGGTCTAAAATCAGGACATGAATCTTAATGGCCGTTTGTCAACGACGGCCCCGGTAATAACTTTAGCGTTGATGGTCGATAAATGTCGGAATCCAGGATACGACACTATCGAAGGATTCTAATGCCAATGAACAGAGTAAGCACCGAGAAAGGTTCGGTGAAAGATTCAAGTTCCTGAAATACTTAACACTTAATATAATATCATAGCGCCAAGTTATACGTAGCTTTATCCAGGGCTGATTCAATCCAACGAGCACATACTGCTTACCTGAGAAACTGGGGTTATGCTACGCAGAAGCTTTAAGAAGGCTCAACGTGGCGGCAGTACTAAGAGATCAAAGAAAGGCTGTAGTATAAAAACATGTTCTTTATCAATGACTGCATGCGCGCAACTGCTCCCCGTACCCGAAGACAATTGCTTGTCTGCTGATGAATCGAAAAAGCTCGTAATATCTCAACAGAACCTCTCATACCAGCACAGTAAAAGACATGGTATTTAAACAATGACACCTTACCTCTACAGTCATTTCTCCGACATATTGATGTATGGCAAGTTTCATGCTGAGATTAATCGTTGACAGCTTTTTCTGGTAGAGCCAGAACCTCGCAGGAGAGAACAACACGTGAGAATGTTCTGTAAATCTGTCCTGGGGGGTTTGCATCTTCGTGCCATCGTTATACACGACATCATTTATATAGATCCCCAAGATGCATATATGAAACCAATTAAATCCACGATCAAATTCCGCGGTGGGGGCTCATTGCATCCGCTTGTAGGGCTCTAGCGTGGATCAACAACGGGCGTAGCGCGGAGCATCTCATCCAAGGTTTCTATTGTCACCGACGCCACAATCGTCTGGACCCAGACAATGGCGGAATGTACGCCGTTTCCGTCACACCTGAGAACGAAGATCAATTGAAACGACATCATAGAGATCTAAGTTGCACTGGGCAGTGGAATTTTAGCCCGCGCAGATTGGAGCGTCGCCTCAATGTCGTCGAGAGAGCTTTAACACTTGGAGCTAGATCACTCCTAGCATCGTTGAATATGTACAGATCTCAGATCAGATCATCTTGGCAAGCGCCTAATGTACCCTTCATAAAACCATTGCCAGCTCGCCATGATCCTTATTCCAATTACCTCGACAAAAAAGTGCCATATGAGCAAACTGGCTGAGACCACCCAATCGCGCTCCCCCCTGCATCAAGCCACGTCAACAAAAAAGGGTTAACGCCGTACGAGATGCTTGCTCAGAAACATTAGAAATAATCGTCCCTGCCGAATCCGAATACCAGGATTGCTATCCGATTTCCTGGGTCTGGTTGGAATGCTGGGTGTCTGTATGAAAAGCATTGGCATTTCGCCATCTCGAGTCTAGAATAGCCGTTTTGGGAGCTTGTAAGCTGTGCTTGTATTTATTCTGTGTGGCTTGGAGAGAGATATGTTGGTTCTGCCTTTTCTATTCATTGAGGAAATTATCTCAATGGTTGCTTTTCTTTTCTCCTCTTCGCTGACTGGACTCAACTGTCAGGTTTATAAGTTACAGCACATATTCCCCAGAGAGATAGTTGTTATGGCGATCAAAGGGGAAGGACCTTGGGTCATTGGGGCGATGTGGTCTTTGACGGCTGTTGCTTTTATCTTTGTCGTGCTGAGGGCGTACACGAGAATCTTTGTCGTCAAGTCATTCGGCGTCGACGACCATGTCTACAATCTAGCCTTTGTAAGCTGCGCGACACTATACCGACCTGAAGTCTGCTGACGTGTAGTAGATATTCCTCCTCCTCGACACCATCTTCACAACCGTCGCGGTGGACTACGGCGTAGGCCAAAACATGAGCGATGTCATCCAGAACAACCCCTCCGACTTAGCCCCAGCGCTCATCTTTGAAGCCGTCAGCCAAAGCTTTGCGATAGTAGGAATGAGTTTAGCGAAATGGTCACTCGGACTCTTTCTGCTTCGACTTGTGAAACAGCAATGGCACAAGGTGGCTATTTGGTTGTCCATGGCCAGTCTCATGTGCGCTTCCATCACTGTATGCTTTGTGTACTGGCTCCAGTGCTCTCCGCCGAATTACCTCTGGGATAGGACTATACCCGGTGGACGCTGTACGGTGGACACGGCTCCTGCGTCCATGTTGCTCTGCAGTGAGTTCCTAATGTGAGCATGCTGAGGATATAATTAACGCGGGTAGTTCTTTGCGTTGTGGTGGACTTTTTCCTTGCTGGCTTTCCATGGTTGTTTATCTGGGGGTTGCAGATGAAGATGAAAGAGAAGATTGTCATCCTCAGCAGTCTCAGTCTCGGGGTCATGTATGAACAGCCCCCATCATGTTTCTTCAAGTCTGACTAACGATACTCCAGTGCCGGAGCGTTTGGCATCAAGAGAACCCTCGAGGTACCAAAACTCAAGAGTCCCAATCACACCAGTACGTTTTCCTCGAAGGATGTAGATCATGACTAACATCGATCAGAGGACCCTGTCGGCCTAATCGTCTGGTCCGCCGCCGAGATGACCGTAACAATGATCTGCATCGGCATTCCCGTCTGCAGACCTCTTTACAAGAAGTATCTCAGCAAACGGAGTTCTCGCAACAGCAGCAAGTATAGGGAGCAGAACTCTGGCGCACCATATCCTCTGCAAACTATTGGTGGAAATACAATGTATCCAGCCCAGGTACAAAAAAAGGACAGCACGTCTGAAGCTTCGGTGAAAGAGTACGAGAGAAAGGGTGTCGGAAGTTTATATACCAAGAATAAGATCTTTACGAAAGGGGCTGAGAGGGGATATGGTGAGAATCAGAGTGAGGAGGAGATTCTGGGGCCTGATTTTCGGAGGAGTCAGGAAAGATGTTGAGGCACGCTGCCGCTGGAATCAATAACTTTGTAATATATATAGCAGGGAACAAAAGGTCATAGAGCATACGCAATTAAGTAATAGTAGTAATAAATAATCCATACACTACTGGTAGCGGGACGTTGTAATGAAAACGGGCAAAAAGAAACTCCGGTACAGGGAATCGAACCCTGGGCTCCGCGGTACTGATCCCTCAGAATATGAGAGCGCGAAATGTTAGCCACTACACCATACCGGATGTATTTGATGAAGTTTCAACTCTCTTTTGGGCCCTATTGAGGGCTGGCAAGTCAGAACAGACCCTCACCAACCCCCTCGCTCTATAGGGAAGCCTCAGCTCCCATTATATCATCTCTAAACAACACATCTTAAAACGTTCTAAAGAATTTTCATAGCGCCGATAAAATAGCCGGCCTCCGACCAAGACCTGCGAACGCTATTGCCTAACAAGCTGCATATTACAGAGGCTATTAGCGATAACGAAGGTGGAGCTGACCTGACGCTGCGTTACGCTTCTGGAGAATCATGGTGGATTTTGGCAGCTCCAAGAGTTTTACATCGCCGTCTTTTCGTTTGAAACAATTGGTAGTCGGCTTCCACAGCGCGATGCTTGGTTCTGAGGGAACGAAGGCTGTTGCCGACCAGATGACTTTTCGTTGTCATGCCTAAACGAGCCTAATCTCGAACTGGACCGGCTCTTGTCTCTGTTTACATGCCAACAGCGTTATATAGCAACACAATTGTTTATTATGGCGACACTCTGTCCAGTTCTATCATTTCAGAGCAGGTAGAGGTTATTTCTTTTTAGCATCGCAGGTCTGGATAAGTGCAGTGCTGGCTCAATTGATCCTCAAAGGCTTGCCTGTAGGATACGCGACGTCATTCATTAGCATCTACGTAAGCGTCTTCAATCGGGCAAGGTGCATTTCGGGTGGAGAGGTAGCTAATGAAATAAATCCGCTACGGCCCGTGACCCTGGGGAAATCTTAAAAAACCATTCAATTGTCATGTGTGACTCGAATTGTTTTGAAGGGAGGACTCATTCCAGTGATATTAAAAAAGTCAGCCTGAAACTGCGCAGCCTGTTTCACTACGCCGCTGATCACGATTCAACCGCGCCTCGGGCCCTTCAAATAAAATTCCCGGATCAATAGACAATAAAACGGGAACGACTCCAAACAAAATCTCCATAAAAGTCATGCGATGAAAGTTTTTACACGAGAATAAGTGTCGTAATTGCCCGAGAAATATTCGAGATATTGTGTAAAAAGGAATAAAATCAGGGACAGGAAAAAGAAAACCCTGGCTTCGAGGCTCGTGTCAGCATTGCCCTTTGGTCAATGCTGAAAAATCTCATTTCCCAGCACACTCATTCCAACAATCGAGATCCTTCCGTTTCCCCAAGAAATAGCTGCGAGCCTTGCTTTCTCGAGTCAACAAAACAAATTGTCAAGGATGTCGCTGTCAATTCAATTCGCCCGAGAAACTTGTGTCATTCCAAGTGAACCAAAATCCCCCCTTGGGCATTGAAACCCAACGCGCGCAGCAATTGCATTCACTGGGATACCCTGAGATTTTAAGATTGGCAGGCCAGGTACACGGACCATCTCATTGGCAGAATCCTTGGAACCCCCTGCAGCAATGGCCAAGTTGGGCACTGTTTGGGTTTACCATGGACGCAGGGACCAAAGAAAAAAAACACGACGGATAATATTATATCTAGGGGACTGCGCAAGCAAGAATGGAAGGGGTTCTTGTTGCATCTCATACCATTTGAACGCAGCGGGCGAAGTCTCTAGTCGCTTTTGTGAGAGAAAGCAAACTGTGCAGACCATGGCGCAAAGACTAAGCTTCGCCCAGCTTGAGCAAGCTGCACTTCACATCATCCGTCTCATTGCCGATATTCCCGGCCTGGACAACACCAAACTCGCCGTCATTGGCGATTTGGCTGTCGCAAAGTACCTCTCGCGCCAGAACCGCATAGCAGTACGTCTTCCCTCAATTGCGACCAGTCTTCCGCATCGACTAACACTTACCTCTTCTCAGAGCATCGACCTGGTCATCAGCAAATCCTCCTCCCCCGGCCGCGTCAAGAAGGAAATCGTCGGCCACCCGATCACCCCCCTCGTCGAAAAGTCCGGCACCGTTCTGTACCGCCACACGAGCGGCTGGGAGATCGAGGTCAAGCTCATCCCCGACTGGCTCAGCCCGTACCTCCCCGACTCAGCGAAGCGCGTCCGCGACGTCACCAACGAAGCGACGCTCCCGTACACGTCGCTCGAGGACCTAATCATCTTCAAGATGGACGCCTGCGGCCTGCACGAGAACGACAACAGCAAGCGACGCGACGCCTGCGACGCCGCGGCCCTGCTGGAGCTGGCCTCTGAGCATGGTGCCCTGCGCCTCGACGAGGACAAGACCGAGCGTGCGGAGGAGGCGCTGGGCGACATGGTTGAGTTCTCGGACGAGAAGGATAAGGGCTGGTGGCAGCGTTGTCTGGGCATGGTGAACGACAAGCCTCGCACGCCGCAGGAGATCCTCTCCGACATCGCCGAGCGTCCCCAGACAGCATCATCGCGCTCATCCATCCACTCCTCCATCTCCCGCGCTTCATCCTACGCCAGCACGACATCCACGCACTCGTCCACATCCTCCATCTCGTCGACCGCTACATGCGACGATAAGTGCCCCAAATCTCCAGCCGAGAAGAACGGCCGCCCTCGCAAGATGAGCGTCACCAAGAAGACGTCGCGTCACAAGCGCCACACATCCATCGGCGCGTCTACATCCGTCAGCGCTCTCGACGCGCACATGCACCGCCTTGAGCTCGATCGACCTGCGTCGCCAGGCATTGCTCTCACGAACCGCCTCTAATTTTCTTTTTTGTTTGTCACAATGTATTGGAGTTTTGACCTGTAAGCTTGGCTACTTGTACATCATAGGATACCCTCGATTCTTTGTGGTTTAGCGTGTATTTTATTATGTACGAATTGGCGGGACATGTAATTGTAAAAGTTTGGGCCTGGTTTAAAAAGTTTTGGAGTTGCGATGGGAAAATGAATGGGGTCTTCGCTTCGTGTACATGTTTTGGTGGGTTAATTGGATGTAAATAGACCTTCTTTACTCTAGATTTTCTTTGTCAATTAATTGCAAGCGGTTTGTATTAGTTTTGTTGCGTCTTCTGCCTTGGAGTGGTGATGCGACCTTGATGAATTTTACTGTCTTACTCTGGTTGATTGTTTTGGAGATTGACCACGTGCTTGGATCAATGTTGCTGTGACGTCGCATTGCAATTACCTTTGCTGGATATTTGCTGATCAAATTAATATTAACATTTATTTATTTTTATTGTGTAACGGATTCCCCTATCAATTATGTTTGTTGTCGGTATTCGACGCGCAAAGTTGACTCACGATCGAGTCATAGGGTAGTGACCGAGTTTTAAGACAAAACATCACCAGCCAACAACCATGGGACTGCAAAGAAGCAGCACAACACGTCTGTACCAAATAACACAGCGAAAGAACATGGCCACCCGTAGCTCAGTGCTTACTAACCTCCCTTGGGTTCCCTTGGTTACTCAATTCAATACCAGCGCCTTGTGATTTTCCCGTTGTCGCGAGGCGTAACCAGCCACCTCGGCACCGATACGACCAAAGATCTGTTCATTCAGGGAGGCAGCCATAGCTAAAACCTTGACACATGGGGCTGTCCGCTGTCGCATCCCAGCGCTAGAAACTTGGATCTTGTTTTAATTAAAAACATGCCGAAATCCACTCCCGAAAAGCTTGTGACCTGGGGATCCTTGCCTGGAAATAACAGACCGAGGTCGCGTCAATAACTTTGGGCTGGTCGGGCCGCAAGCTCGCCCGAAATATGGGGTTCCGGCTCTAAAGCATTTTTGAACTGTTATTCCCGCTATAAAGGACGAGGCGATCCTTAACTTACCCTCGAGAATACGTAAGTAAACCAAGACCGCGCTTTAAACACCACTGGAAGTCCGATCGAAAGTATATGTCTTATATCGCACAGCGATGATATGTAGTCTCATTTCAATTAGCGCAAGGCGAGCTTCAACTCTATCAATCTGCCCTTGGATGAAATGGGGAATAAACCGGAGACATCTTGTCTTGCGCGGAGTGGATTAACTTCAACCACTACGTTTCTCAAATCTCGACAAGTCCGCTAGTCGAAAAGTTTCCATTCATCTGAGCGTCCTGGGTAAGTCCAGAATGGCACTACGCTCAATTAGGAACATCCAGAGAACGCCAAATTTACACGACAGATGAGAATACGGATGAGACGCATAAACATGTTGACTTGACCTCAATTCAGAATGTGAGAATATTAACAAGATGAGAATAATTGAGTAGAATAGGATGTATTGGTGTCTTTAATTGAGTACGCTGAGGAGCCCTCCCATCCGCTCTGACAGCCTCCATCATTTCATGACGACAAGACAGTCCTTTATCACTCTACCGCTTCTCCGATTTTGAGTCCAGTGACCCGATCTCCCAAATCAGTACCCCATCAACAGTGCGAGGATTATATAGGGTGTGTTCTGCCCGGCCGTCGCCGCCGCTACTCTGTTCGCTGACCTTGCCGCCGTGTCCAGCCTGGCCTTCACAGTCGCTGGCTCGCTTGGTAGGTGGAGACACATCGGTGTGACCCTGCTCGAGCTGTCCAAGTCCGCTGGTAGACGCTCCGAGTTGCTGGTTCATGTCACCGTCCTCAGATTTGATGGAGTAGCTCCGATCGCTCCGATCACTTCGTTGCTCATCCATGAAAAGAGAGCTTTCCTCACGATTGGCATGCTTATTGGTAGCGTTTGCGACATAGGGAGAGGATGAGGTCTGGGTTTGGGTGGCTTGCTCTCCAGTGTTGCCAGGTGAGGTAACCCCAGAGGAGTTGTGATAGGTTCTGTTGGGTAGAGCGCCACCTTCGTCGTCAGGGACAGGCCCCAGTCAGGTTCACCATCGTCTACGAGGCCGTTGACGAGAAAGACATCGCAATCGTTTCTGAACTCAGCGAGCTCCTCAAACATTTCGTTCAGACAATGCACTAGAAGTTCATTGTTGGGGAAGCGCTTCTTTTCCTTCAACTCAATTAGAAGACGAAGCAGTTTGTGTGCCACCCATCCGGTATGCTTTCCTGCGTGCATGCTTAGTTCGATCAACGGTTGGAGGGACTGGAACAACGTACTGGCAAGGCCAAGCATGTCAACGTGACGATCAAGGTCCCGAGACAACTGTCGGATCTGAGAATCAGTTTCGTACCTGGTTTCATTAATGCAATCCTGAGCATGAGTCTCAGCCGCGGCGACTCGAGCGGCCGCATCTCTCTTCAGCCTTTCAACGGTCTCTGCAACCGTCTTAACCATTTGCGCATTGCGAGTTTCAAGGTCAGAGGTGTATTGAGCGATACGAACATCAGCATCGGTCTTGGCCTGAGAAACGTCAGCCCTAGCCCAAGCAGCACCAGCCTCTGAGGCATTGAGACGGGCTTCGAGTTCAGCGATGATGGGACCGGAACGCGCATGGGCTCTGTCTTCTCCGATTCGGCCGCTATAGTCCATCAAATCTACGACCATATTGCCGATACGCCTGGCATGCCGCTCGAAGGGAGAGTCACCGACTCCGGCAGACCCAAGAAAGGGATCCCTGTTGTTGGAAGCCATGGTGATGCTGGGCCCTTGCCGAAGGAGTTGTGACCCTGCGCGGACTGTCGGGTGTTGTCCGGTCGCACGATGCAGCTATAACCAAGAGTTAGTCGACCAACAATAAAGAAAGAATCATGAGAAGCTTGCGCAATCAGAGAAACTGTTTACCTTTGTGTATCGCTTGTGAAGCGCGATGCGAGTGGTGTCAGGATGAGTCCTGTGATGTGATGTGATGTGATGGTTGGGTTTCCAACTGTGGATAAACTAAGCCGTGCAAGGTTTATTGTTGGCAGGTTGCGTAGGGCGTGATACTGAGCGGTGTCGAAGCGTCACGTTTCTTAATAGTAGATTCAATGCGTGTTAGGCTTGATCAATGTAAAGATGTTTTATTGATGGCTGGCGAGCTAAGTCCTATCTAGTGCTAAAAGGAACGTGTATATATATCCAAGTGGCTCACGGTCGAGTGAGCCTGGCTCGCCGTGAGTCGTGAGCCGGATCGTGATCCCTTCGTGAGCCGTCTGTAAGGCTCACGGTCGGTTATGGGGTGCGAGGCGTGAGTCGGTGTGTGATTAGTGAGAAATTGGCGGGGCACACGTGACGTAAGCGCTCGTTCCTGTTAGGTCGTAACATTTTTAATCTTTTACGTTTAATAATAAAGAATCAAGATGACTTCTTATATCTGAGGTAGTTATAATAAGATTATTAATTAAGTTATTATAAAAACTTATTATTTTATTTAAATTAAGAGACGTAGTTTTATCAAGGCTATATATATATTATCTTCTAAAAGCTAAAGTTAATCAGGATTCCTTAATATACTAGCTTAATATATCCTATTAAGAGATTATAAGCTTTAACTATTAATGAATGATGCTGATGTTAACGGTCGCGGCGGGATATTTCTGTTGTCAAGCTGTTGATGGGCTTCTTGGATAAAAAGACGAGCTTGAGAATAATCCTCAAAAGACAAAAAGAAAGCTTGAGATTACCCGAAGGAAAGACAGAGATTTGCAGGACAGACTGCCATCACCTCCAATGCTGATCTTGCAATATTACAGTCAAAAGATTCAAATCCCGTGGTTTAGTTTTCTCAAAACACGGCATCCAATAACGTGAGCCCCGATGCGAGTTGTCCCATCTTCAATTGCCCAATCAAACACACGGGAAAGCGGATGGTCCCGCTCATAGCCCCAAAATCTGACAGTAACCAAGTATGGAAGAGGCACGGAGGTAATGCTGATGCTAAGATCAAAGACTAGTGATCCATGTCAGACGTCTTAGCCCAAATAGTAGCGCAAGGTAGATTAGCCCGTCATACTTAAAAGGTTATTCTACACGCGACCGGACATTAAATACCGTGTTGCCCTCTACAAGATCACTCCATACCAAAGCCTTCTTGCTTCATCTTTCAATATGTCTATTTCTCTTGTCCTAGTCACTGCAATTGTGGCATCGCTATCCTTTTTCCTTGTCAAACATATACAACAATCCAAGAACCCCCCCTTGCCACCTGGCCCCAAAGGTCTACCACTCTTAGGCAACATCCGTGATCTCCCACCACCCGGAACACTAGAATGGCCTCACTGGCAGACCCACAAAGAGAAGTACGGTCCAATAACTTCAGTTTCTGTGCTTGGACAGCATTTTGCCATTTTACATGACAGACAGGTCATTGTGGATCTTCTCGAGACGAGAGCGATAAAGAGCGCTTCACGCCCCAAGCTGGTCTTTGCTGGGGATATGTAAGACGCATGTCTACAATTGTATTTTACTCATGCTGACGAGCTGTTGTAGCGTTGGGTACGATGGCGTTATGGGCTTGATGCCGTACAATCGAACCTTTCGAATGCATCGCAAACTCACAGCCACCCAAGTCAGCTCCAAATCCATCACTCGATTCGAGCCCATTCAAGAACTAGAGATCCTCCGACTGTTGAAGAGAATCTACCAAGATCCTAACAGCCAGAATCTTCCAGACCATTTGAACCAGTATGTCTTCCTCATGGCTCCCGAAGCAGATGCTCACAAGGCTATAGGGTATCCGGCTCCATCATGCTCCGCATCCTGTACAACTACGAAATAGACCCCAGCAGAAACGACCACATTGTCACCATGGCTAATCTCGTGATGGAAGAGTTCTCTCAAGCTACCACTCCAGGTGCATGGATGGTAGACTTCATCCCTTGGCTTCGATACCTTCCAGACTGGATGCCAGGCGCTGGGTTCAAGAGGACCGCCAAACTCTTCAGACAACATCTCTTACAAAACGTCCAAGACCCATACAAGTACGTTAAAAAACAGATGGCTCTTGGCAACGATAACGTTTCCTACGTCGCTGGACTCATTAAAGATGTTCACCGCAAGATTGATCCAGTGGAAGAAAGCATCATCGCATGGACTGCAGCTTCGATGATGAATGCCGGAACCGACACCACTGGTGCAACACTTCTCGCCTTCTTCGCAGCCATGCTTCTCAACCCCAACGTCCAAAAGAAAGCTCAAACAGAAATCGACCGCGTCATCGGAGACTCACGCCTCCCCTCATTCTCCGACAAGCCAAACCTTCCTTATATCAACGCCATATCCCAAGAAGTCCTCCGCTGGCACACCCTCGCCCCAATGGGTTTCCCACACATGACGACTGAAGATGACGCATACGGCGGCTACTTCATCCCCAAGAACACACTTCTTTTCCCAGCGGTAGCATCTCTCACGCACGATCCTGAAATCTACCATGATCCAATGGAGTTTAAGCCTGAACGATATTTTGAACCGTATAAGGAGCCTTCCCCGATGGATCTTGTCTTTGGGTTTGGGAGAAGAGCGTGTCCGGGACGGTGGATCGCCGATCAGACCCTGTTCTTGAGTATTGCGCAGACGTTGGCGGTATTTGAGATTAAGAAAGCGCTGGATGGTGAGGGGAGGGAGATTGAGGTTGTTTATGAGCAGTTGCCGGGCGTTATTTCTCGTGTGAAGCCATTTCCGCGTAGGATTGTGCTTAGGAGTGAGAAGTACAGGAAGATTTTAGAGTAGATAGATTGAGATGTAGTTGAATTTCATTGCAAACGCGTCGTCGGTATTTTGCTCAGTAATGTCCTGCAATTTCAGTATTTCCAAAGTGTATATGAAGAGGGTGAATTCTGAGCGATATAAATAGGGTAGCAAATCCAAGTGATAGAGTCTCGACATATCTATTTTATGTTCTTGCTAAGAGATGACCTAGCCCTGTATATGATGCAGTCCAACTCTCATATGCCCGTTTCCCCCTCGGTTAGCCCTAAGGTAATACGGCACAAAGACACCCTCCCTCTCATCATCGAACCTGGATCCCTGTCCCCCAACATCAAAACCAGGTGTCGACATTGCCTCCTCCAACTTCCCACTGCGTCTCCAGCATGAAGTCCTCAACGCAATATACTCTTCATCTGTCCCACTAATACATAACCTCTCCTCCTTGACCGCAATACCCGCTTTGAGCCCAACATCCTTGAAGTGATTATCTTCCCATGCATTGTCTGCATCCTCGATACAGTACACTAGTGGTCCTCGAGCAAGTGTCAGAGTATGCTGGTTCGTGTATGGGTGCGGAGCAATGTAACGAGGCGTGAAGTTGCCGATTGTGATTGAGAAGGCGGGATTCGTAGCCGTGTAAGCTGGATCGAGAGTGAGATAGCCTTTGTGCAAGTGAACACTACCTTCGTTAGGCTTCGGCTCCAGGGTATACTGATTCCGAGACCACCCCGGAATCCTGAGTCGTATCGTGGTGTTCACCGCCGCAGGACTCGTAAGTCGAAACTTGACGAGTCCATCCCACGGCCATTCCGTCTCTTGCCGAAGAACAACCTCCCCCTCCCCAACCCCAATCTTCAACTCGGCATTCGTATACAAATGCACATTCACAAACACCTCCTTCCCATTCTCCTCCCCAAAGTCCCAAAGATATCCCCCTAACGATCCGTACAAACGCGTCACATTCGGCGGACAACAAGCGCACCAAAACCACTCCTCCCTCACACTCTTATCACTCTCCGAGCTCCCAAGCTGATTAACATACGTAAACGCCTTTCCATCAAGACTCATAGCCGTCATGACATTGTTATACAAACAGAGTTCCATGACATCCCCATACTTTGCATCAAGCTCTATATGCAGCAGTCGCTCGGCAAGCATCATGACCGCAATGGATGCACAGGTTTCGGCGTAGCATCCGCCTTCGTCGGTGGATTGAGGGAGGAAATAATCACGTCCGAAACCTTCCCACTGTTTAATGGCGCCGATACCGCCGGTGAGGTACATCTTTTTGGTCACCATGTTGTCCCAGAGGCGGTATACGGCGTCTTTCCAACTTGATGAGGAAGAGAGTGATCGAGAGCCAGATTTATCGATGCAGAGCATGTCGGCTACAGCGGTGAGAAGATACATTGCGCGTACAGAATGCCCCTCGACGGTCTGTTGTTCCAGAATTGGTTGATGAGCCTGGCAGTACCAATGAGACCCGTGCTCAGGGTAGGGATCAGGTCGATGGTACAGACTCTGACCACGTTGCTTCGACTCCCATTCAAAGTAATGCTGTCCGTCCTGACCTTTGTGGTTTCCCCGTTCTTCGAGGAAGTATCGGGATAGATCGTAAGCGTCCTTGTTTCCGGTGGTCTGGTATAAGCGGAACAGAGCCAATTCGATCTCGGGATGTCCAGGGTATCCGTGCAGTTGGTTCTCGTCCGGTCCAAAGGTACGGTGAATCAAGGCAACGTATTTCTCCATTGGCTCCAAAAGAAGGTTGTTCTTGTAGTACTGGTGGTGAGCTAGGGCTGCTTCGATGAGATGACCAGCGTTGTATCTGAAAAATGAGTACAAGAAACAAAGTAATGGGGCGACTTGACTTACAATTCATGCATATCCTGCAGATTCGTCCACCGCTTTCGCGGCTCAACAACAGTATAATGAACATTTAAGTATCCATCATCCTGCTGCGCCGACCGTATCATTTCGACCAAATCTCTCACCGCAGCATCGATTTCAGTATCAAACTCATCATGAAGAAAATAACAAGCACCCTCGATCCACTTCGCTATGTCGCTGTCCCAGAAGAGATGGAATGGAACAGGCCACATGGATTTGTCCGCATAAATCTCATGCCATTTCAGTTTGAAACAATCGTAGCGACCGGTCTCGCGGAGTCTTTTGAGCTGTGTATGCAGTGTTGTCTTTGAGACTGTAGTCCTCCGACGGTGGAGGAGGGAACCTGGTGTTAAGGTGGTATGGTGGAAGATGGATTGGGGATGAGACATGTTGGCGGTATATCGAGGTGAAGATTGCGGAATTGAATCTCAGAAACGTTTCTCAAGCTTTAACATGATATATTGCTATTGACAATGGTATGCGAGTCATCGCCAACGATTATTGATCAATTGGTGCAGGTCTATTAGTTCGTGGTGGGAGGCCCGGGCATCCCACCGGAGCTCCCACCGGGGACCAGTCTTAAAGAGGGGAAACGGTCAAATGCTCACGATAGTGGATTGGGCAGTCTCACAATATCCGAAAGAGGTCTGGTTAGATAAACCGGCGAAAGCCATTTTTTTTTTGCTTCTCTCGTGATGATTCTCCATCCCTGGGCGACATGCTATCAAAGTTGTCGCGATTCATATCGATAATGGTCAACTTGATGGAATTGAATTGGACTGCAAAGTACATTGGTTCTCAAATAGTAAAGAGAATGAATTGTTGCTGTCATTGTGTTTCACCTTTCCCCCCTCCCCATATGTAGAGATACGTCGAGAAACCTCATGTCAAATCGGATTGACCAATCCAGTAATTGATTAGTTCAAGTGGAGATGGACCCTGTCTCAAAATTCCAGGATTGGTGCGGCTATTTTCTTGGGCGTTGATCATCCGATGTGACTTTTACCCCAGACTCCAAACCAACTTTAGCCCAATTCGTCCATTTCGCAAGTGGGGTAATCTCCAACCTCGCTCTGCATCAAATCAACTTCACCAGACAACAACAATTGCACTTCAACAAGCTTAAAATCGTCCGAAACCTTCCCCGCAATGGAGAAGTACCAATGCTCACAATGCCCAAGAAGCTTCAAGCGGCCGGAGCATCTGAAACGACACCAAAAAGGTCACGATAGCCTGAGGGGTTTCGAGTGTGATGTTTGTCACAAGAGCTTCACGCGCAGGTAAGCGGTGCAGAGAACTTTTTCATGGGGCAAGTACTGATATGATTGAAGTGATATCTTGACAAAGCATGTAGCTATCCATGATCATCCGTCCGCTCTGTCGAGACGCGATGTTGGACGGCGCAGAGCCTGCTTGGAGTGCGCGAGGGCACGGGAAAAGTGTTCGAGGAATCTCCCGTGTTTGCGGTGTTCAACTAGGGCACTGGATTGCGCTTATCCTCAAACCAGAGATAAGCCTGCGGACCCATCGCCGGCTTCTCAGACTGGTACCATTGCACATACTCCTAACCAAACTCTCATCACTCCAGGCGAGACAGTAGACATCACGTCGCAGGTTCAGCACGTACCGTCGAATTTACAGCTCGCCTTACCTTCACATCAGACTCCGCATTCACAACACAGTCCTTTCTATGAAAGGACTAGTAATGAGCAACAACCGAGCTTTGACTATGATCTGTCCACCTACGATATCGACTGGGACTTCCCCATCAACTGGTTACCGTACGACAATGAGATTGAGACAAACTACTACTCGATTCTAGGCCTCGATATGACTCAGCCTCTTGATGCTGGTAATGGAACCATGATCGACGAGGCAGTTCCCAGCTTTCCTATGATAGATGCTCCACCACGACGTTTGTCGGCCGTAACATCGCTTTCCCCAGGCAGCGGTCTGGGTGTTTCTCCGCAGTTAAGTATGAGCTCTGGGCGTACTATACCCGGAGACCTGTACGCCACCAGCTCGAACGGTGCCCGACGCCCCTGTACTGCCAAGTCAAAGCAGCTGTTCCCACCACCGGGGCTTCAAGGATACACACAGCTACCAACCATTTCTCAAGACTCATGCCTCCAAGCCAACAGCCCTGTAACTCTTTCGTTCCCAGATCTGAGCCATATTGTCCTGGAAGACGAAGCGTACAGAGAGTCCTTCATGACACAGTTGACGTACAGCAAGATTTGCGAAGCCTTTACGCAAACGTGTCTCGAATCTTCCATGTTCCATCAGCACTACAACTCCGCTGACTTTCCGTCATTGAAGCTACTCGAATACTTCGTCAAGCTCTTCTTTGAACACTTCGACCCAATCGTTCCTCTTGTTCATCCTCACACAACCGACCTAAACGGAAACTGGGTTCTTGCTTTGGCGATCTGTGCCATCGGGAGCCAGTACTCAGCCACAGCGGATATCCACGCCTGCGTCGTACCATTCCACGAATTTCTCAGAAGAACTTTGGTTACTCAACTGGAAGGATCAGAGCTCAACCTGCCGCTCGCACAGGCTCTTGTACTGAGTCAAGTTGGCCTGCTATACTCTGGTGGTAGTCAACTTCAAAAGGCTGCTTACGAGAGGATGGGAAGTCTGCAGAGGGTCATCACCTTCTATCGTTGCCGATCTGGTTCTCAACGAGATCTGTCGACGGAAGCTCATGGCGAGGGAGATGAAGATAGATGGCGAGGATGGGTTGAAGATGAGACCTGGCGTCGACTTTGCTATTTCATTTGGGTGAGTTTCTGCTGCTCCTTCAGCTCAGTTTCGGAGACTGACCCACAGAAGCTACTAGATCGCATGGGACGCTACTTCTTTGATGACCACCAGACAGGTACATTCAACGTCGCGGACTTGACCTTGCCGCACGATGGCCTTTGGTCACAAGCAACGTCATCAGATTGGATACAACTCCATCGCCGCGTTGACAGTAAGCTGCACTTCTCCCCCTCCCCTGAAGCCCCATGCTTACGCGCTACAAGCGAATCCAACACTCGAAGTTGCCATCAGCGAGCTCTTCCGCGAACGAACCGCCAAAGCCGACCTAGGCGAATTCTCCCGCATTCTTCTCCTGCACGCAGTATACCAAGAATACACCACCGTCAGCACCTACTGCAAGCGTCCTCTCTCATCCTGGATCCCCCAGAACAACCCCGAGCCTCGTAACGACGAAACCCAGCACCTTCAGCTTTCGGACTCAAACTGGCGAAACGCTGCTCTCGACTGCGTGGATACGCTTCACTGGGCCGCTAATGCCACCATAGCATCTCTGCTTGGAGCTGAGCACCCTACGGTCCTGCATCTGCACTTTTCGCGTGTTGTACTCCTAGTCCCACGAAGAGCGATAATTACGCTGGTGAAATACCTCAAGGCGCCGGAGCATTCGAGAAAGGAGGCTGCGAGCCAGAAGGAGGCGTTGCAGGCGGAACGTGAGATATCTGAATGGGCTCAGCAAGATGGGGTAAGTTCTCTTGATCCAAGATTAGTGCGCTGCTAACAGTATTACAGTCAAAAGCTCGACTTGCAGCGCTACACTGCGGCTGTTTCTTCTGGCACGTCCGACGCTACGCAAAAATGACATTCTACGAGCCCCCCTGCGTATTCTGGGCGACCTTGACTCTCTGGGCATACAGTGTATTCTGCAGTAAATCACGAAGACCGGGAGGAGGAGAGATGCGCAGCGGGAGTGTCACTCGACAGATATCGCCTGATCGATCAGACGATGAGAATCCCACGTTCATAAGGCTGGACCGACCAAATGACGATGAAATGGTGCAGCTGTTTGTCAGAACGGGGGTGTTGAAGGCGTATATCAGTGGTGTTGGGGACATTTACTCGGCGAGTGCGCCGAAGAGGATATTGAAGGAGGGGAAGAGGGTTTTGGAGAGTGTGGCTTTGGCGTGGGGGAGGAATCGAGAGTATCTGGAGTTGTTGCAAGCTCTGGCCTGATGACGCTTTGTGTCATGATACAGAGTAACTGTTCGTATGAGTCAAAGGTAAGCACTTGTTGGACCGAACTGCTTTCTCCATCCTTCCCAAATATACATACAATGAGGAAATTACAACCATCAACCTGAACCAATTGTTCGTATAAAGGGATGCGGGTATCTGAGCAAGACCTTAATTCTGACAGGCTGTCATCCTAGGGTAGAGCCCCAGGCCACACCTTTACCTTTGTTGATCGGCGTAAAGGTGTTGACAGGTTTGAAGCTCGAGGTTTTCCGCATTGCTGTCTACAGGCAGGGACTTCTCCTATATCCCGTAGGTGTTCTTGTGTGTCCCTGACAAATCTATGCTCTTGATACCCGCGAAAAGCTCCAGAGATTTCAACGGGGGGGGTGGGTGAAAGAGTGATCTCCTCAGACGAGAAGTTGCACCCCTAGTGGTCTGCTATAAATTACTAGACATGGGCAAGTGATGGGTTGTTTGGGCCTAGTATCGTTACCAGAAAGAACCACTGTGGCTTAGGTAAGAGTATGATAAATCTCGTCTAAATGCTAAAATATTTGATGACTTTAGGATAAGTTTAAAATGGAGGTGGGGGTGGGGATAGGAGTTCAGTAAAAGTGGAGAAAAGTGAATGGGGGGATAAGTGTGACAAGTACCCAGAACGCATCGCAATTCCTCTTGGCCAATTCTACGTCACTACACGACAAGAGTAACAGTATCAGAAATGACTGATGTAATTAACAGTCACTGGCCGTTGATCATATGTGTATTGACGAACCCGAGATTTGTCGAGACCATCTCCAATCAACAAGAGAAAGGCAAGGACTTGGCTGCATCCGAAGGGGGCTGGACGAGACCTTTGCATCATGGGTTTAATTCTGGATTCTATTACATAGCCCCTTTGTATACCAACCATGAGGGATCAGCTGGACTCTGTACCTGCTCTGGTCAAATAAGGTTGAGATACGACAAGTGAGTTAACAGCCTTGCTCCCAATAAGGAACAAATGAGTATACACGCAATAACGCTGGTGATACTGGCAGGTAGCCTTTACATTTCATTCCAGGATGAGTGCAGAGGTGCGAGAATGACCTTTGCTTTGGTGCCAGAAAAATAGTATCAAATCAGGGACGACAGAGCCGGGGTAAGCCTGTGGTATGAAGAGATTATCGGCGAGTCATGACGATAAAGCCATCTCCCAAAGAGGACACTCTAGAAGAGCACATGCGCTCAAAGCAAATGCTAAAACTTTCAATATGCTGCTTCTTAAAACTTTGACACGAACATTGGGTCTGTGAGGCAAGCGGAACGTCGGTGGTAAAAGTATGTCGATGCCAATTAAAGTCCCCTGCCATTAACATGTGCCTAGCTATCTTACATATACGCCATGATCCACGGATCTTCGGCAAGCTTTTTTGCCGACGATCTCTTGGTCGGATCCCACTGAAGCATTCTGTTCATCATGGCAAGAAACATCTCTTTTCGCTCCTCTTCAAGACTGATTTCCTGCTGTGCAAGAGAAGTTCTTTCAGGAATGTCAATCTCATTACGGAAGTCACCTAGAGAGGTCACTGATTAGTAAATGGAAGTATTTATGATGGACGGCCAAAGCAGTTTACCGGTGTCTGTAAAGAACTTATGGCTGGCTTTGCCGGCTTGAAGGACTTCGGATGGAGGCTGACCGAGGAGCGCGATAATCTCGGCGAGATGTGCTCTGCTGCGGTATTTCTGGAACTCAGGGTCATGTCCTGTAAACATAAGCCGACCTTCGAAAATATCCCAAATCTGGTACCGAAAAGAATCAGTTTCAGTGCACCAAACGATGCTCTGAGTGGCTAACCATGCATCCTGCGTTCCATATGTCCACCTTATACGACCAGGGGGCTTGAAAGATGACCTCGGGAGCTCTGTAAATGTCTGGCTGGATGTCTTCGCAATGTTCTACATCACCAGGAACAGCCGAGCCAAAGTCGCATAGAACTGGCGCGCCATAGTCCTTGGGCTTTCGAAGTTCTCGTGATATGTATATGGTTCTGCCGTCTGCCTCCTTTCGTGGAGTTGGATCACTGAGCTCCTCTTCTTCGAAAGCCGCGAATACTGAGTCGTCATAAATACCAAACATGATATTGTCTCCTGTGATATCTATGCATCAACGGGTAAGAAAGTTTTCAAGTTCCAGTGAGGACTGTGGAACAATACCTGTATGTATGATATTGCACTCCGTATGGAGATAATCGAGTGCTAGAAAGAGTCGATGGAGGGTGACAGCGAGGACTACTGGCGGTAGTCTTCCCACTGGATTACGGTTCAGGAATGTCCAGATACTCTCCCACAGTAGCAGGTGAACCAGACAACGATGGGGCCCATCTGGCCTAGTAACGTCGAACGAGTCAAGCAGTTCCCTCACCGCGCTGCGCCCAGAATGCTTTCCTGATGAGGCAGAGATGCGTTTGTACATTTTGCGCTCATTATCTAGCTGCTGGCCCATGGACTGGGAATTGATGAACAATTTGAGTGCGACATGTCGACGAGCACTGATACACGTTAGCAGAGGGGTCTTTCAAAGGGCCATTCTTCACATGTTAGCTCTTGAAGGGTCTCGGACATACGTACTCCAGGTCACGCGCCAACCAGACAGTTGAGCTAGCTCCGAAGCCTAATTTTCCAACCACCTGGTAGCGGTGCCTGAGGACTTCCCCAATCCTGGCGGGATAGTAGCGAGACGCAACATCGTCAGGGAAAAGCTCTTCCTCTATTCTTTGCTCTACAGGCACCCTTTGGAAATTGAAATTTGAGAACACGAGGGGTTTCCATGCCTGGCTGGGCCACGGTATCTTTCGTAGAATTGAAGTCATCCGGACGCGTTTGTCGAGTGAATTATGAGAAAGAATTCCGGGAAAATATGGATTACATGGACTGGCGCACCTTGGCTCAAGGTAGTGGAAAGACTTGTTAGAGAATTGAATGGCGATGAGCTGTCGTGTCGTGGATGAGTCAGGCGCGAATTCGACAAATCAAAGCAAAGTCGGCCAGCGCGTACGCGAAAAGCTGAGAATCTAGAGATGGAGGCACATCGAAGCACGCGATGCGACTTGCTGATGTTCGCAGGCTTATAGGGTTCAAAACTAAACGATTATGGTTGTTCTGGCTACTATTACGCTGCGGGAATATGTCATGGCCTGAGTGCGAATAATCGTGTTCCTGATATACAGGCGATGTAGCTGTAACAGGGCGGTTGATGAAACTGAGCGGCAATGTTGAGCGTTTATTGGCTTGCAGCGAAGAAACGCTCATCAAAGAGGTGGCAATGGTTTTTCTCGTCTATGAGAATCTGACAGACAGGCAATGGCCCATTAGATTATCATCAGGCCAAAGTTTCAATCTCTCTATTATTAGCCTCAAGTTTGCGTAAGCATTATTCTCTCAACCCTTCTACCAACCGACCGGGTCTCAAACACGGTTCAGAATTGACATTACCTTCCATCTCTCTGCCATTGAACAAGAAATATTATAATCGTCCGTGAACCGGTCATAGAAGTAGAAGGATCAAAACTAGCATGCAACATGCCACCTAACAAAGATCGACTCTATATTGGTTGGACTATATGCTCGCAGGGCTACTGTGAAGATGCCTGGTGGAGAAGATAAGTTAGTCTAGCAACAGACTCCCGGCCGTTCCTCGACTAACCGATGATAACAGACATTATTGGGCTCTCCTAGTCGGGCCAGAAGCCGAAGACGGCGAGATGTGCGGAAAGCGCCTGCACGCCAAATAAAGAATCTATCGCGGTATGTAATCAGTCTGGGAGTTTAGCGAGCAGGAGACCGGCGCGGAATCCATCTTTATGACCTTGGCCTGCACTTAAATTGCAAGAGTTAAGAATTTGAAGAAGCTTGAAGCCATCTTGAGGAGTATACCTGTGAGGGGGGAATAGCCGGGATGGAATTGTGTTAAATAGGTCAAGGAGGCACTGGCAGCCCTGAAGAATAACCATGAGGCGCTGGGAACTGTGGTACTAGATTGGACCACTGTCTGTGATACTGCTATATGATATGTTAAGTAGAAAGCCTTGCAGCATTGATTTGATGGTCAGGCTGTTCTAGGATAGTTCGATACTAGCAGAGTATCGATATATAATCTGCTTGAAGGAAAGTAGCTAGTACTATAAAGGCTCGGTATGATGAATAATCATGATTATAGGAGAGTTGTGTAGATATAGCCCAGTTAGAATTCGCCAAAGCACTACCGATGTATTCTTTCTATTTCCAGTTTATGCGGTAAAGGTATAAGGAACCCGTCGAATATATCCCGCTAGAATGTATTACGTGGATTGATATGCCAGGATGATCTAGCCGACCCCTAGTCTATAATGCCAGTCACTGTATCCCTAGTAGCCATAATATTAAGACTGCTAAGGTCATATGGGTGAAGACTGGGTTCTCTTACGGCCTGTTATGAAACTCGATGAGTTCTCTTAGACCCGGAAAGGCCTCTTTGCTATCCCCAAGCTTAAGACTATAATATAACTCTCGATGAAACTCCTGGATTGTTGTGAAAGGACCCTAGAAGGATTTGTCAGGAAGACGTTGATTAAAGATTGGACCTCCGTCAATATTGGCGATCCTAATGCTACCTAGTGGGGAATAATACGTAGCTCTATAGTCATAGCCTTTAGTTACGCGAGAATCTGCGCCTTAGACTCTTCTGATTATCTACTTTTAAGATAGGTCTTGACCTTGGATCCTTTCCATAAGAATATATATATGGCCCTTGTGCTTGAAGCTATAGTATACTTTTAGGACTAGGATTGATACATCTTGCGTAATAAATTGTGTAGACTTTGCTTCTGCTAGTGTTATGAAGGCAGTGGCTTTAATATAGAGCTTTGATGAGGCTAAGAGGATATGCCTTAGATGTTTTCGTAGGTGGCGGAGATATGGTGTTTTATTAAGTTTGTAAAGGAATAAAGTGAGGAGCTGTATAAGAAGGCCAGAATTAAATTCTCTTGACTCTATGGTTGCAGGAACCGGATCTTTGACTGCATTGGTGTTCATCGCGTTGTGAGTTAGAGGACGGTTGGATTCGGTTATACTGACAGCCGCGACATCGGATTAAAGAATGCCCGATACCCTCTGATTGACCATGCGGCGCAGAGACGTATGAATTTTATGTTGAAGAAAGCGATTAATTTCTACTTAGAAGCTTAATTGGCCTGATGAGGAAATATCTCAAAAATAGAATGACGTTTAGTGTTGCGTATACTCGCGCTTTTCACGTTTGCCTCATGAAGGTGAAGACAAGCTCATTGCCGAGGATATCAGATAGCGCTAAACTCGAAATATCTTTTTCAGAGGTCAAAGCTGGGGAGACCTCCAATCACTTCATGCGTCACGCCCTTCAATATACATGTTCCTCGTGATTGATAATAAGTAGAACATAACTGAGCATCGGTTATAACGGGTTCATGATCCGATCCAACCGACTCTGGGGTATAAGAGGCTCTTTGAACAGACTGTTCTCTCTGTCATTATTTGAACACTTATAAAACTCTCTCATCTCAACAAACATGTCTAATACCAAGCCCCAAGCAGTTCAAGTCTCCCAGACTTCCGATGGAATCACAACCATCACTCTTTCACGCCCTCACCGCAAGAATGCCATTGACGGTCCTACGGCAAGAAAGCTTACCGACGCGGTTCTGGCATTTGAGAACGACGCCACGCAAAAAGTCTGCATTATCTACGGTGCACACGGTACTTTCTGCGCAGGCTTCGATCTCCACGAAGTCGCCAAATGGAATCCCGCGCAGGGAACAGACAACTATCTCGGTCCAATCATCGACCCGAGCCATAAAGTCGAGGACCGCAACATCGGCCCCATTGGACCTTCAAGAATGCAGGTAAAGAAGCCAGTCATCAGCGCTGTAGCGGGCTACGCTGTCGCTGGAGGCTTGGAGCTCTCGCTCATAGGCGACATGCGCATTGCCGAGGAAGACGCTGTTTTCGGTGTATTTTGCCGAAGATTTGGCGTTCCCCTCATCGACGGCGGTACTGTTCGGCTACAGGCCATCATTGGCCTCGGCCGAGCGATGGATATGATCCTAACTGGAAGGCCTGTCTCGGCGCAGGAGGCGTTGCAGTTTGGACTGGCGAATCGTGTCGTGCCCAAGGGTCAGGCTTTGGTGGAGGCGACCAAGATGGCGAAGCAGCTTCTCACGTTTCCGCAGGAGTGTATGAATGTGGATAGGGCTAATTGCTATTACTCTGTTTATAACGCAACGTCGTTTCAGGATGCTTTGAGGAATGAGTTTGAGAATGGTGTCAAGGTCATCACTACTGAGAGTGTGAAGGGCGCGGCGAACTTTAGCAGTGGAGCTGGAAGACATGGTGTTTTTGAGACAGCAAAGTTTTAGGAGCCTGTACTACCCTCAATAAAGCTTTCAAAATGAACTTTGCAGTTGTAAACGTCTACTTGACGTGTCTCCGTCTTCCGGTTAACAGTGTGATTCAGTCGCTGTTGTGACAGAGGTAGCGTGAATAAGCGCAATGCCCAGATGAAGAAACATATCAAACCTGTATACCTGTGCATATGCTCCGATTGCCAGGACACCGCCGTCGGTATCCCGCAGCTTGCCCTCACCATAAACCCAATAACGCAGTGTCAAGACGTCAAAATCTGACTTGCCCGGCATTAGTCCTCCAGCCTCTCAGCAGATCAATCTTGATACTAGTGATATCACCATGCAACCTTTACTCTGTTAAACATAAACCCATCACCGAGACTCACATAGGCTTGAGATGTAAGTATGAGATTCTGAGTATTCCACTTTTCCATCTCAGACACTCAACTCGAACGCAAAAGCCGTCGTTGTATCTTGATGCTTCATCCTCAACTTCAACTTCCCCTCCTTCACAACCTCCTCCCTCTCCTCCAGATCATGCGGTCCATCAACACGCTTGAACCTATCCCCATCAACAACTCGAAACTCCAGTGTCTTGACCTTGAGTCGTGTATCATCTGTCAGGCCAACTACATCAATCGTCCAATTCCCTGGTCTCGAGCGCGTACCTGCTAGTATCCGCACAACGTCCCCCTCAACAGTCGCATAAGCATCAAACAACCCATCTGAACTCGCGGTGGTTTTCAGACGCTGTCCCTTCATCCTTGAGGCGTAATACCTGTAGACCTGAAACTCAGCCGTTGGCCAGTATCCTTCCCCCTCGATGGCGTAGCTTCCACCACTGCCGTTCGGCTTACTCAAGAGACCTGCTATCATCAGTATTTAAACCACGACGATCTTCGACAAACTTACCAGCCATAAAGTCATGCAACGCTCCAGCGATAGCCCAATTCCCTCTAAGGCCATGTGCATTCTCTCGCTCAAGACCAGCGATCCACCATGCTCCCGCAGACGGGACTTGTTCTCCATAAACAGCATACTCATTGATGTTCACATCTTGAGCCTTATCGAGAGGAATGTCGTGCTTGGACAACAGATCATGGAATGAGGCCATTGAGCTCGCCATGGTGACTGCTTCGTCGCCGCCCTCCATGTGCCAGGACCATTGATCGGGTAGGCTATCTTTGCAGCGAGGCAGGAAAGCTGACCACCATTCATGGGACGTTGAGGGGATGGCGGACATACTGGGGCCAGTAATCCGAACGGATTGAAGCGCCTCTCTGTGAACATATTAGAACGGTCCAAGTACCTATGGAACAACATACCGAATCTTCTTGAACGAACGAGTCCAGAGTTCCAACCACTGCTCCATCGATCGATTCCAAAAGAAGCTCAAATCCGGTTCATTCCAAATATCTATAACGAGCCCCTCAATCATATCAGACTTCTTCACATCATCAAGCGTCCGTTCGAGAAACGCATCCCAACTCGTCCAATCATCGTTGTCTCCAGGGTACGCAAAGTTTTCCGACTGTCCGCCATCAGCACCCCAAGCAGCAGGGAGCAAGTAAATGAACTCGCCGCCGTGTTTTCGAGTAGTTCTGTAGTTACTCAACGCTGAAGCAAAGCGAGCCTAATAATGTTAATGCGTACACCAATGATGCTCGGATGTCGTATACCTTGTAGTCTTCGAGGCTGACGGCGTAGCCTTTGGTTCCGGGTAATTGAGATCCACCACCTCGACCATAATTGAACCCAAGGTCTTTGTAAAAGTGATCAGGTATCTGATCAGGTCTATCTGGTATTCCGTACAAGATGCCAGATGCGAGATGACGAGGCGGCCCTGTTTGAAGGGTCACGTCTACCGTTGCTACTCCAACAACGGGTTCTTTGACCTTGTCTACCTCGGATGGCAGGCTTTTCAGCATGGACATGTACTCTTCCGGCATTTTGATGATATTCGCTGCGTGTTTGCTTGCTCGTGTGAGTCGAAGTGTTGAGCGCTGAGGTATATACCCATGAAGCAACTGAGACTAAGCCTTTAATGGGAACTCCGGTGGGATGCGAAAATTGTCGCGACTCAGTGATACAGAAAATTTAGAGTTATTCTCATACGATTTTGAGAGAAACGCCAATTATTGTGATCCATCAGCTAAAGTCTTGGAATGCTAGTCCCCATTCAGAAGTCATTTTCCTTTCGCTGGAGCGTCTTGACTCGTGATGTTGCGATTAGTGATCTACCCCTCTGTCACTTCTCCGGTGGGAGACAGCCTCCAATTGGACCGCAAAGTGCTATCGATCCCCCGCAAAGATCATCAAACCTAATCTCCTTCCCCTTCCCCATGGGGTGACGATCTTGGCACGATGTGAAGAATCCAATACTTAAACACCCGACGATCCTTCAATTCCCTCCATCACCATCACCATCACCATCATTACTGCAATGTCTCTCCACGAGAAACAAAGCATCGACCACATCGAACAAGATGTCACCTCCCAAAAAGAATGGAGCCACGTCCAAGGCGAACAAGGCGCCTCCATCGACCGCAACATGTCCCTCTGGCAAGCTATAAAGGCTTACCCGGGCGCCATAGCATGGTCATTCCTCCTATCATCGTCCATCATTATGGAAGGCTACGACATTGTCCTCATCGGCAATCTCATGGCCCAACCGGCTTTTCAGAAAGCGTATGGTGATTGGTACGGCGATAAACTCGGCTATCAGATTTCCGGACCGTGGCAGGCTGGCCTTGGGAATGGAACTGCAGTCGGGACTATCATTGGGGCTTTTGCTAATGGGTGGCTTACGGAGCGGTTCGGATATCGTCGTACCCTTGTGGCGTCTCTTGTTGCTGTTACGGGATTCATTTTCATTACTTTCTTTGCGCATGATCTTCCTATGCTTCTTGCAGGATCTATCCTCTGCGGTTTACCTTGGGGTGTTTTCGCAACGATGGCTCCTGCTTACGCTTCAGAGATTTGTCCTATGGCTCTTCGGGGCTATCTCGCCAATTACGTTTGTCTCTGCTGGGCTCTCGGCCAACTCCTCGCCGCCGGCGTCTTATTCAGCTTTTCCGAGAACTCAACACAATGGGCATACCGTCTGCCCTTCGCTATACAGTGGATTTGGCCTATTCCTCTCATTATTGTTCTCTGGTTCACGCCTGAATCGCCGTACTGGCTGGCGAAGAAGAACCGTCTTGATGAAGCGAAGGGCGTTTTGAGACGTATTTCCGCAAAGAGCAGTAAGACGGATGAGGATCTGGATAAGCAACTTGCCATGATTGTTCACACGAATAAGATCGAGAGTGAACATACCAAGGGATCAAGCTACCTCGACTGTTTCAAGGGTATCAACCTTCGACGCACTGAGATCGTCTGTCTTGTATTCGTCGCGCAGAATACAACTGGTGTCGGTATCGGTGGTACACCTACCTACTTCTTTGTCCAAGCAGGCGTCGACCCCAGCAACTCCTTCAAGTTCGCAACAGGTGCACTCGGCCTTGCTTCCGTGGGCGTCATCATATCCTGGTTTCTCATCTACCGCATCGGCAGACGAGCCTTATATGTCTGGGCCTGTGGCATCTGCACAGCCCTTATGCTTATCATCGGTATTCTCGCCAGCGTTCCCCAGACTCAAGCTGTCAGTTTTGGCCAAGCTGGCGTTGTTCTAATTTGGGAGATTGTGTTCTACGCTACCATCGGACCTGTTTGCTATGCCATCATTGGTGAGATACCAGCTGTCAGTGTTCGCAGTAAGAGTATCTGTCTTGCTCGTATTGCCTACTACATCTCGCAGATTCTCAACGGCACGTATGGTCCTTACATGATCAATCCTACTGAGGGCAACTGGAAGGGCAAAGTCGGCTACTTCTGGGTGAGTCTCGAGATACTCAGGTTCTCTTCCCCTCTGACATCATTTAGGCTGGACTTTCTCTCTTGACCTTCACCTGGGCCTACTTCCGCCTTCCCGAAACAAAGGTATGTCTTTCCCGTCATCTCCGGATATCGGAGTGCTAACATTGTAAAGGGACGGACGTTTGAGGAGATTGACATTCTTTTCGCCAACAAGACTGCAGCTAGGAAGTTTGCTGACACCAAGGTTGATGCGTACGCTGATGACTCTGAGGGGCGTATCATCAAGGAAACTGAGGTTTGATACTGGTACCAAAAATGCAGGAGATTGTGTGTTTATACTTGGTGTTCAGATTGATAGCCAGAATCTCAAACCCATCTGTCCATTGATCCCTAAACGCCTATGATCCCTCTATTGTCCTCTTACACAGCCTCTTGATCATTCCATGAGTCCCTCAACTCATCTGATATCTTCACATAAGCCGGCCCAAAGACGTGACAAACGACCTTGGGTTTAAAATCTCTTTGGATTTTCAGAAACACCCCGACACACTCCATCACGCCCTGGGGCATTCTTCTCTCCCGCGCTTCACACATATGCCAAAGGGTCTTGCAAACCTGACATTGGTTCTTACTGTCCAAGACATGCTCCTCCTCGTCCACCTTTGTTTCATTGCAGGACATCAGCACTGTTCTTCCAGGTCCCATATGAAACTTTACTCGTTAGCTAGGTTACTCCGGGAAGTTTCAACACACTTACAGAAAGCTCGTCACTACCGTGCTCTCTCCTAGGTCTCCAAGTTGCGCCTGTGACCTCTTCATCTCGATCAAGGGTAAGCGTTGCTTTGGTTCCCTTGGTATAGCCAGCGCGCTTCAGCTGGCCATCTCTGTACATAAACTCCATACCGCAGAGCCGTTGGTATAGAGGGTTGAAGAAGGCTGTTATCTGAGAAACACTCGTCCAGCTTCCCTCTTTATCTTGTAATCTCCAGAAGAGCCTGTTGCAATCTGTGGATACTATTTGGTGTTCATTAAACTCTCTGCACAGATCACCTTTAGCCAACTTTGTAGGTTTCGTCCTAGCCTCAAAACTGTCACCCTTAAGGTACAGCGACCAGACAAAGCCGTCCTGGAATGATTAGTCTTGCGTCTTAAATCATCATCTATGACTTACCAATCTCTCAAAGTGACTCTCCGCATGACGTGCTTCGATCATATCGCCATGTAACCCAGGGTGTACTTCAACAGCGTTTGGTTCAGCACCAGACTTTTCGATCCGCACTCCGGTAAACTTTTTATTTCCAAAATGGCTGGTGGAACCATCATCCTCAATCTCTACTTCCTCCCAGAGAGTGAGATCCGTTATCCTATCACCTTCATCAAGGTCAAGATGGTCAATCTCGTGGAACCACTGCCCAATGTAGACCGGCGATCTTCCGTCCCAGAATTCGAAACAGAAACCAGACACGTGATGTGGCAGTCGGTTACGCCCTGTTCTTCCGCAAGAGATCCCTACGCGCTTGACGCCGTTGAGGCGTACAGTCGACGATGGGAATCGGTCCATCGACCAATTAGAGTAAGGATCTATCCGCGACCGAGCTTCCTCTTGGTCGTAGCTGAACGTACTTGGAGGCGAATCAAGCTGAAACGAGTCTCGATGGTCGAGATGTGCCAATCCGAAAGATTCTACGGTGCACAACGATGTACTCATCTTGGCAGATACAAGTCAGTATCTCGAAGCTCAAGATAACAAAAAGGGACTCAATACTCACATAAGGATGTGCCAGAAACCCAGTTATAATCTCTCCGTGAGGTGAAACAAGGTTATGCCATTCAGACGAGCCATCTTCAGGATATTCCCAGGGCATACCCTTATTAGTCGCCTTCAAACGTCGTCCAAAGCTGGTAGTTATCTGCATTGCACACAGATCATCAGCTGACATCAATCCCGGAATGATTTCTGCTACGTACCATGAGAGAGTAGGCAAAAAGCACAGCATGCTCCCGGTGGAAACGAAGGGTTTGGAACCCAACACCAGTAATTCTCTCACCGGCCGGTCCATTGATAGACAGAGACTGTTCAATGGCCAAGAATCGTTCTCTTGAATCGTCCCAGATTTCGCGAATGCCAAACTCCCGTTCTGTTCCGTCAGTGTAGTAGAAGCCTAGGCCTCTGATACTGAAAGTAACGCTACTATCAACAAATATGGCAACCCGGTTCAGGAGTGGAAGAAGTGAACCACTTGGGCCGCCAAAGTCCATGTTCAAGATGAAGGCTGGCTGTGGTGAGGCTGTATCAACGGTGGGAGGTTTTACAGTCGCCACGTCGGGTTGGGGAGCTGCAGGGTGCCATAGAAGTTGTTCGGAAGTTGTTGGCGTGTGGATGGTAGGGACGTCGCCTAGCTTCTCGACCAGCTGGACAGAAACGACCTTACAAGCCTGGCAACTCGTTAGTTACTCCATTAGTAAAGTTCAGATAAAACCTACGTCAAGCCCAAGTAACAGTCCACTTATGTAGGGGCCATTTTGCGGCTTTAGCATTTTTATGCCAACATAATCGTCAGGTTTGTCAACTTTACCCATGAGCTTCCATGACACCCCGCCAAGCTCATCCTTGATCCGAAAAGCAAGACCAACTAAACCACCAAAGGTACTCGCCACATGAACAGCTATGACTTGATCCGATGATCTGAGGCTGAAATGTGTTTCCGCGTCAGGCTGAATCAAGCCGATGCGAAAGTTCTCAGCTCCGTCTAGTCTTCTTGCCCGAAACCCGCATATATAATCTCTCTTATCGAGATACACTCTGGACACCGAGATTCTCACCTCCTCATTACCCAAGCCGCCAAGTCGCAGGTTCAGATACCGCGAGCCTCTGACTTGAATACCCTTTGAAGGGCTCGAACATGGCACCCCTTTAAGTCCCTGTGTCTTCTGAGTCATCTCGTATCCCAAGGAAACCAGTTTCTGTCTACAACGAGCTGTCTTCTCCAAGCGCGGCCGCTGGCGAAGCATAGAGATCATACAGTGGGTGATGTTTTCTAAGCCGTTCCAGATCTGTTGCCGATGGCGCATGTGTCCTCTTGAAGAGTTGTCATGCAGAGAATGCTTCAGGTCGAAGTACAGATCCCGCCATGTCTCTGTTCTATTGTGATCCACTGGAAAGAAATTCATTTCGTGATCGTGAGAGAAACGGCTAGCCCAGAATGTCTGAGGTAACTCGGTAGGCTTGGTTAGATTCGCAATGGTTGTTGATGAAAGCCTCAGGTTGCAAAAAGACGTGGTATCAAGAAAATCAATCATACAATGGTTCAACTCAGTAGACAGCTTGGAGAAACAGTCCGATGATGTTCCTGTATGATTAGTACCATAAGTGCCTCCGTCTAGAAAGCGACAAAAATTCGGATAGGTCACTATTCTGCCAGGATCGGCTTTCAAAAAAGCCCAACCTTCAGTGGGGCCTTCTCTGTCCGTTGCCTGAGCCAGCGCTTGTTCATTCTCGGCACAAAGGTATGATATCCACTTCCAGCCGCCGCCATGTCTAGGCATACTTTGAATGAAGTCAGAAAGAACCTTGGAGAGCTCTTCTGTTTCGTAGCGTCGCCCCGACTTCAGGAACATCTGGTCTTGGAATATCTGCCAACATGTTTGATGAACGATGAATCCTTTAGTCGGACGAATTCTTGGATGTGGTTCCAATTCCAATGACCCATCTTCAACATATCCGATAGGCGTGAGTGAGAACTGCGACTGGTCTTTTTCGCACTGGACTGTAGAAGGTCAATGGGGATTCGGCTACTGACGGGATTTTGTTACCTGCGAAGATCTCGCGATACCAAACCTGTTCTTGTTCTTCATGATGCTGAGGGGAGGGGGTGCAAATTCCGCAGAGAGCGCATCTGAGACACATTCTCGCTATTGATCGATGGAGTTAAATCTTTCGTGGCTTGAAGCGAGATGTAGCGATGTTGTCGGATCAATAGCGACTAGTGATAGATCTTGTTGTCAGAATCGAAGAGCGGGCAGCAATGAGTTACCTCGAGACTGGAAGCAGCATTATATACCTCTCTAAGGGGCAAAAGTCACAAAATAGGGTTTTCCTTTTTTTGGCATCAAGCATTGTAGTACAATGTCTAAACTATGAGACAGTTGTGTTATTTGCAGTTGGGATCTGTGGCTGAAAGCATATAAACACCACGTATGGCTGACGATAGAGTAACGGTTTATGCATGCTCTCATTGGCCTCTGTAAAATAACCCTCAGAGTGTAAATAGTGACTAATCAAGAATATTGGCCGCGACTGGCTGTTAAATTACAATTGCGAGTTATTGTATCTCTCTCTAACCTTCTGCATCAACTCTATAGATATCCACTAATGATCAAGCTTTGACTTCGCCCTCAAGGCTTCCCATTCGTGCTCCAGCATTCCATACTCAATCATATCCCACCATTGCCTATCAAACCAAATCGCCTCTCTACTCCTCCCCTCCTCCACAAATCCCAACTTGTTATACAGATGCTGCCCCCGCTCGTTGAACCCAAAAGTGCCAATGCCAACACGATGATAGCCACCAAACCTAAAAGCCCAATCCAGCGCCCAATTGATGCTCTCCCCTCCATATCCCTTGTTCCTAAACGCGTCCGCGATGACAATACCAATATGAGTACCCCGATGCTGTTCGCGATTCTTGGGAGTGCCGCCCCAGCCGATACATATGAAGCCGATGGGGACTGGTTCTGAGCTTTCAATGTTCTGTTGTTTGGCTTCTTCGGGAGAAAGACACAGGACAACCGCCAGAACGGACTTTTGGAACTCTGTCAGGAAGTCTTCAACGCCTTTTTTGTTCTTGGGACGAAGAATGGAGGGATCTGCGAGGGCTTTTGCAACGGGGTCGTTCTCAATATGCTTGAAGAAGAATTCTTTGTCTTTGTCATTGTCTTCAGGGGAGCGGTAGATAAGACGTTCCGATTGGAACGCCTTGGTCACGCTTGAGATGTCCATGATGACGATGATTGATAGAAAGAAAAAGATGATTGAGGTTTGTCTTTGTGGTTTATGTAGTCGTTGATTGTCGTTTATCTCATCGGGAATCCGGCACGTATCTAAGCGCAGGGTAAGCATGCATGGCGCCTCCACTTTCACCTTCCTATTTGGCGATGGCTCATGACTCACGACCCAGATTCGCGATGGTGAAGTGGTGATCGATTCTCGACGCGAATTAATTGCGCCTGAGTCATGGGATTGACTCACTTTGAAAGACAAAAGAACCTCAAGTCTAGTTGCTATTCCTCAGGGATATGCAGTATTGTCTTATACAAGAGCCTCTCATTTATAGACATGGGCCTTATGTAACACGACCGCATCCCCTGTTTCATTCGGGTCATCTCATGGGTACACAATATCTCATCTTCGTGACTCAGCTTGACATGCATTCTCATTAATCTTCATCCAGTCTAGAAGTAACACGTTCGATAACGGATTGAACCTATCACCTCGGTGATGACCTATCTCCTTGCTTGTCGTATGTCGCGCATTATTCTCAATGGCACCTTGATCTGACGTGAGCCAGATTGTAGTCAGCCTACAACATCACCATCCCTATCATGTGGCTACGAGATGTTTCCCGCGATGCAACCGCCAGAAAACAGGCATATGAGCTTTTAACAAGACGTCTCAAATATTATCTGGAGGTAGTGTAATAACTACCTGTAATAGCCCAAGTTGAGCTGAAAAGGTTATCGTCATCGTGGACCTACTGAACCTCTAGAACAACAAAATACGCATAAACACCAGCTCCAATCCTCTGATGTTCCCTCTTCCTCGCTACAACCTTTACCCTCCCCTTATCAGCTAGTCCATTGACCTTGGCCTCATACCCCTTCGCCTGCCAAACCGACTCCCGAATCGTCGAGACAATAACGCCACCAGCCTTGCTAACTCTCACAAACTCATCAAAAGCCTCGGGTCCAACATGACCCTCCGTCATAGTCCCAACACAAATGACCGCATCATAACTCTGTGAGGGGATATCAAGCGTTTCGGCGAGGTTGGCGACATTGAGTGATTGGTACACGCCTGTTCGCTCAGCGACTTCAAGCATACCGGGACTTAGGTCGATTCCGTGAAGGTTTGAAGCACCGAGCTTTGTGAGCGCTTCGCCGACGAGGCCTGTTCCGCAGCCGGCGTCGAGAATTTTAGCTGAGGAGATTTGAGTGCCGAGATGGGTGACTAAATCTTGAGACGCGAGTTGGGGAGCGACGTATTCTTCTTTCTCGACATCCTGGTTGTAGGTGTTTGCCCATTCATCATAGGTACTAAGTGTCTCTGAGAGACTGGTTGCTTTGAGGGAGCGCTCGAGCTGAGACATGTTGATCAATGGAAGCAGAGGCTTTGGTGGATTGATTTCGTCAGCAGGTCAAGTTCACTGGATGTAGAAAGATATTTGCATCAGGCGTTGGGAAGAGGGGCATTTGTATCTCGTGTGTGCAGCCAATGACGTAGTAGTTGAATCTGACAAGATGACGCTGGGGATCGTAAGATAAGCATCACAACAAGTTAATTTCTCACAGCCAAGACTCATCAATTCTGCAAGTAATGTAATGTAATGTAATGATTATGTTTATTTTACTCGAGCAGTGACTATCAGGCGCACGGGATATTACTAAAAGCATTACTCTCCTTACTAATCTGACTTAAATGCACTCAAAATCCGGTATCAATAGTCCCGAGCGATGTAAACCAAACCTCGGCGAAATCTTCGCCAACTCAGCAACATACCCCGGCACACCACCCGGAATCTCCATATTGTACCATAACTTGGGATCATCTAACGCCAGCGCAGCCTCATGCATCTCCACGATCTCCTTACTATCCCAGATACCCTCACGTCTATTCAAGCGTCGCAGCAGATCCAGCGCTCTAGCACGATGCGGCCCTTCAGTGCACGACCATACAACTACCGAAAGACCAGAAATCAAATCGCCGTCGAGGGAGAAACTTGGTTGGCCGGGTGTTATTAGGCGCTGGGAGAAGATCTCGGCGGCGTTGAGGAATGCTTCGGCGGTGTCGGGGGTTGGTTCGGAGAGGTCTTCGGGACCGCAGGACATGCCCATTCGCCAGAACGCTTGTTGGAGGTTGAGGTATGTGAGTTGGGGGGATGTCAATTCTTGACATTCCCATGTCGCGATGTGTTTCTTTGTCAACTCGAATCGCGAACTCCAGACTTCGAACTTAGCATCCATCTCTTCCCATTTCGCTTCGAGTTCCTGCTTCTCTGGTCCTTCGAGGGTACACATCTCAATTCGGCCGTCGTCATTCATCGAATATGTATATGGCGTTTGCGAAATGATGTCCACGGTCTCGACGTCGAGTTTGCGCAAGAAGCTAGCTGCTTCATCGAGGTCCTGGAAAGGCTGGTCCGACCCATCGCCGCACTGCAAAACATCAAGACAGCCAGAGTGAATATCCGGAATGATGGTATCCTCCAAAAACATCGAAGCTTCAACGCCAAGATTCGCAAACATCTCCGTAAGCTTCCTCGCCATCTTCTGCTCCTTCGCACTATTGATCAGAAGAGGCGACGAGAGCAGTTTCGTTCCAGCGCGAATATGTCGAATCGATTCGGCATACCGACCAGTGATACCCTCAAACGCAACAAATAACAAACAGCACACCAGAGTACACTGCAGGTCGAATGCAGAATCCATCGACATGTGGGGTATAATACGCTGGATGGATTTGTTGTACTGCTGCATAGCCAAGCTTTTCAGCTGCTGGAGTGGAGAGCACGTCTCTTGGCCCGCCATGTAGAACCTATGCGCGGCACCAACGGCGATGATGGCATGCTTAATAGGTTCGCATGAATGCGCAAGAGGGAGGACATAAGTGAGGTAGAAGTTTGACGAGCCGGGACAGCAGGTGAGTTGGGTGGAGGTCCAGTGGTGAAAGTGGTGAAAATAACAGTTCTCAATGGATGTATCGGCTATACGAGGGTTGAGAGATGAGACGGTGTATCCAGTGACGGGCATTGAAGCGCGTTGCTGGATCTGGTTCTTGGTGGGCGTTGCATAACCGTCGCATTTGACACGGCCATCGCGACAGCGGCGACATGTCGGCTTCTCCTCATCACACTTCAAATGCCTAACTCTACAATAACACAGTGATTAGAAGCAGTTCGCCGCCCAATTAAAACAGAAATACGTACTTGCTACATCTAATATTAGTCTCTGATTCGTCAATCAGCCATTTGCAACGGGGGACATACCAGGTTAAACAGCCAGTGCGAACTTTGGGTCTGGAGGCGCGCTGCCATTTGACCTTCTTGGGCAAGATTACGAGCTGGTTCGTCGACGTAGTCATTTTCTCTTCCTTCCTTGTTACGAGAAACTTGATCAAAAAGGACAAAGCAAAGCAGGGAAAGCGAGAGAATTTTGATGCTGTTGGATGGTGCACTTCGTACAGGGAAATATCAACATGTAGCAGTGTGGAGACGCCAAGAGGCGCAGTACAGCGCTAGCAGGGTCTTGATCCCTGCTTTTACGACGCAGCGAATCAGAGAGAAAAGCTCGGCTGAAACGTGGGTCTCACAGCATCTGGAACTGTCTGTGTCATACCGGGCAAAGTCACTTTTGGTAGCAACTGCGTAAGCCTCAATGATACACTTCGTTTGTTTCGCTGGAAGAATCATGCATATTTGACAGTGCCTCCCAATTCACCTGAAACTGAGCATCTTGGCATGCACGTTTTCGGCTGTTGAGTGCCGATAAGGCTGAATTAAAGAGGCAGAAATCGAGATGAATTACGCGGCTCCCAGGGGCTTTGCAGGTCGAGAACATCCCAATTGTAATTTGATGCTCGATTTGTGATGGAATCACGCTGCATTGTGAGGTATCGCTGAACGGCGAGCCTGTTTGGGAAAATTGTCCGTGATGAAAAGGATATGTGACTAGCGGAACTATTGTAAAACAACATGACACTGCATCTCTGGACGAAACAGTCTTCAAGATCGTTTAAGGGCTGATACTGCCAAGGATGAAGGGAGTATCATGATCTGCTGTCCGTTCCGCATTGTCGGAACTAGTCCCGGAGCTCGGAACGCTTGGCTCGGAACGGTGAGTACTCTGCGACGCTGCAGTCCCCGTACTTGAAGCTCTCAAAACTGTCGCAGGTAGGTAGTTATTCACATCGACTTGATGGTGTTTAAGCGTATGTGAAAGCCTATAGACAACCATAAACGCTATCCCGTATAAGATGACTACGGCCGGGACTATACTGGCCCCACTTCAGCTTTGTAACTTTTGGTAATCACCGCCAAATCGAAGTTATACTTTTGAGTTTGGTCGCTAGGCCAAGCCCAGGATAGCCTTGAGAAACAGACTCCCGAGATCATTGGGGTGTTGTTTCGTGGCGGAGCACGTGCGCTCCGCGGACTACGACTCACGGGAAGACGGAAAGGCTGCATTAACGTTCATACCGCGAAAGAAAGAGTTGAATGAGCCAATCGAAAAGAGTTCAACAAGCAGTATCACTGGTCGTTTTGGCCAGGAGTTTGACAATTAGCCTGAATGGTGAAGTGATTGATTACGTCACTCTTGCTAAGGGGGCTCAGGGTTGTCGAACACTCACCGGAGCAAACCCCTCAAAAGACCATAATGGAACTTTCTCCTCGAATGCCGAATAGCACCTGCATAGTGGTAAGGAGATCTACAGGATAACTCGGCCTTGGCAAAAGCATAATCCACCTCTCGTTCGAAGTTAACCAGAGATCTTTGACCTTCTGGCACTATCATCTTAGCATCGTTACAACCCACCACGATGCAGAACCAAAGTCCCAATCACATGTATCACCGCGTATAAGTAGCCCTATCATATTGTGTTATAAGCTTCGTCTTGGCCTCGCTAATCGTGCGTGAGCCGCTTTTCCGAGAGACGGTACACAGCCTCGCTCCACTAAAAAGGTTTTCGGGAATGCCGAATGCGCCTCAACACCAGCATAGTCATATCCGGAGGCCGAGAAACCCGTTCATCGCGGATGAATGAGACTTCGGGAGGGGATCGGAAATATTAGATAACAATGGATCTTTTGTCGATGAGTGAATCACTCGTAGATCTTATAAATGTCATGACCAAAAGGTGCGTTGTATCGTCAATACATGCGCAGGAGGGCATCTTCTCGCCATGATTCGCAGGCGGTGAGGGTCACTCGGATATGATGAGCACCGGCGTATTGACTCCCAATGCATGGCAACCTCGGTCCTGTACTCATATCATGCCAACAGGTCCCCAGTTGTAGACCTCGGGTTCTTCCTCTGATTTTATGGTTGTTTGTCAACCCCAGGACCATGACTGAAGGATCTAAAAGCATGGCGTAGAAACTACCACGTCTATGTCGCCTTCGGGATACAGAGCGCGGCCGTTGTGTTGACCTTCGGTAAGGCTAGTTGGCCCGTGCCGCGGAAGCCGGATGACTGATCTTCATAACTCTCGTCAACCAGACATGACATCACCTCCTCACCGCTTTCGCACTGCCATCATGGCTTCCAATCGCTATCCAGTTTACAAAGTCAAATCGCATATGGCCCTTCCAGATCCGCACATGCCGCCCGGTCGCTTCCATCACGCCATATTCGTCGAAACCAGCGACAATGGCTTTGGTACTCTGTACCATGTCACTGGCGACGTCACATCAGCAAACGGAATGAGCTACGAGAGTAGAGATTCACCTGATCCCGCTCAATTAGAAGGCTTCTATTCTAAAGAATTGCTGGGCTATACTGGCTCCGACGTCCATCCACAACAGTGGAGTTCGGTTCTCGCGTCACTGCCGACTCCGCCTCAGCAAAAAGCGTCAAACCCGAAGAACCAAGGCCGCGTTGAGCCTTTTAAGGAAAAGGTTGGCGGTTATGAATATGTTTTTTATACCGATGGAGAAGAGCGTAAGCCTCTTTGGAAATGTACTGAATGGGTTGAGTGGTACGCTATTCCTGCTCTTCACGAACGCGGCCTTATTCAAAGCGGTGATCAGTAACTACTCTAACATTACATCTCCTTGTTCAATAGTCCAAGGTTTCTAAATTTCTAGTACATTTTCCTTGTAGATTACGCATCTTGTCTGCGTTGAGTACAGCAGTGAATGTAGCTGTCTCGCCACTTTCCCATCGACAGGAGCAAGAGATGCTCACAACGACAAAGCCATTGTGGCAAGCAGTCCAGCGCATCCTGCAGCCAAAGAAAATCTCAAAAGTCTCGAACCGCCATTCGACTCCGCCGGGGCATCAGCGGTGGCCGTAGAACTGCCTGTTTCCTTAGAAACGGATTCCGTACCCTCAGCTTCACCCGTCGCCGTAGTAGTAGTCGGATATTCACTCTTGAGCTTCTCCAACCCAGCAGTAAGCGTAACTCTCCCATACTCAAACGTCGGACCATAAATCTCCCTCAAATCCGACTGTTCCTTGTAGGTCTTTGGTCCAATTGTCGAGGGACCATTAGCCGGTCTGTTAATCATGGTGCAGTCCTGTGCAACAGATCTGCTCATCTCACAGTGGAGCGAGTAAAACCACTTTGTACCATCTTGTGGCTCCGTGATGACTACATCCATGGTTCCTGTTGGGTCTGCGCTTGAGGCGAGGGCTTTCTCGGCCCATGGACCCAGGGTGATAGTTTGGCCGTTTCTTTCACAGCTCTCGGCGTCGGGTGGACAGTTGAGAAGATATGTTGTTGCTGTCGCGTCTGCGCCTATGACTTTTCCATGAAGAGTCATGGCGTCTGAGGGGACGAGGAGCAGCTCTTTGACTGATGTTGACATTCTGATAGTGTTGTGGCTTGATGGAAGATGTCAATAATTGAAGACGATGCGGCCTGGATGTTGCGTATGATAACACAGAGGCGAAGTTTTATGTTGTTTAATCAAGTATACAAATGATTGAGTTCTTGCAGCGGCGAGAATGAGGATGTCAGCAAATGCGAAAAATAAAACAGGGCGTCTTCACGCGACCAAGTCCGTGCCGCATCCTTAATTTCGCAGAGTGGATCATGGAACAGAGTCTCAGCAAACAATATCATTGAAGTCAATGCGGAAATAAGAAGGAAGTCAAGGAATAAAAACCAAATATGTATGTAGATACCAGAATAGAAGCCATCTCTAGGTATACAGCGACCTCGTGTTATATCAAAGACATGTTCTCGTGGCTCGTGCATACTCAACCCTGCCATCCCCTCCTAGACTTTCCGAAAATGGGTCAGCCAATTCTCGCTCTTACACCAATCCATAACGATGTCAGTCTTGTTCGTACTTATATATATACTAAAAGGTTTGTTACACTAAACTCTCTGCAGCAATGGACTAATCCTGATCTCTAGGAAACGCCCTCCGCCGGTGTTTGTCAAACAAGCTCAAGGCGGAGGATGTCACGTTTCTCGAGCTATTTTCACGCATTCTCATTGGTCGCAAGACTTGCCCAGGTCCGTCAAGCAACTCTTCAATCTGGCATTATCTAACTTCAACAAAGATGAAATCTCAAGAACACTAGAAAGAGGCATTGATGTCGAATGGGAAGATATTTATGATCTAGTTAATCCTTTCGGCGACACAAGAGGTCGCTCATTCAATAGTGTTTGGACGTTCGACCTCGACAAGGACGTTCTCTTTCTCACAGAGCATGACAAGCTTTGCTCGGCACCTCTCAGCCTGGCAAGAGATAGACTACTTACCTTGGACGACTTTGAGCTGGTTAGATCGCCTACCGAGGAAATCGTAGAAGAGATTACTGTGCCAGCACCGTACTGGGATTTTCAATTTGATTTTGATCAGAGAAAGAAGGCATTCCTTGGCCGCATACTCCGAGACTTTGGTCATACATGGCGCCATTTACTGCGGAGAGAAATAAATAATACCACATTCATGAAGCTAGCATATGCCGTTATCTGGATTATAAGCATGGACTTCGGTTTAGTGGAACGTACAGGATTTGAGCACGTTGGTGGTCGTGGCGGACGATATGTCGGAGCGGCAGATTTGTCACGATGGGACGCACCAGATAAAGCGATCGTCCAGGTTGGCTCACGCTGGTTTGTCTTGGCACGATATATTCGCAAGGGCCTTGCGATGATACGAGAACATATGGGAAGCCTCGCAGCGATCGCCGAAACAACGACTGGTACTGCAAGCTACGCAATATTGACCCTCAGGCAAATCGTCTGCTGCAAGGTCCACGAAGGCGACTTGGTGTACACAAGACCAGAGCCATTATTCAGCGACACACCCTCCTCTGATTCTGCCATCGACCTTATCCTCTTCGCATCGGACATACGTCAAGTAGAACCTAAGCCTTGCAGGCTCAATTGCCTCCCTGTCGAGATCCAGGATAGAATCCTTCTTGGTGCGGCAACAAGAAGCTTTGCAGCAGCGAAATTGGGCGTTGAATTTTCTTTAGGACCGCCATTGTCCTGGGCTGACCAACGCAGGAAGATCAAGCTGGAAGAGGTACTGAGACATCGGACAGAGGCATCACCCGTCGAATCTCAAATCGTTTTTAACGGGGTGATGAGTAGTTTGTCATATAAGTGCGAGGCAGTACCTATAGGTTTCAAGGTCGACAGAAGCTTGCTTCCGGCGCCTCCTCGTCTCACGGTTGCTGTGCCTTCGCCATAGAGTTTCGGCTCGGCTGGATCGGGCCAGCACCATGATGCGCAAGGTTAATTGTTTCTCGACTTTATCGACAGGCGCAAGTAGTCTGCATTGCTTAATAGTCACCAAATCAATTACATCAATTACAACGAACTAAGCTTCCTCATGCAACTCAGTTTTACATATCTCATCGTTGTTCTTGCAGCCTGTTCATGACAAGTCCCCGCTCTTAATGCGAACAGCTTCCGATTATGGCAGACAGTACAACCCTGCGTTGGTCGCCCGCCACGCAATGATCTGATCAAGGCGGCGCCCGCAATTTAGCAAAAACACATTATCGCGCATCCATTCCATCGAGACTTTGAAGCAGATGGTACAATGGCGCAAGCAGCAAATGAACACGAAGAGCCTCTTCAGGCAGATGTACGCTTTCCTAGGACGGGTCCGAATAGTGACTGTTTGCTGATTCTGCTAGGATGCCGCGTCTTTGAGCCATGATTCCGCCTTAGCAGCGTCGTACGTTGCTTGAAGCCAGCAGCGGGATATTCACTGACCTGTTGTCTAGTCTCGAGTCAGGGAGTTATCTTACTTCTCTCAACTCCAGTGTCTTGAACTATAAGTATGTACCGTCACGAGAGTGCGTCCGTATCTAACGATTTGATACAGATACGAAGTGCGCTTGGATAGAAGCTCTCAGAAGATGATTTCAACTGATTGGCTTTAGAATGGACGGCGATATCACGCATTCCGTGAGGGCGCATACCTGGTCGTAAGTAGAAAAGCAAGAGTTCGAAACGTCTACTGACAAGTATAAGCCCAATGATGATGAAGAGCAAGACAGAATGGATCTAGGCCATCACATCTACCGTCTTGTCCTCGGTGGCGATCTCTTTCTCGCGCCTATTGGCGATAAAGTCAAGCGAGTCCTTGACCTCGGCACGGGAACAGGTATCTGGGCCATGGATTTCGCCGAGTACGCATCCTCTCAACCTTCACCGACCATCACTTACAGAATTCCAGCGAATATCCTCAAGCCGAAGTCCTTGGCACCGATTTAAGTCCCATCCAACCTCCATGGTACCCCCCCCCCCCTCCTAAACCCATATCTTCTCTGACATCCCCAGGACCCCACCAAACTGTCTCTTCGAAGTCGATGATTTCGAATCAGACTGGCTCTTCCGCCAACCCTTCGACTTTATTCACGCGCGCGAACTAGAGGGCTGCATCAGCAACAACGCCCAATTCTTCACCCGCGCTCTGCAGAGTTTAGCGCCCGGTGGATATCTTGAAATGCAAGCTGTTCACTCAGAGTTCAAATCCGACGATAACACGAAAGATAAAGCTGATAATGCGCTGCTTTGGATGAAGACTATGGTTGAGGGGTCCTCAAAGTTTGGAAAGCCGTTGAATGTGGCGCCGGAGTGGAAGAAGCAGATGGAAGAGGCTGGGTTTATGGATGTTGAGCAGAAGATTCTCAAGGTAAGTACTATCGTTGTTGTTGAGATGTTTACTTATGGGTAAAAAGGTACCGATTGGATCTTGGCCTAAGGATCCGAAACTTAAAGAGATTGGAAAGTTTCAGTCTGTGCAGGAAGCACAGGTCATCACGTCGTATACTCCTGGCATCTTCTCGCGTATTCTTGGATGGAGTGACAAGGAGATTCAGGTGTTTATGGCAAAGGTGAAGAAGGATCTTTCAGAACCGAGTATTCATCTTTATCTTCCAGTCTATTTCATCTGGGGAAGGAAACCGGAGTGATGAATTGGACTTGAACAAGATGCATCAAAGACTCGGGATGACATGACGGATCATTGTTAGTCCCAGTTTGAGATCTCATGACTATCTGTGCTAAAAATGAATGGAACTTGTTTTTATCTTGCCGCAAAGAATGCTATTTTATCAATTTCTAAATCGCAGCTTTGTCTTGATTCATTCCATTCGAATTGTAATCCCTATCGATCCTTATCTCGAGATATTGATAAGCCTTGTCGGGGTGTTCTGGTCCTCGCTTTCCTGCCCGGGACTTCAAGAACTATTATTTGTATTTGCGTGGCGATCGTTCGAGAGAGCTAATTGCAAAGGAAAAACATATGTAGAGCTTTGCTGACTATGCATAATCTATTGCTGAAGAATACAGGGCTTATGGCTGTTGTTTGTCACCTGAGAGTTTTACGCAGACTGCGAAATCTTCAGATCGTGGTGCGTTCGTCTTTTCCTGCTGCTTCTGTTAAACATATGAATGCTTCTTAGCTCCTTGTGTGTCCAGGTATTTTGACTGCGTTTCTATCGTTCACTTTCAATCGGATTGCTACCAAAACAAAAGGCATTGAGGTCGCGTCCAATAAGGATAGAAACATCAAGCTTGTGTGGATTACCCCAATGTTAGTGGGGGCGCTTGGACATGCATCCCTTGGTATCAATTATCATCCCCATTTCGTTCTCTGTTGTACTCCGTAGCATTATTAGTTTCTTAACATCTGAGTGGTCTAGATGTTCTGTATGATTTCCTAGTTCAATTAGTCTCGGTTTTGTAAGCCTCTTCATCCTGTTCATGCTAAATTTTAGCTAGTTTTTGCGATGGACAGTAATTTCAGCTTCGATATGAATGGGGCAAGTTTAAAAGTGGCTTTCAACTCTATTGCACATTATCAAATTACAGTCTTTCTCTTCTAATAAATCGGATAGCGCGGACGCAGGAGCATTACACCATCCATGTTGGGTAAACTGAAGTGCGCCCAATCACGGCACTTGCAGACATTGGGGGCAATCGTGGGGGATTGCGCCATCAAGAGGCTCAGCAGACAAGGACACAATTAAGCGTAATTAAAAACGAACCAAAAGACAAGCTTAATAGTCTAAAATGACCGTCCGATAGGTGGATAATCGTTCACGACTGTCATCGCGCCAAGCTCATTCGTATATGCGGCTATCAATCTCTCCAGCGGATCCAACGGTGATGAATCGTCAATGCGACACAGCTTCCCAATTCAGCCCAGCACAAACGAACAGTTCGGATGAAAACCAACGGTCCTAGCCGGCGTAAACATCTGGATTGGAAAATACACTTCGATCGCTCAGGGGAGAGAAACCCCCATCTTATCCGGTTGGCGGAGAATAACGGTCCGCCGGGATAATCCGCGGTGGATGTAACTGTACACGGTAATTGACCTAATCAATATGAAACGTCCGTCTTCCAAAAAAAAGATAATGGATAAGCTCAAGGTTAAAGAATTAAGCTTATTGGTTAGAGCGGCTGCTAGACACGGAGAAATTCCCTCTCTAAAATGACGGTGGATCTCATCGAATGTTGCAACGTTGTTTAAATACCTAGTTCAACGCCCAGGTAAATTGCGAATGCTTCGGTATCGACAATCTCATCGTTCATCATGAAGTTCCAGACCCTCCTCACCGTGGCCTCGGCCAACCTCGTCCTCGCAAACGATCTCCTCGCCAAGACCGCCGACTCATGGATCCGCAACAACCAAGAAACCCAGCGCGCATACTGGTACGGCCGCGCAGTCGTCTACGAGGGCATCGAGGCGACCGTCGAGTTGACCAAGAACAAGACCCTGCTCGCCTGGTACCGCGAGCAGATGGACGATGTCGTATCGCCCAACGGCACCATCATCAACTATGACTTGACCAAGTACTCGCTCGACAATTACCGCATCGGTATGAACTTGCTGTACTGGTACAAGCAGACTGGTGAGGAGAAGTACAAGGTTGCTGCGGATTTCATTCGTGATAGAATCAACCAGCATCCTAGGACTCCTACTGGTGGGTTCTGGCATCGCTCGCCGACGTACCCGGATCAGATGTGGCTGGATGGCATTTTCATGTGTGATAGCTTCTACGCTGAGTGGACTGCTGAGTTCGATGCCAAGAACACTACGGCCTGGGATGACATTGTCCTTCAGTGGGACAAGATCCAGGAAGTCACCATCGACAAGGAAACCGGTCTTCCCGTCCACGGCTTCGACGAGAGCAAGATCGCTGTCTGGGCTGATCCGGAGACCGGTGCTTCACCCATTGTTTGGTCCCGCGCCGTCGGCTGGTACATCTGGTCCCTCATCGAGGTTCTTGACGTCTTCCCCAAGTCTCACCCCGGCTACAAGCGTCTCGTCACTTACTACAAGGATCTCTCGTCCGCTCTTCTCCGCGCCCAGGGTCACGAGTCTCACCTCTGGGAACTCGTCATGAACAAGGAGTACGAGGGTGTCGAGGGTAACTACGTTGAGAGCTCTGCCTCCGCCATGTTCACCTACGGCTGGCTCGCTGGTCTTCGACGCGGTCTTCTCGATGAGAAGACGTACACCAAGCCCGCTAAGCAGGCGTACAAGCGACTCATTCGGGACTTTGTCACCAACAACAACAACGGAACCATTACCTGGGAGGGAACCGTCGAGGTTGGATCGTTGAACAGTGATGCTTCTTTCGAGGTAAGTTTGTCTCTCTTGTGATTTTATGGATTTAGCTGACTGTTGTAGTATTACACTGAGGTTCCTGTTGTTCCTAACGATACTCGCGGTATGGGACCTTTCATGATGGCTATTTATGAGTGGGAGCGTCGCAGCAAATAGGCGTATGAATGATCTTATAGACGTTAGACTATAGATTGAGATAGAGTTGATGATCGATAACCTTTAGTGTACATATTTAATTCAAGTGCTCTGCAGCACGTACATTTACTCACTTTACGTTCCGATTTCACCGTGATTTTTACTGTCTTGATCCTGCATGAGTCTTGTGCCTGCATGAGTGTCATTATGAGTTGGTGGCGCGTATTTGGCTAGTGCGTGATCGCTGAGGCTTGAATGGATACGCGACGGATTGGCATAAGCCCGTTTATTTCCGGAGACAGAAGAAAAGTTACGATTGGCTCGCTGCCGTTTTCGCTATTAGACTCCGATTCCATTCCATACAGAATCTTGATGCTTTCACATGTCACTGACGAGCATAATGTGATTTTTTGATTCTCAGGTTTCAGACGGGACACGAGAATTGGTTCTGATGTTAGAATGTTGAGTGATGCCATTAGCTCATGTGCTATCAATTGCAGACTCGCATCGCATCTACCCGTAGAAAATAAGGAAGGGATGAGTTAACCGATTTCTCTTCCGTAACCTTTTGACATGCAGTGAGTATTGAGTTATCATAAAAGACAGAATCGATCTCATTCCGACGATTACACATTCCAGCCTTCTCAAAATTACGTCATGGCCCGCATCCGTCCTACGTCATGTCTCCCCGTCATCTTTCAGCCTCGTATATTTGAATCCACCTCAACAACAGCAACAACACAATCTCACCAAATCATCATTCACAATGGCAGAAGTCGCAGCAGGTGTCATCGCAGTCGAGCAAGTCGTTTCAACCGGCCTTGAAGTCGGTGCCGCAGCGACTGTAGCTCGCCCTACGCAGCCGCTCACTGCAGTCTTGAGCCAAATCGCTACGACTCCAAAAGAGGATAATTCGTATGTTTTCCCCAAGGCACGTCCATGAATGATGCTTACGGGAATAGTTTATCGCTTGCGAGATCTCACCATAGCGTCAGTGTCATCGATGGCAGAGCTTACATCTTTGGCGGTAAAAGAGATGACGGTCAACTTTGCAACAACGACATCCACGCTGTATCCATCGGCGATCATCAAGGCGACGGTGAATACGCGTGCTATCCCGCAGTAGGCGACGAAGGCCAAATCCCCCCCCCACGCATCAATCACGCCTCTTGCACGCGTCGCGGCACGCTCATCATCCACGGCGGCCAAAACAGCGAAGACGAACCCGTCGACGATGAATTCACCCTTTGGGAATGGGAACCCAAAGCCGCGCGATGGTCTTCAATAACCGCTGCTGGAAAAGCGCCTCAATCCCGCGACGGACACCAGATCTTCTACGATGTCAAGAAGGATAGTCTTATTCTTCATGGCGGGTATGAGAATGACCAGCGTACAAAGACAACGTGGTTGTTTGACTTTACAACGCGCCTGTGGCATCCTTTGCCTGATGCGCCTGCTGAGCCTTTGGCGGCGCAGTTTGTTGAAGGGACGCTGTACTCTATTAGTGCAGAGTCTGATGTTCATGGGTCGGTGCACTACATCAAGCCTGGTTCAATCCAGGATGAATCTCTCGACACGCTACCAGAGTGGACAACCGTCGATTTCCCCTCCAACCCTCTCGTCCCCGGCCCTCGCCCCCGTGTCGGTAGCGCTTTGATCCCCGTAACAACCGGCCACGGGCGCCGCTACCTACTCTACCTCCTCGGCAGCCGACAAGACGCATCAATCTCCAGCGATAAAGCCTACACTGAAGAACATCCTTTCTACTCCGACATGTGGACATTGCAACTTCCCTCCGATGGGTATAGTGCTACACGAGTCAAAGATGCTATTCGCGAGACGATCCCGGGTGTTCAGTCGGGTGCGTTTAGTTGGCATGAGCTTGAGATTGCGCCGGCGGAGATGACGCAGGAGGCGGGCAAGGTGCACCCGGGACCGAGGGGGTTCTTTGGAGCTGATGGGTGTTTAGATGGGAAGGGGGTGCTCCTGTGGGGAGGTATTAATGCGAAGGGGGAGACTGAGGCTGATGGATGGTTGTTGAAGATCTCTTAGAGGCCATAATGTTAGTGTATTAAAAGGACGAAGACAAGGCAAACAACAAGGTATACGGGCAGATTAGTCAACGGATGTAACTTATAACAGGAAATAAAAGGCATTATATCTAAAAACAATTAAAATATGGTATTTTTGAGGACATCCTCACATTGTCTGAAGTCATATCAACGACTTAGGAATGACTGCATTATGCCGTCAACTCAACCAATGACGTATTACCTTAGTCATCACAAAACTCATCATGAGACTCTTGGTGGCCAGACTTTCAACCTTCATCGTCTTATCCATCGAAAAAACACTACAACATCAACAGAATGAAGCGCGCTATGATTACATCAAGTCTCCGGGCGAATGCGACAAGAAGTGCCTTTCATACAATCGCTCCACGCGCTTCGCCAAACGCACCCAACGCCGCGAAACCTCAGCCAAGTCAAGCTCAACCAAGAACGACAGATGAGTCAAGCAAAGAAGTGTCAACAACAAAGATGGCGCCTCGAAAAAAGACCAGTGCGGAACTTGATCAGGAACTGAGGGAGAAATTGGAGGGTATGTCTGGTGAAGGAGGAGGTGCGGGGGTAGAGTATGAGAATGGCAGGGCGGAGGGATTGAAGAGAGGCGTCAAGTCGAATATGTTTCGGGTGATATGATTGTTGGAAGTCTACTCCTTCTTATTCCTGTACAGTATTTTCGGGCTCCTATCAGCAGGATATCTACGGTCAAAACATTTTGTTCTTGTTCTGTAAATACGAATCCAATTCATCCTGTTCGCAAATGTAACGCGACATCACATCCGCTGGACATCATTCACTAGTGAGACTGGCTGTCCATGGACGCTCATCTGGATACGCTTTAATACGAACCCAGCTAATCGATTTCATGACTCTTCGCTGAGTATTCATAGTACAGTAGATGAATAAGCTAATACGAGACGGATGATATTCACAGGGCTCAAACGGCTAACCGGCTCTCAAACAGTCTTGGCCAGACATGCTCACGATTCATTGGCCATTTCAATCCAAAAATACACGATGAATCCTTCGGCGAAGGCACAGAGCAGCTAACCCTCAATTCTTGAACCCAATTCGCTGGGTTTTATCGTCCCCTGCTTCTAATTTCCAGACCCATCCTTCAACCAATCATCGTCTCTGCCGGCTAAGTTCAATCAGGGGCTTTAATGCCTTACTTAAATCCGCGATATTCGCTGCGGTTTTCTCGTAAATCACCAATATCGACAAAATGGCTCGTCTATCTAACATATTGATGCTTCTTGGCGTCTTGGGCAGCTTTGCGGCTGCTCAGCGGTATGATCAGGAGAAGCAGAACAAGGATGCAACCTGCAACGTGAGTCAAGCTTTAAACTGGTGCTAATGATACTAATGCTATTGCAGAATAACTGCTTCTTTAAATACTTCACCAACAAATGCAACGCCGATAACCCAGCGTGTGTCTGTACACTAAAAGACATGCGCGAGAAGTTCTTCTGCTGCATTGCCGAGAACTGCGCGGATAACGTTCTACCAGGTAAAGTCTCCCCATCAATTAACAGAACTATGGCTGATTTGTGGAGCAGAGCAAATTGAGAGATCTTCGAATGATTGCGATGCACATGGCATTCCTTTCACTTTCGACGCTGAAGCTGTTTGTGGAATTAAATTGCCTGTGTCATCTGAGACGGTGTCTGTTTCGGCGACTACCTCGGAAGCTACTACTGTTACCAAGGCGAAGGCTTCTGAGACTGTGACTACGACTGATGAGAATACGACTGTGGCGACGACTACGGCTACGGGTACTGAGAGTTCAGCGGCGAGTCAGACTACGTCGGGGGCTGAGGCTACTGTCACGGATAACAGCGCTTCGAGAGCGAAGGGCATGGTTGCGGCGGCGGCTATTGCGCTTGGTGTATTTATCTAATATCTTGTCATATCCGTGTCATGTTCATTGAGGTTTGTTTCGTAATTGAATCGATATTACTGCCATGCCTATCCTATAGGCGATCGTCCGTGCCATAATAACGATATGATGACCATGAGAGATCACCAGTTCAGATTAGCGTATGATTTATACCGTGAATCTATGTGAGCTTGGCTAAAGGTATATACATGAATGAAACGATGGCGAGAAGCCGTCTCTGTCTAGAACATGAGAAGCCCAGCGTTAATAGAATGCTCTGATCTAAGGCTCAGGTGGCTGAGGCTGAGCCGCAAGCTGAACCGGCGTGAGATTAAGCCCGTTTGATCCCAGAATAAGCCCATACCCAGAAGACCCAGCACTCTCAATGTAGAAATAAGGACACAGGCCACTCGCATCACAGATAAGCATGTCCCGATCGTAATAGCAGAACTTGCCCTGGACCTGACAATCAAGCTGACCAGAAGTGCCGAGCTCACAATCAATGGGTGCGTATCGAAGATCGGTCTCGTCAGGTGAGCAGCCAACAATGTCGCCGAACTGCTGACCCGTTCGGAAGTATGCGCACAGGAGTTGATTCCCGTTGACGAGCTTGCCGCGGCCGTTGACGACGAATGTGCCGGTGGCGTAGTTGGAGTTGGGGTTGTTGAAGTAGATTGAGCCGCCGGGGGGCTTCGGAGAGGGCGTCGCGGGGAGGAAGTGGGGGGGGGGGGGGGGTTCGCACTTTGAGAGGACTGCTGGCGTCGACGCCTTGGTTGGGGTAGATGTTGAATTGGGTTGATTCGGGTCTCTCCGCGGTGGTGGTTGTAGTGGCTGCTTCGGTGGTGAAGGTTGTCAAGTCACTGGTGGCAGTCAAGAGTGTCGTTAGATCGGAGGTCAGCGTCGCGTCCGAGGTCGCAGTCGTGGCGGTCCCAGTCTCGGTCTCGGTGATTGTCACGGCAGTAGACTCGGTGCTTCCGACCAAAGTAGTGGAATCAACAGTAACAGTTGTACCCGAGCTCAAGGCGGCTGTATCAATTAGTTGATTAAATTCACGCGTTGAAGCGATTGACTTACACGAAGTTGTAACGGCAGTGGAACTGGGAAACCCAGGCTCGTGTTCGTTCGGACACATGCCACAGGGACGAATGGGCCAGCTGGCGCTGGCACTGGCATCGCACGCAGCCAGGCACCATCTGATTCCATCCGTGTATTTCTCACATCGGACATCTTCTAAATCTCGCGTTCGTCTTCGACATCCCATAACCCTCCTTCTTCACAACACTTTCCATCATCTCATCTACCAACAACCTCATCGGCATCGCAAGATATCGACATCCATCGCCAATCTATATCGTCCTTGTCAACTCTACCACGCAACTACGCTAATTCATACTCGCAAAAGCCCTTCACTATCCTTCATTAAGTTGGTATGTGTCATCAACCTCGACAAATCTTTCGTTCTGACGGTGTGACAGTATAGTCTTGTCAAAGTCAACGGACGCCGTTTCAATCATCAATCCAGTACATCAAGGCCAAGCAAACTTTGTGTTATTCCTTCGCAATATCCGAATCCGGCAGATCTCTTGGGACTGGAAACGCTCACCAGGCTGAGGACGGAACCAGTATCAAAATGGAACGAGGATTTGACAGCGAGTATTTCGATCAAGGCTTGACCGCATATTTCTCTGGTCAAGTTAATCCCGATCTGCTACAGGTCGGCTTCGCTGAGAATGAAGCAATCCCTGCTGTGAAGGCAGTGCTTTCATCACCGGATACCATGGCGGCACCTGAATCACACCGATCGCCATCTCTTTACGATATCCCACCGTTTATCGCCGCACATATCCCTCCTCAAGGCAATGTTGATGAGATAGACGTCAACTCTCGTGAGAATGAAGCAAACCCAGTTGTGAAGGTTGAGCCTTCGTCGCCGGATACCATGGCGGCACCTGAATCACCTCGATCTCCGCCGCTTTACGACATTCCACCCTTTTTCGCCGCACCCGTCATCACCCCGCCACAACCGGCGCCTGAAGAGATGGAGCGACCAATCCCTTCTCGCCAGCCTTCACCTCGAACCAGCCCCCAGCGAAACCCCCTCAGAAGTCCCCTCAACGGTCGCGGCACCCGCCGCGATCTCCAGTTCTTCATTAACCGCGGTAACCAGCGACGCGCGACTAGTCAGGCTCAATTGTCCCGTCGACATCGAATGCAAGAGCAGCAATTCGAGCTGCGACGGTATCAGCGTCATGTAGACGAGCTCCAACGACAGCATGAGCAGCGGCTGCAAGACGAGGAGAACGCGCCTTGCAACAGCATGCCTGTGTCGCGGAAGCGTAGGTACCATGGTGCGCCGCGGTATGTTGAGAGATTCAGCGTTCGAGATGAAGAGGAACGTGGTCGTCTGAGCCCATATGACTTCCATTAAGGTACCCCCGGAGCATGTTGATTGGTTGGCGATTCCCACCAGACTACCCTTTACGGCGAGGTGTAAAGACACAACGAGTATTTTTGGCGTAAGGCACACTGAGTAGAAAGGTCCTTGAGAGGACAGAGGAAATCCTTTGTCAACAATGGAGTAAGTACACGATATTGCTGATGGATTTTGTAGGAGAAAGAATTGTTGAGCATTGAGGATCTCGTGTTGATCAGACGGGGCTATACTAGTTTGGCACTAGGCACGTTACGGGAATGGCATGTCTTGATGAGAAACGGTCAATGAGTCACGAGATAATGTTTTGATAGAACATGAATGAGACCAGAATAATCGCTTTTCAAATTGAATGCTATGCAATGCGACACTTTTGAGCAACCTATAATCGGTTGGCAATCTCCTCCAGTAACTGCAACTCCTCCTGCATGAGGAACAAATTCTGCGGCAACACCAAGTTCCCACCAGGCTTCATAATAATCTCCCTCCCATCATGCCTCTCATGCCTCTCCGAATCGCTCTCATCTGTTCTCTGCCCCTTCTCCTCGTCAACACTCTCCCTCTGCCCTTCTGTCTTGATCCCCTTCAAGTCCTCCGGCGTCCACCAATAAACCGGATAAGCGCGCTGGATGTTATTAACCAACAGCGCAACACCAAACATTATCGTGCAGTTGAATAACACAACGGGAATGAAGAACCAGCCGAGATCGAGAAGGCGGTTGTCGACGACGGCGAGAAGGCCGGTTGCACCGGCTGGGGGATGAATTGTTTTTGTTAGGGCCATTATGGACGTTACGGTGGCGCAGGATATGGCGCCGCCGAGCCATTGGATGGAGTGGAAGTTTGAGCTGAGGAGGAAGAGCTTTCCTATGCTGACGCCTATTGTGGCGGCGATGATTTGGCCGCCGAAGAAGTTTCGTGGCTGGGCGAGGGGAGATTCGATGGCGTAGAATTCGAGAACAGCGCCAGCGCCCTGCAAAGCATTAGTATCAACCCAGAACACGTCAGTGTGACGTCGAACGTACAAATGATCCAACGATAATAGGAGCGCCTCTCTCGACAAAGGAGGGAATGCGCTCCGACGCCAACTCAATCACCGACAAGGCGATGAATATTCCGATGAATGCCCATATCACTGGTACGATTGTCCCAATGCTCTTTGGTTTATCGCGTCGGTATCCAAAGATGTATGCGACAGGATACGGAATATGTTGCCATGGCGGCGATGGAATATATGGATTGACGTATCGATCGATATCGAAAATCCACGATGTCGGGTTGAGACGCGACATGAGATCTGAGATGATCTGAGATGGAAAATCCGGGGTAATCAGGTGATGTATGAGATTCAATGATGAGAGAGGGAAAATGGGTCGAAAATGAAATGAAACGTCGAATTAGTAATGATGTCGTTTTAATGCGTCAATGTTTGTCCCAGCTCTGTTCAATGAATGTCTGACGATACCCTCAAGGAAATGACAATGAATCAGTGCAGGCCAGCGCCCTTATACCACTACCCTAAGCCGCGGAGATGCACTAAATGACAACATAGCCTTCCATAATTCCGAAAAACACCAGAACCAGCGGCAAAAGCACAGGCAAAACAAGTGAGTAATACAAGGCCGTTTGAGCCGGGCTCGTTTTCATTGGCATCTTCGCGAGACGATTTCGTAACAGAAATTCAATGCTGGACGGTTAACTGTGGGTCGTTTCCCCATAGTTTCCTATTCCGGTTGGACAGCTTTGCTCACGGGGTTTGTTCGGTGTTGCACGTTCCGAAACTATGACATAATGAATTAGTTTGGCTGGTATTATTTATCCCCTTCATTACCGAGGGAAGAATCTGATCTTGTGAATGATTAATGGTGGATATGCGATCGGATACGCCGAGATCAAGATCTGTTGAATAATCACTGTTGAAGGAACAGAATCGTTTTATTTTTTTTTTGGGGCACTGCTGTGAATCGATGCGCGTCGCGATTGAATACCTACGAATTACCGAACATTGCCTGTACAGCCGGGTTACCCGTCAGAACATACCCGCCGAGGAGATGCAGGTACAATTTCGGCCTGTCACATCTTGAGATGTTCCAATTGCGAAAAGGATCTCAAGATTTGGATCTCGGGAATACGATGCGATGCGGAACTGCCGGATGATGTGCGTGCGATTGAATACGGTGCCATTCACGCGATGCGATGCGACCTGAGTACAAATATGCGGAACACCTGCTTCAGTTAGCTCAGATGCAGTCTTGTTGGCAAAGGGCAGATGCTATGTCCATTTACTGTGCAGGAAAAATTAATACGACGCGACGACATTGCGATTGGCATGCGACCGCTGGAAGATAGTCAGGTAATTGATGCATCACGTAGCCGAACGCGACACGGTATTCGTAGTTCGCATGGGTCTTGATTGGAGCAGACATCAAGAAACATCACCAACGCGACATGGAAGTAAGCGCATGACTTGCGATCGAGAATGATGGGCAGCTCATATGCTTGTTCAAAAGCCACCAAGGCCAAGCAACCTGTCAAAGACTCAGATACTATTACGACGAGCGAGCTTCCAAGTACTGCATATGCGCATGTTGAAAGACTCTGAAGAAGCAGACATCACTCCAATGAACCCAATGCAATGCGCAATAGTATGAACAAACAGAATCATGAATTGCATAACTAAAAAGCCAAGGTCTACCAACACTTCATACTCCAGCAAGAGCTCGAGATAGCCAGAGTACAAACCCCTCGCCAAGTCTATTTATTCTTGACGATCTCAAAACCCTTCATAGTATCAAGCGCCTCACGAATCTCAATCTTGTACGCAGGAATACCACCAGAGTAGCAAACAGGCTCGTAGATCTTGCCAGGGATAGAGCCGCCCATGTATCTATTCACATCATCAGCAAATGGTCATTCAATTTGTAGTGGGAAGTCGACTTACGTGGAGCGAGTAGTAGGGAAGAGAGTCCTGTTGTTAAGCTCGACGATGTGCTTCTTCCATTCCTCGCCGGCCTTCTTCTCGGGGTTGATGTACTTGATGTTGTTGTTCTTGATCTTGTCGATGCAATCGACGATCCAGCGGCCTTGGACTGCGACGGATGTAGCTGGGGACTGTTAGCGAGGAAGATATGACTGCTGACAGAGGACTTACGGCCGTTGCTGAGAAGAGTTGGGCCGTGGGGACCGTAGATATGGAACATGTTGGGATAGCCGGGGGTCGTGACGCCGAGGTAGGTCTATACACGTTAGAGGTGATGTGAAGGTTTTGGGAGGAGATACATACCGTCGCACCAGTCTTCCATTCCTTCTCAAGTTCAGCGCCCTCAATGCTCTGAAGACCAAGCTGCGTCATCACTAAAATCATTAGCATACTCAAACCTCTCTCGGAAAACCGTACTCACCACCAGTGACAACATCCTATACGCGTTAGCATGAGTCCATCATCCAAGAATCGCAGAATGACTTACAAATCCAGTCGCAACAGCAATGACGTCAAATTCATGATGCGTCCCATCCTCGAGCGTAATACCCGTCTCAGTAAACTCCTTGATCGCATTGTTCTTGATATCAACAACATCCACATTCTCCCTGTTGAACTGCTCGTAGTAATCATACTCGAGGCACGGTCGCTTGATACCAAAGTAATGCGGCATGTTATCCACAGTCGGCGCAAGAAGATCTCGCTTCTTAGGATCACCGATCCTGTTGCGCGTCTTCTTAGCCCAGAACTTGTAAGACTCCTTGTTTGCCTCAGCGTTGAACAAGTTATCCTTGTACACCGCAACCCAGTATCTGAAACCGCCATCCTTCCAGACCTGCTCGTACAGAGCCTCGCGGTCTTCGGGGGTGTCGTCAAAGGTGTTCTTCTCGTACCAGTCGTAGTGGAAGCCAGCAAAGTTCTCCTCGCGGTAGCGGAAGAGCTCGGGGTAGAACTTTTTGCTTTGGTTTTGTTCTTCGACGGAGGGGTACTTGCGGCGCATGGGGACGGCGAGGTTGGGGGTTCGTTGGAAGACTTTGAGATGGCCGGCTTCGGGGCCCCAGGCTTGGGTGATCTGGACGCCTGATGCGCCGGTGCCGATGATGGCGCAGCGCTTGTTGGTGACGTCGACCTTTTCGTCGGGCCAGAAGGAGGAGTGATGGATGATGCCTTTGAACTTGTCCATGCCGGGCCAGTCGGGGATGTATCGACGAGCAGCCTATGAGGTTAGTCTCAAGTCACCATTGATTATTGTAGGTAGACTTACAAAGCCAGTTCCTAGGACGAGATACTTGGCCTTGGCGACGCGACCATCAGCGGTGCGGATATGCCAGCGACCACTCTCGGTATCAAACTTGCCGCCTACAACAACAGTGTTGAAAGCGATATCCTTCTTGACGCCAATTACCTTGTCAACATGGTCAAAGTAAGCGCGAAGATCAGCGTAGGTAGGATAATTGCAAGGCCAAGTCCAGGTATCGTAAACCTCGGGCCAGCTGAATTCGTATTCAGGGACTTCGGAGTCGACACCAGCACCGGGGTAGCAATTCCATCGCCAAGTACCCTATCCTGTTAGTCTTTAATCCTTAGGTTGGCAGTTAGTTACTTACTCCAGTATCGTTGCCGGCTTCGTAAACAACAGTCTTGTAGCCGCGATCACGGAGAGTCTTGAGCATGAAGATACCAGCAAAGCCAGCACCGACGACAAGAGCGTCTACTTCGAGATTATCGGCATAGACACCTTGATCGCCATGATGCTCGACGGAGTAATCCGTAAGTTCAGTGTTGAACTTCTTGTGAACTGGAATTTGCTCGCCCATTGTAAAAGTATAGTTAATAACAGAGTAATGCTTGAGATGAAAAGACTTGCTTGTGATGAGAATGCTTTACTTTACTGGAAACACAACCAGTTTATAAACATTATTCTTCATATGCAGTTGGTCCTGCATACCTCATCAAATCGAAACACCTGCATCTCTGTGAAGCTCTACAGTAGCATCATGTGAAAGACCGGCCTCCG